GCTGACATTGAGAAAAGACTGTAAATTTTCCAGACAATATTTTCAATGTCCACATTCAAATTTATTGTGTACAATGTGTTCACTGCAGTTAGTCTTAATAATACCATCCTTTAGTGTGCGAACATTAGTATATATAAAGAGAATGTTTTTCTCCAAAGTTGCAATTTGCGTAATCTGCACTCAAACAAGAAACTCTATTCCAATCAAGTTGCAAATTGTCCATAGTGTTTTTTAAACAAGTAAACATTCCATCCGCACTTTCACCTGCATTCCCGAAGAAATCAATAGTATAAGTAACCATGTTCCGAGCTAAAATACTGAACGAAGACTGGAAACATTTTCATGTTTTTGTGATTTGAATGGCTGATTTTGCATGTTGTGCTACTGCTAAAGAACCCATGTATCCAATAGTAAAAACACTTTCATAGTAATACATTTTGCTTTTTTTGGATTACTAGTTTCTCTCAACCAATCATAGTCTTTTTTCCAGTCTTTCCTAAATAAACACATACGCTTCTTTATCTTCATTGGGGGTTCCATGATTTTCAATACAAATTAATATTGAAGTACTGAACACAACATTCAATGAAGTTACTACTAAAACAATAAACGTAAGGTAAATTTAATTTTAATTAAAAGACGATTCTACTTTAATTACATTTAGATGAAACTAAACTGAGAATTATTCCTCAGTGAATCCCATACATTTGTTTTAAACCCACTTATATCTGTTACTTCCGCAAGAAGTAATTTGAAATGAATCTAAATTTGTTCTTCTTTTTTCGACGCCTGTTATGTAGGCTCGTTGAGAACACACTTTGGATGTGTAGAAGTCACGTTTAGGAACCTCCCAAACTCCTACTTCCCAACACTTATAGGCAGCTGTCGATAACATTAAGTCTAGCCTAGCACCACACAGCTTAGACTTCCAATTAAATTAACTTTATTAATGAAAAAAGCCCGAGCTCGAGCAACAATGCGTTAAATAACTTAAACTTCACACAGCTCTACAGTAAATATCAGCTTCCTAGCGAGCGTATTTATATCTTGCCGGTTTTAGTTCCAGATCAGGTCGGCAACCTTTTTCAAGTGACGGACTGGTAAAGCCTGACTACAATTTTGGCGGACGACCTTTCTACAAACGGACTAAGCCTATGCAATAAATTATACGCATCAGGAAATTAATGTTGACAATATACTAAAAAACGAAAGTGATGCGATTTAATGCGATATTTGTATTTGTTTGATGGTCATTAACTGTTTCCATATTATTGGAGATATGGTCGACATTGACACACTTAACGTGTTTCTTATATCCAGACTACTTCGATATTTCGTTTTTACAGTCATCAATGTTGAAAAACAGGCCATTTTAAGAAGATTTCGAAAAAGGTAACAATGCCTGTAAACCTTGTGACTCTGGTCTGGGTATTGGTTGATGTTTGTTTTGCCAAAACTTTTTTTTTACCCGATGTGCTAACTTTATGATTATCCAGATTCTGAAATATAGAATCAGCACTGACTAGGCGTGACCGGTTAGCTACGAGCTAGTAGTGAAGTAGTCACGTTCTTCTAATTTTCGCATTCATTTGTATTGAGTCACGGGTCTCGCATAAATACGAATACTGTAGTCAGATATTAAATAAGTTAAATAAAGTCGTGCGCTTTGTTACAAAATTACGACACCCAATAAATTGTCTCAAGTCCGAAAAAACGAGTTGATTTAATAGAAAAAAATCATTCAAACTTTTCCCGCTTTTAACAAATAATTTTGATAATGATAGTCAAAAGTATCGACTTTATACTATGATGATTTTCCGTTGCGACAAAATATTAAAATTCATGAACAATAACAGCATTTAAAATGCCTTGCCTTATCAATTTATTTTTGTTTAATTAACGTAACACGTGGTTGCGTCGACTAACAAAAAAATAAAAGTATTACCGCGGCAACCTGCGGACATAAATGGTGTGGTAAATGCCCAATTATAATTAATTTTTTATATCTATTTCCGTACTTACGAAAAACAAATAATATTACAACTCTAAAATACCACGACAATCTGTGGACATAAAATGTGCGATAAACTTCCCGATTACAATTAATATTTGATTTGTATTTTCGTACTCACGCAAAAACAATTTATATTATTTCCCGCATTTAGGAAAATAATTTGATGATAATAGTTAACACTATGGACTTTTAACTAAGATGATTTTCTGTTGCGACAAAATATTCAAATCCATGACCGATAACAGCATTTAAAATGATTTTATTGTGTTTAACGTAACTCAAAGTTTTGCCGATACACGAATAAATTAATGCGTTACTACTCTAAGTTACGGCGACAATCTGTGACCATAAAATGTGTGGTAATTGCCTAGTTATAATTAATTTTGATTCCTAGCTTCGTACTTATAAAAAACAAAAGCAATACAACTTTAAAATAACGCCGCAATCTGTGGAAATATAATGTGTGGTAAAATGCTGGATTATAATTTGTTTCTGATTCATAATTTATACTTCCACCCACTTTCGGTAAATAGGCCTATCCATAAGACGGCTTATCCATAAGACGGCTTATCCATATGGCATCCCTGCATGGGATTCGAACCTGCGAACCCATGCAGAGTAATTAGAGGTGCGGTGGCGAGCGTATTCCTAACGCTTAGCCCGTTGAGCCACAACGCCGCGTCTTGATAATGATTGTTAAAAGTATAGACTTATCTGTTGTGCAAATCGATGACTGAGAACAGCTTTTAAAATGCCTTATCGTATTAATTTAATTTTGTTCATCGTATAGACTAACTCACATTTGCGTCGTCTTACGAAAATTAAAAAGGTTAACTTTTATTAAAGTAACCTCAAAGTACCACGGCAATCTGCGGACATGAAACTATTGATAAACTGCCCAGTGCCCTATTATAATTAATTTTAATTCGCACACTCGTACTTACGAAAATAAAAAGGGCATACTCTATAAAATATCACGGCAATCGGCGGATATGAATTTTCTGGTAGCCAGCTTGTAGGTAACGGTTATTCCATTGTTTATTGTATGCTATTTCCGCGATACAATAAGATAAGCTTGACTTTATTCTCGAAGTATTCGAAATTTCATATCCAAAAATAATAATTTCAAATGTATTCGAAAAAGTGAATTATTCGGTATTGGCCATTCCTCAATCTAGATAGGTGCAAAAAGGAAACAAAAGAAATTTCCCACATTTATCGTTTCTATACCTGTGAGCGATAGCCGTCGGTAAAATCCTAACCGTAACTCGCTGTAAATTAATGTTAATAAATTCTATTTTGCTTTTCAATGCGCTGTGATTTGTTTTAATAAAAGTTATCGAGTCGGGAAAAGAAAGTCCTCATATTAGCTTATAACCCTTCTCTCTTTTTGAGCGCTCATAACGGCGAATAAATTCGTTTCATGTCTGTTTCATGGAGAGAAAGGAAACTATGCCTTACTGATTTGCAATCAACAATTACCCATCCTTGTTTATCATTATCAGTGCCAATTAAATGATAACATATCGTAAAGACGAAAAAGTCTGACTGTGCATAATATCGTATTGACCGCGAAACCATGATGCGCGACCGTAAAACGACGCTGTTGCTTTTTGTAGAAGAAATTTCACAACAAAAATTTTTCCCAAACGGGAGGTTACGACCCAGGTAACCTCCGCTGGCTGCACCCCTGGACCTAGACTATGTCATTTGTGATGCCCACTTCTAACAGTGACGCCATAAAATTTCATTGATCCATTATGACGTCATAATAGATTCTTTAAGGTTGGCTTAAAGTGTATTATGCCGTACTAAATAAATTTTGATTTGATGAATACGAGGCTAATCACACAAGTGGATTGGATAGTATGTTAAATTTATTTAAAAACATAATAGTTCGAAACTGCATGGCGAGGCAATTAGGCTTAGCCTAACTTGCGAACCCAGAAATAAGGACATCGTGAAAACATAATAATAATGATATAACAAAGAACGAAATGACATAAACAAAATGTATCCATGCCGGTGCGACCCGTGTCTAATTATACCTTGTACTAGAAAGGATTTGCTACAGCAGTTATTTATTCTTCGAAACTAAATCAGTAGGTATCACTACTTCATACACTTATAAAAGCTATCAGATCAAATAGTTCTACTCGTAACTGCAATTCTCTCATTCACTATTGTATTTCGATTCAAGTTACACGAACTGATCTTTGCCGGTAGGCTATTGTTTCGTCATCATGGTAATTAATTTTTGCTGTTATCACGCCATGAATGCGCATAGCAATCAGTGAGGTTCTAATATCATTTCTAGTAAATCAATCATTCGAATTGACCAATCTAAGTTCCTGGTATAAGAACCTCTACCTCTAAAATAAAACAAAAAAAGGTCACAGTTAAAAGAAGGACGTTTCTTAGAAATAATGACAAATTTTTTTCCAAGACTAAATCTTCAAAATAAGGACGAATCTTAGAAATAAGAACGTTATAGCAGCTCTGTTTATAGGTCTTATGGGACACGTCAGTGGACATAACGATCGTTTAATATTATGTTGTCGTTTTCCGCCATCCTTATCATTGAAAAATCGTTTTTCTCTTCGAATATTGGACCAATTGCTTTGAAATTTTCAGAGGTTGAAGATTGATTTTTTTTGCCAGAAAGCTATTATTTTATTTATTGCTAAACTTTCTATGAATCCTACGAGATCTAATATTTCATCCAAAATTGTGCTGTATTACTTTATGTCATCTTTATCAACGAACGGTATACAGTGGAACATGTTCTTTCAAATGACTGGTTTTGATCCCGAGATGTACTCATATTACAAGAAATTAAATTTGTTTATTTTCGAAATTAATTCAAACAACTGAATAACAATCTGAAAAAACAAATTAGATATCTGTAAAATATATTAAAAGTATTACAATTTAAATTAAAAAAATACAGAGGTAGGTCGACAAATACTAATGCTGAATAAAATACACCTGCAAACAACTGAAGCTGTGGAACTGTGTAAAAGTTAAAAAAAAAAATATAGTAGATATGTAGCATATACGATTCATTTATGTATACTATGAATCTTACATAGCTGTTATTAAAAACCAAACGATACATCTTTCATGCCACCAGTGCTAAATCGAAAAATTTCCTCTTCTGGATGTCGTCTGTTGCTTTTTGTGTCTCTTTGAAGCGCGCTAGGATCTAAAGAAATTCTATTTTTGACGCAATTGTTCGTTTGTTTCCCGAAGTTGTTCATTATATCCTTTGAATTACGATGGGGCGGAAACTCTTCCAGATCGTCGGAGCGTTTCCCGGGATTTGATATTCTTTTCCTGCGCGGACGGTTTTCTAGAGGTTTGGCAGCATTTGAATTTCTTGGTTTCATCGGCAAATCACTCGCTCTGTTCGGTTGGGGCATCTTCTCCGGGATTTCAAAAAGAGTTGCTAGATGTGAAGTTTGTAATGGCAGCTGACTGATCCTGTGAATATATAAATGTACAAGAGTTAAAGTAAAGTGAGTAAGTTGTTCAAAGCAAGTTACTACACTGGATAAAGCTTTGCAATACGTACATGTGACTCTCAGAAAAACTACGCAGCAGTAACAGTCAGCGCCACGTTTTTAGAGAACTGTTAGTATTTGGTAAAGACAGTTTTATCGAATGCTACAGTCCCAGCCATTTTGATTGTGATCATCGTTTTCACTGTAAGCTCATTAACAAGGGAAGTAGCGAAAATTCGTTTAATTTCTAAAATACTTGCCTGCTTGAACGCGGTGTGATTCCCGTTTCATTTCTACGAAGTTTAAATGGTGCTTCTTCTGCCTTATTTACAAATGGCGCAAAACTTGGTTGCTCATTTTCTATTGGCAATCCAGCATTTGGCAGAGGATATGCTGGTGTCGCATCTTGAAGCCCACCATTTTTTTGCAAATCTGCAATGCAGAAAGTCACTAACTTGAGCAAGAACGCTTTTCCTAATACAATATTAGGTGTTTATTTTACATGAAATGAAAGGTACAATTCAGATGTTGCCTCGCCAATATGTATATTGTTTCCAGTCGGGATGGTCTTGTGCCAATGAAGTTTTTGCCAGAGAAAGAGTTTAATATTGCAAAGTTACATCGTCAATGAAAGTTGTTTGATTACCAAAAATATCATAAATATTTTAATATCAGAGGAACAAATATTGGGAGAACGAACAGATGGAAATAGGAATTTTTTTGTTGTCTTACTTGGCACATTTGTTGATAGACGAGAAGATCGTTGAGGTACAGCGAGGACTGGAGGCGCTGGGTGACTTCTGTAAATAAGTGCATGTTGAAAAATATTGTTTCAGTAATTCTATAACAGAAGTCATGGAAAAAAATCCTTCATTGTTGAAGTCACATTTAGGCTACTTACTGTTCAATGAGTCCCGGAGGATAAACTGTCAGTTCAACATCTGGCTGTGGACCATTGCCGGATAGTTCCCTTACTCCGCTCATGATATCTGATACAAGGGCATCTCGAGGATCAATATTTTGAAGTTGCATGTCGTTGGTTGGTTTCGATTTATTAATATCAGAATTTTCATCGTAAGTTTGCGAACCAGTTGATGATGTGTGGGAGAGATTTTTTCGTGGGGCTCTTTGGTGATCTAAAATTAAAGATAAAAAAAATAATTTTTGGTTGCATAATTCAGCAGTTTCGGATCCAAAAATTGATATATCCACAGCGGAAATGAATAACAGTATCACTCGTAGAGAGACACATAAAGAAGTACAACAATGGGTGAAAATACCGATGCGTTCTCATCTTTAGTTCAACTAACAGCTTTTGGGTTGTTTTTCAATACATTTGGCTTTGACCCCGTTGCTTTGAATTTATCTAATTCCGAAAGATTTGACCCTCGTGTGTAAGTATTTGAGAATTGCTCTCTGGATTATCGGATTCGAGCCCGACTTCCAGTAGAACGTGTAAAGGATTTGTTAAAAAAATGAACACACATACATTTATACTAACCTTGTTTCGGATATGGATAAGAATTCCTGTATCGTTCGGTCATCATCACATGACAGACGGCAAACATGATCATCAACAAAAAAAATATTGCACCGACGGATGCTCCAACCAATGCTTTCATTAATGACGAGAAGTCTGCCAAAAGAGAATGAGTGATCCACTTGATTCAAGAACACGCAATAGAAATAATTTAGTCTAAATGTAAATTGTATCGAAATGGATTGCAAAAACAAATATCTAGCATAGTTTCTACCCGTATATTAAAAATTAGAACTGAACATAATTATAGAATGGCAAAATACATAAATATTTTTTTATTTTTTTTGATGCTTCAAAAACAATTCGCCGATTGACATATTATATATATGTAACGCATTTTATTCATTCTTACCCGTGGAATTAGTTTGGCATGTCACTCCTTCAAAACCTTCTGCACAAATACAACTAGATAAATTTTTAGCTGCATCTTCTATACATGTTCCTCCATTTCTACATCTATATTCTCCGCCATCCAAGCACAAATCAATTGGTGCAACAGTGGTTGGAGCTTGTGTAGTGCTTTGTGTTGTTGTTTCTGAAATCACAAAATTGTTTTGAGTGGAATGTTGGCAAGAACAATATATTTTCATAAATATTAGAATATTTATATATATATTATATATTAGAATATTTAACAAGTTTCGGAGCCGAACAATTCATGGCCCCGTTTCCATTCGATCATAGTATAAATGTACTAGGTTCATAACCCAGCGAGTCACGTTGAATATAGTTACGTCTCAAAATGGTTTTCAACCACGAATCAGCGCTGTAAATATTAGCGGACTAAGGTAGTCAATTTCCCTCTAAATTTTAGGCCATAAATATATAGTTGTTTAATGGAATTAGCTTAAAGCAACGGTTACTCTCAATCACTCAGAAACAAGGAGACTGATATATGGTCGAAGATATGGTGAACTACTAAAGTGCCAAGAGATACTGAGACTACAATATAGTTTCCCTGCTACAATTATTCGTTCAGACTCTCGACTTAAAATCATTCGTATCATTAACCTCCAAATATTTTTTCTAAAATTGAGTTTGTAATATTTTTATGTACCTGTGTATATTTCACAATTTTTTCCAGAAAAGGAGGTTAAGCAGGTACAGTTGTAATCATTTAACAAATCTGAACATGTACCGCTGTTCAAACATGGTGCTGACACGCATTCATTCCGTTCTGTAGAAAGCAGAAGATGTTGGCGATATCTTTGTGAAAGACTTAAAAATAATTACAGGCAACGATTGCTGAATCGTTTCTCTAATCCTTCGACAAAAACTAACATCAAGGGTAGAAGAAACAGTAGAAAGTGACATTATAAAATGGTACCATCTATGGCGTACAATTCGTATGACAGAATTGAAAAGAAAGGAAAATAAAAAAGGGAAACTTATATGGATAACTTATATTATTATTATTGGCCGTACATTTTTATACACGATGAATAGAAAAAAATTATATTTGATGTTATTGCTTTAGAATAAAATCACCTGTTTCGCAATCAAAGCCTTCGTATCCGGCAACACAATTACATTGATAAGTATCGTTTGTAGAGACGCAAGTTGCACCATTCTGGCAAGGTTCAAATAAACATTTGTCGTCTATATTCTGACAGCGGTCACCGGATATTCCAGTCCTGCAGTCACATCGATAACTTGCTAATAAATCAACACATGTGCCCTCGTTTTGACAAGGATTGCTTTCACACTCGTTTATATCTATGATAAAAAATGATTCAAATGGAAAAATAGATAAAATCTCATTGATATTAAAACATAGAAAAGCGACAAAAAGGGGACAGCAACTATAGCTCCCCGGTCTAACATTTATGGAACAACTTGTATGAGATATATGTTCTCAGACATCCTTAGACAAAGTTTGAAATAGGTCTAAATGCCATTCGACCCGTTAGACGGCCATTGGGCTGCATTTCACCTGGCCGAGGGCGTAAGAAAAGTGGTATCCTATAATAAACTCATACTAAACTGCCATTCAAAACTTAGTAGGCCCTCCGCCACTAATTAGTTGCATGTACACGTTATGCATGAAACATTCCACAAAACGAAAAATATCGCTTAGTTTCGTACCTGTTTGGCAGTTCGTTCCGGTGTAGCCAGGCTGACATTCACACTGGTATTCTGTAGAACTTAAATGATTACATGTTCCACCATTCTGACAGGGCTCCGAGGCACATGGAGTTATCACTGAATGATAATAATAGAATTAAAAATTCGTGTTATTATTTCAAATTTTTATTTGCGTTCGTTTTATTCATCTACTTTACAGTAAATATTGCCTATCTTCGTGCACATGCAGCTGTCTATGAGCAATAGAGACTACCCATCTATTGGGTTGATTTAACAATCGTGTATCTAAAGCAAGAGAATTTATCTAACAATGTACTTAGCGTGCAAAATTTAAATTGGCAAAAATTAACTGAAACTTTGTAAAGTTGAGATATAGAATTTAGATGGTTTATCACAGGAAAATACGCGCGCTTCCACTTCGGGTATTGCCGTTAACTTGTAATGTTGTTGAAGTTTCATGGACATTTAAATGCATTAGTCTTGTGTCCGGTGACAAGTCCACGCTCACAATTCTGAATAATATGCCGTTGACTATAAATATAACTACATATATAAAGAATATGAAAAAAAAAATCATCTTTCTGTATCGGTCGGATTCGATCGAACTTGGCAAATAAAAATTTCAGAACCCCCCTTTGAAAATTTCTGGCTACGCTCCTGCTGAAAGAGACACAACATTTGAACACTCACGGACAATTACGTATAACTTGCTTCATTTAAAAAATAAATAAAACAGGTTAATTCGGAACATCAATTCATATCTACTCCTGCCCACCCTTGAATGTAAGAGAAAATCCAGTAGATGTCGTTTTGTTTACACTGGTTTTTAACACAATTTCAAACGGTCCATAACCAGAGGTTCGTTTTGCATTTCCTGCCCCGAACCCGCACATTTTATATCGCCCTCCCTTTCCAGAGGTCCCATGATAGACTAAACCAATATAATCTTCAGAACACTGTGAGGATTCTGATATGTTCAAATAGGAAAACTGCACCTATTTAAAGACGAGAATATATGTGGTCAACAATAAATATTTTTGATAGTTAAAGGTACAAAAACGTGATTTGGACATTGTTCGTTTTCCGAAATAATATTCTATTATATTATGAACCTTTGCTTTAATGTTAAGTATGACTTAGTTTATAAGCTAACTCGCTACCACGAGGTGACATTGGGTGATTATGTGCACATGAAAAGCAAAAGGCGACCATGCACTAATACAATCTAAATACTGAAATGCATCGATCAGTATATGAAAAGCAAGACATGCTCTTCTTCATGCTATAGGAACCTTTATATTTGGCACTGAAACCTATTCCGGTGATGGTTTGATCTGACGACAATGTAATATTTAAAGGGGTAGATCCGGATAAAGGATTGACTCCATCATCCACAGATGAACCGCAAAATCTTCTTGCTGTTTCTCCAGCAAATGTGAATGCCATATAGTCGTATTGACAATTCTGTGAATTCTCAATACCAATCCTTTCGATTATGACCTGATAGGGATAATGATTAGATATATCGCCTATTTTGGAAAATATATAACTGCTTCTTGGTGCATTGTATTATTGGTGTTTAAAACTGATTTTTAAGTGTTTGATGGCTAATTGTCCGGAGACCACCAGTGGTAAGGCCTGAATTATATTATAGAATTACCATTCAATGTCATCCCTTAACGATTCTTTTTCTTTTATACTTATTTGGTTTATATCGCTATTAATTTCTCCTTTGCTGGGATATAATATTTAAAGTCGCTATAATTTCAATATACTAACAACAATTAATCTATATAAAGACATACCTCAACCCTCATGTTTCTTGATGTTTTGACAGTCCATAGACAGAGCAAGTTATTTTCGTAGTTGTTTGGATAGCCAGGAGATGTTATCCGCCCCTCTAAAGCCGCTGTTGCTCCACCGCATTCCGAATAAACCGGAAGACTTGATCCTGTATTTTCCTGCGCTAATCCTGCATAAAATGGATGTATTGTTAACAAGTTGTTTGGTAAACCAAACATTTTTATAATTTTCAAGACTTCGTCCCTAATGTAACAATGGTTTATATCCTTATGCTATACTTAAACAACGACTTGTTTTGGTAAAACTTTGACCTAGATTAATGTGTCTGAGCTGAATCCATAATCATTTTCTGCTGACATCGACAAATTAATTTCAAATTTTCTTGACTTGTATATAAAAGTTACAATTTCCTAATCGTAATAAAATAAAGAATTTAAGTAGGCGTGAGTTATAGCAATTTAGTAATACTAACAATCTTATACATGATCATTCGAACATACATTTTGTTCAAACGTTCATTGCCAAAGATGTCCTCAATTTCAAATCCGAATGACTATTACATATTTTTATTGGTATCACTTCATATCTAGATTTAGACAAATGTAAATAAGCTGACACAAATTATCTTATTGATCAGCATTACTTATTTCTATATCTTACACTGAATATGCCTTATACTGACCTATTGTAATTAAGAAACTGGTGAAGAGGCATGCGTACCATCCGCTCATCGTCAGATTATATCCACTTTTTCTGATTAATTGCACTTATACCTCTAACTCATCCAACCAAAACAACTTGAATAAACTGGTACTTGTATATGTACTTTAAACTAAGATTCAAAATTTATTGTAGTAGAATTCCAACAAGAAAATGAATTAAACAAAGTTCCGCATTTGCATGTTCACGTTCCCAAACAGGCAAACCACTGATCATCAACCGCACCTTTATTCCAGCACAAGATTAGATTCCTACAACTGATGCAACTCCACATATTATTTTATTCTGAACCATAGTTTAGTAATTCTGAACTAGCTAATTTTTGAGTGTATCTGTATCTAAACATTTCAGATTGATCGGAGGGTATTTTTAGCCACAAGTGTTATATAACCACGATAAAAACACAACTTGGACTTTATACTAAAACATAGTTAAGACTGACAATAGCAACTACTTCAATATTGAGTTTAAATTGTTACAATAGATATCAATTGAAAAAGATTGATGCTACTATTATTCACCGCAAAGTATACCAAATAATAACAATGGAATCTAGGGGGTGGTGTGATATCATATATATGAGAAAAAAAATTTCGAACTAATGTTCGTCTTGCCCTGACAACTGTAAATTATTTTGAGCTTTGTAACTAAAAAAATAGAAACAAGATATACTCAACATCGCTTTATGACCTCACAAACATGAAACCATAAAAACAAATAGCGATTTCTTGATTATGTCTTGCCGTATAAAATATTGCATTAAGTAGGCTCTTTCTACTGTCGTGCACTTGTTTCGTTTCATTACTTTTTTAATTTCTGAATTATTAAAAAAAAAGAAATTACGTTTTCGCTAATATACAAACTTAATTTTGACATTAAAAATACCTATACCTGATAAATCACATTAAAATGTATATTTGTTAGCGTAGTCAAGGTGGGTTTTTAAACAAAAATATGACATACTTGAGAAGTTTTATCTAGCCTGTCCCAGAGATAGACTATATCACTACTGCTTAAATTATCTAAGTTGAGTCTATGATTTATGGTGATTTTTTCGATGGCAATTTTCCAACGAGGACAATACCTACTCAAATTGACACGGGTCCGTGTACCCGGATTTCACGGTTTACTATCATAACACGAATTGACCTAATCCGCCACGATAAGGATCATAATATAACCCATATTTTATCTCATATTTCATTGGTATAAACCGCGAAGAATTTAATAAACGGGGCTTAAAATAAATTATATGTTCTGCTAACATTGCTCAATTTATTTTTAATTTCGAAATTCAAAAATTAGCGTCGAATCAAGTTTCCTACTATCGAGAAGCAACCGTGTGCAAGTTGCTCAGGTCGTACCGAATCGGATAGGCGATTCTATATTTTTGGAATTTTACGCTATTATCACGAAGTTTGAAATATCGAATATTGTTGCAATTCATTATGCAATTATTTGCGAAATAATTTAACCTCCACCCGAAATGAGCTTATGAATCAGTTATTATCAGCAAGTAATATTAACTTGAACAGAATCGTCCGGCTAAGTTCGTACAACAAAAATAACATAAATCATATTGTATATACGACGGATTTTTGAAACACAATAGTTGCTCAAGGCAATATCTTTCTATTGAAACCAGCGGGAATTTCCCTCAAATTCCTTCCTATAATTAATCTGATCTGAAAACTTTTAATATAATTAATCAGCTACTGGTCTTTCTATCTAATCTAACGTGTTGACAAGGTAAAACTCAGCACACGTCAATTGGCAACGCATCCACGTCTAAAATACCACTATTAGAAAAAGGTATCGTAGTAAAAGTATGGTAAGTAAAATTTATTCTACTTATTTTATAACCAAGTCCCATTTCTCACGCAAAAATCACCACAATAAAATATAACTGTTATTTTTTCACACGGGGGTGATGGCGTCATAGTGTACATATGTTTTGAATGATTCTTCAAGTAATTAGATTTGTAATCCACGAATGAATATCAACTACACGTAATCATATTTGGCAAAAAAAATTAATTTGATGCGTTGTCAAAATATTGTTTTTTTTGAAACAATTTTAAATTGAAACGCCACAAAAAGGTATACAAACAAAAACACGCGGTTGCTTTCAAGTCTGCGTCATGATATATCCAAAAATTATTATTAAAAATCGTTTACAGAATCCAAACTCGGAAATCTTTCATCTATTTAAACTCCTCTTTCACATTACTCGTATATTCATCTTAATCGGCTCCTTTAAAACTTGTCGTTTTTTCACTTTATCCCTAAAAATAACAACAACACCGAAAACCCTGTTTACTATTTTATTTCTAGATACGAAAGTACACGAGTTACCACACCGCATTCGTGTTAATTATCCCGTTATTGATGAAGAGTAATTCTCATTGATAAAATATGTTTGTTGACGTCGTTGAGAACCACCGCGCACTCGTTACGGTATTTTGTTTACAATATGCCACAGATACTGTTAAGTTGATGAAAAAGTTAGCGTTAATCGAGCTTGGCGCCTGTAGTTAAAGCAAGTATGTAAATACATGGATCAAGCATATGACGCTTTTCCTTTTGCATTGTTCATACATTGATTTAATCTACCTTATAATACTATCCCATTTCGGGATTTATTTTGTTACAATTAAATGCATCTAATTTTGCAATATTTTTTTTATAAATTTTATGAATCTGATAGGATGATTAATTGAACAGAAAATAAATATGTTTTCAATTATTGTGACTCACAAAAATGACCAGCGCGCGCTCCAAGTACCACTTTAACTAAGTATGATAGGCCTGTCGATCGGGGCACGGGGGTCAAGAGTAATGAAAAATTTTATTCTGTATGGCAGTGCTAAAATGGGAAATTTCTGATATTGCTGCCATTTTCCTTTCATGCTGCAAAGTTTATTTAAAACTTGGTTCAATATAATCAAACATAATGAGCTTAATGGTGATCGCAATTGTTTCGCAAATGATCGAAAAAGCAAAAACAAACACTGACATAGTTAGGAATCTTTAGTTGCCATTAGCGGAAAGCAGCAACTGATTTCTTAGCAAAAATTCCTGTGAAAAATTAAATTTTATTTATTGAATAAAGGAAAAGAAGCCTAAAAGCGAACACTTTCTATCGCTCCATAGCAGCGTTTCCCAACCTTTTTTGGTCGCGGACTATTTTCCTTTGCCGACTCAAGGTGCGTTTATTGCAACCGTACTCTGTGTGAAGAAGTAAATAAAACCAAACACAACAGAATTTTAACGGCACAATATTCAATCCATGACAACGACGAGAATTTAAAATGTCTTTCTATTTTATTTTAATTGTGTTCATGGTAACTCGCGGTTGAGTCGACGGGTTACGACAGGATGAGAGCATTACTTCTTTAAAATGCCACGGCAATCTGCAAACATAATAATGTGAGAATATATTGCCCGATTATATTTAATTTTGATACATATTTTTTTGCGATCTTGCGAATTTGTTATCGCCGTTAGAAAAATCCGACTATCTGCTATAAATTATCAGAAAGTACAACTTGATTTAGTACTTTTTAAGAATGTATTTAAAGTATATATATTAGTAAATCAAAAATACATATTCATTGCCTTTCTTTATTATTAATTTTATGTGATCTTTTTAATCTGCGGTTTGTCTGGACGAAATAAAAGCAATACTACTCAGAAAATATCATGACAATCCGTGAACATAAAATGCGTGGCAAATTGCCCGATTATAGTTTGTTTTAATTCTTATTTTTGTGAATTCGACAAATCTGAGCTGTTCGTACAACACTTACGGCGGGTACTGTACGTACCAATGTGGAGGGAGTAAAGCAAATGGTTCCATTACATTTGAACCCACGTACATTTGAACCTATGACAATTGCACCTGTATGCTATTGCACCTATGGAATTTTTTTGTTCCACGGATAAAAAAATTATGGTGTTCCCCGTTTTATTTTTAGTATTTTGTATTGCCGCTTTTCAATTTAAAAAATTTGGGTTGCCACAATTGACCCCTACCAGAAGAAAAAAAATTCTTCCTCGTTGTTCGAACTCGCGAAAAACACCATCTATGGATACGTGTGCATCCTCGTGTTTTCGTCGGAAATCCGCAAGTGAGTCCCATCGTTTGATTAAGCAATGCGCAAGTGAACTGTCGCGTCACCTGTTACCAAATTTTCGAATAGTAAATTGCTATTCTAATAGTTGAATATTCAAATATATGCCCAGCCCTACTCATTATCCAGCAATTATGTTATGTGAATAAACTTGCTTTATATGTAAATTCTAACGTAAATCATAACTGCTGATAGTTAAGTTTCGCAAAAACGTTCGTGGTCCGCAGTGAATTTCTGGCTCGTTGCGGACTCATCCAAATGCTCTGCGGACTCATTTGAGACCGCGGACTCGGGTTGGGAAACACTGCTCTATAGGGTAAAATCTGCAGGTCAATACCCAACGACGAAAGAGGACACAAGCAGTAGAACAAGATTTATTAAGTAGTGCCAAGTTTTTATTTATTGTACAAAACAACGTGAAAAAAAATCGCATTTATAGTTCGCGGTTTATATGAATCATAGCATGTTTTTGTGATTTCTTAGGAAAGCAAAATAATCACGAAAACATTGTATCGCGTAACTGGTAAATCGAAAATAGACCAACAATTTTTTTAAGTAAAATGTCTAAATTCTATCCTCATGTGATGGTTGAATATGAGAATAAATAGATTGTATTTTATTAGACGTCAAGTGGTAATGAAGACATCTGATGAGTAATCATCGTAAGCGGTCGTTAATACAATTCAATTACGTTTTATTGTCACAGCATATTACGATCCAACGATGACTATCACTAGGAACCGCCCCGGGTTCATTTTATTACTTCGAATGGCGCGTCGAAACATTCAATACCCAAATGTTTTGAAGAAGTGCTGGAAGCATATCGGTTATACGAACCTACCTGTGATCTCTGAATGGATTTATATGGAAATGAGAATTCTCAAAGTTTTAGTTCGTGTCGTCGATTTTGGGGTATATTGTTTCTGTGCTGCGCGGTTATTGTTGTTATAATTTCGTCGCCTATTGATAGGTATTATAAAATAAAACCAATTTTTAGAAAAGAGAAGTATCTAAGCATTCGAGAACGCAGTGCAAATAGTGTATTCAAAGAGGCCAACTTGCATGAAATTGATATCTCTGGTCTAAATTACTTGAAGCCGACATGTGAAAATATTTTGTCAAATCTAACCGATGGAAGATGGATACGTAAGGCTGATCTACCCATGTAAGTTCAGGCGTTATAGAAAACTCAAAGATTTTTTACTTCGTTGAGATAATTTTTGCAAACTTTGTAATAATTGATGGATCCCAAAAGTCGAAATATTTAATCAATTTCGAATTTTAGTCAAACTAAGATATAGGAACTATTGTTTTATGTTAATAATTAATTATTGTTGATCTTTAGGTTTTGATATTGTTATATTGATATTGTTATTTCAATTGTTCTATTTTTTATGTTCTACAGATCTGATAATAGTTCTTCAGGCTACTATAACCCAATAGGAAAAAAGATTGGCGATCGTATTCAGCAATATAGGAAAGAGAAAGGAATTCAATCAAAAATGTGGAGAGACGATGAAATCTGTGGTTTTCGTCGGTAAGCACGGTTTCACATCCTAGATAGAGGCTACAAAAGGGAGGCGCAGTTCTTACCACTTCATGGAGGCTCCTGCCTACGAACGAACCGCGGCGTCTCTTGGCATGGTTTTATGGCGCTATTACCGGTATATTCACAAAGTCAGATTTTAGCTTATCATGCTGAATTATATTATCTTAAACTTGAAACCTAACCCCAAATCCATCAAAACTGTATCCATAAAGAAAATGTTCCAACTTACCCAAAGTGTGTCACCATCAGGGGCAGTCCTGCCATTACAGCCTACATGCCTTGGTTGTGACAGCACAATTTTACCCGCCATTGGTTTTTAATTTGCTGCCGTGGTACCCGCCTCACGCCATTTGTTTGTGGCAGCTAAAAAGTCAGCCGCTGTAGTTTGACCATAGCGACCATGGTTTGGAAATCCCGCCATGGTTTTGCGACAGCTTCAGACGCCACAAGGTGCTTAAAACTGCACTTGCCTGACGGGGCGACTTACTGCAGAGAGTGTTGAATTTTGAAAAAAAAATCGTAGAAATATTAGAGACTTTGAAATTTGACTTTGCATGTCATCATCCATTCAAGTTTATTATTAATTGTAAACTATTCTACTTTATAGGTTACAGACAAAACTCGAAAATTCGAGTTGGCCGTACGTTGGAAGCTGGTGCAATGCTAACAGCGATAAATCTTGTTGTAGTGACTATGACTCTGGGAAATGTGTAGCAGGCAGTTGTAGATGCACAAGGTATTGAAATTTTTTTCGCTTTATTAAATGAGAGACAGTGCCTTTTCTTGTGATTATTAAGTTCTATGGTTTATTTCAACAGGTGTGTCGACATGAGACAAATTCTTCACGCTGAAGTTAGCGAATGGATACCTTCCGATGTCAGATGCAAGCCACAAAACTACTCTGCTAAAGCTGCATGCGAAGTAATTCAGAAAGCAAATTTGACTGAACTATATTTTGTCGGAGATTCATTCGCAAGGAAAATGTTTAGAGCCTTCATATTGACAATCACGGACGATCGCTGGAAAGGGGCATTTACAAAAAATATGACAAAAGAAATGAAACAACTTTGCGTTGGATACGATCAATTTTATTGGCCAGAATGTCGTTTTAAAGGCACATCACTCGATGATATAGAAAACACAAATTTGTTATGTGGCGGAAAAGGAGATGCGCCATTTAACGCCTATACTTTCAATTATTATAAAGTGAATAGATTACAAGAATTGCTGGCCCTAGTAAATAAGCTTCAAAATAAGCCAGGTACTGCAATATTACTTAGCGTAGGACTACATATGGATTGTAACTTTAACCACGTAAAACGTAAATTTCTTCAACACGTTGTCAATGCCGTGCGGAATATCAGTTCAACAAGTCAGACTAAATCAGAAAAAGGCAGAAAAATATTTCGGCCTAAATTAATAATACTACCGCCTGTCTCAGCTGGTCTATTGAAACCGCCAATTTATTTGAAACAACAGGGAAATGAAATCTGTGATAAGTATGCATTTGAGTTAGAACTATTTGCCAGAAAATATAATTTACCAGTTCTCAATTTCCGAAAATTGACGAGAAACGTTATAAGCTTTGATGGAACTCATTATGGCATGGCGGTCAATTTAATGAAGGTTCAGTTTTTGTTGAATTACCTGGCATCTACTTAATAATATAAAACTCATCAATTATGAGGATTATTTGTTAGGATATATTGTAATTTATTCAACTATATATATATATATTTTTCGCATTTTTTATCACAACTCGTGCACTATATACAATATCCGATACGTTAAATATTCAATAAACAGAAATATGTTTTTGTAAATATGGTTCTTTAGTTTATCGGAAAGTGCGAACGCAGTAAGCTGATGTAAGATGTAGTGATTTCACAATATATATAGTTAATTTGATTTTGACCAAAAGTCGTTGAAATATCATTTTAGTGATCGAACAGTTTCACATATAGATATTCTCTACCTTTAGAATGCATAGACTATTATGTAAATAAATTGAAACGAATCTTAGTCTCCATTAAGTCAAAACAAAATTTTCCAACTTTGGATTGCAATTCCTATGGCTAGATGACGGGAGAGAGCAAGAATGAAACCACGAATAAACTGCGCTTTGACTGATATCGTGGGCTTATTATAGCAATGGTGAAACTAAAACTTTCTTTGACATAATTTTTTTTCAATATTCCAAATCATGAAACTATTTGGCTTACAGAAATAAAAAATATATAAGTTTTCATGTAAACTGAAAGGTATGCAAAAACGCTAGATAATACACAATTGCTTTCAATCCTCATCACATTTGTTACATGCGTATGTGTAACTCTCTATTTAAATGGACCAGGTTATACGGTTTATTTGTAAATTCTATAGTACAATTTTCACGTGGAGTATTTAGTAATACAATAAACTGTATCACACATGTTCGTGGCACAATAATGACATAATTTATAAATGCACTTATGTTATGTGATGTGGATATATGGTAAATATTGACGTGAAGAACCCTTAGATGAAACTATGAAAAATTTAAGTTTTTCATACGTCAGCCATTATTGGGTATAATAATGAATAAAAAATATCGCTACCAATATATACATATCTACATTGCAAAAACATAATGATTTGTTCTGCTCGGCTGTCTTGACAATATTCCATGAAAGTGTACAAATAGGGTTTGCAGAAGGGAACTTAACTGCAGTCAAATTCTAACTTTTTTATCATAGATGTGAGAAAATCACAATGATTTTTTATTCATGTACTCAAAACATTAATGTTGGTAGTGCTTTGTTTTTACATCAAAGCTTTCTGGATTAACACGGCATTTCACGAGTTATGTTTAGATACGATCGACACGATCTGCTGGCTAAGGTATGTCGTGTTCCTTTCCGTATAGTCTAACACAAACAAAAAACAATCCCGTACGCCTCACCGAGCATGACGCGACAACTGTCGACCGATAACCAGGTCTGAACCCTCGCACTTTTCAGAAACAGTGTTACGAAACGGACACGCGATAGATGGAAAAATTTCTTGTGATCGAAATCTAATCTACGATAGCCGCGGGCAGCAGGGAAACTCGATCAAAGTAGGCGAGAAGTACGATTTTTCGTAAAGAATACGTTGCAAAATGCCAGCACCCCAATAAGATTTAATATTCATTTTACGTTTGAGATCACAGATAATTTTTACCAACATGGAACAACACTATGAAGATGACAATATCTATTACGATAATATGGAAATTATGGAGAAAATTGAGCAACGTAAAATACAAGAGGTGATCGATATAAAAGCCAAACATAAGATCCAAAAGCAAAATAATGTGAATCCAACCGAGAATCCACCAGCGCTGCCACCGAAAAAGAAGAATTTACCCAAATCATCGAACAATATAGCCAAGAAAGAATCTGAATCCCCAAAAGTGCCTAAAACTCAAGAAGCGATTCACAATCGCCAACAACAATTGGTGAAAGAAAAGAAACCTGAACCACAACCTCAGCCTCAATCGCAGCAGACATGCAGCCATCCACAACTTTTAAGAACTCGTTCAATTGTTGATGAGCCTTTATCTCCTATTATGGAGGAAGAAAGTGTTTTAGGAGATTCTCCACACGGGAGTTTGCACGGTTCGGATGACGAGTTATCAGAACATCCAAGTCAATCAGCATCGGATACATTTCATAGTGACGATTCTTCCAGTGTGTTTTATGAATCATTTAGTGATCAAACGAATGTTAAAAACAACAATACAAACTTTAATGAAAGTAGGGAAAATGGCAAATCTACGAATAAAACCATTCAAAATGGTATAACAGATAATAAGTCGATTTCAGATTCTGGTGGATCAGGAAACTCAAGATCGTCCTCACAGAAATCTAAAGACAATTCTCAATTTACGCAGAATACAAAGACAGGATCGGGTGGAAGTTTTCCTAATTCATATGATACAAGTTCCATCGATGATGAGTCGGAGCAAGATGGTGTCCAGCCTTACGGTATGGTTGATCTTGCACAACTCGATGAAGCGGAAAATAAACGAAAAATTCCACCCAAACCACGCATTGATGCGAGACAACTTGCGAATCAGAATAGAGATAATTTACACAAACTCAGACAGCATTCTAGGAATCAGAATGCATCTAGGGAAGAAATCAACGAATATGATAACTTGGATGAATATAACGGTAAGTGAACTTGGAACTTAGCTTTTGTCCATTCTTTGCTGAGCTCCCTTATTTCATGAAGAAAATAATACTGATATATAATTGTATGTTTATACTACAGGAGTAGTAATTATCTACCAAATCCAAAAAAAAATATAAGAAAAAGGAGCTTTAAAGATTTATAGTCCTCGTGAATGATATTATTGGATTCGGTCAGAGTTATATCATTTATTTTTTAACATTTTTAGTTTTTTCGAAGAATTTCTTCCGCTCAGTTTAAGCGGATGGAGTTTAAGTGAAATCTGTCATTTAAAGATTTAATTACAGGCTTTGTCATATTATTATTCGCGGCGTTTAAACTCAAAACATTAGCAAATAATGAAATAATTATATGTCGTATGCATTTTTACCGGTTTATAACAAATAATTTTTTTGATAAGTTCACGGTAAATTCACAGTATATGTCAAGAGAGTAAGTGGGGACGGACGGCTGAAATTACATTTCAGATAAATTTTCATAAAACAATTTAAATTTACGAGATTAATTTTGTAGTACAGAGAAGTTCATATAGAATCAATTAGATTGCTTTTGTATCTTTCATGCCCTTCACAATTAAATGTAAGACATTTTATATATACGACTGTCGATATACACCGAATAGCATATTGGTATAAGCTTATTTAAAATCTTGCACAATAATATATTATCTAACGAAAAAATAGTTTGTCATAATCTGTAAAGTTGTGGTTTCCGTTTACGGTTGAAATTTTTTAATAGCGAACCTACATACCAATTCTTTGTTCTAACATCCGGTCATTTTGAGATTTTAAAGTCGTCAGACCGTAAATTTGCGTCTATCAAATGATAAGATCTCTTTAATGACAGTATCGAAATTTTTTTAACAAATTTACTAAGTAAGAAAAAGTTGTACTGTAAGGTGCAGCACGTTTCAATTGTGGGAAAAGCTTAAATGATTCTGGAATAGTTTATTTTTCTATTTTAGCTTGACATTGATCCTTTCTTTGTATTTATTGCCTTGAAGGCATTTATATGTTGCTGTTAGTATTGTACAAGTCTAACGTTATCAAAACCTTGGTATTTATTAGGCTGGAAAAAATTAAATTAAATAAAACATCATTTTAAAATGTCCAGTATCTCGACGTTTATTTGATTAGAAAATCTTTAAATAATATAATAATATGAAAAACTTTGAATCAAATTTAAAATTATTTGCGTAACAACAGTGATGTTTATGTTTTTCTAAAGACACTCGAAAGTTAAATTTCGATTTACTTGACTATAGTTTTTTCAGTCCATATCATCTATTGTGAAATATTATGATTAACTCCCAAAACTCTAGAATCACAATTTCTAATAATCTCTAGCTACTTTCCAGCTTAAAATCTAAACTAGCCCAAGAACGACCTCATTCCAGTTCATCTTGCTTGGATTGATAAGGTATTTTTGAACTGTCCAGTGCTGTTATCCAATACTTCACAAACAGACCCTCACAACTCACAAGTACTTGAGACCAACTATCCAGAAATGATATACCAAATAAGGGCTATTAAGTTGGGCAATATCCGACCAACCTAGGGTAGGGAAGAAATTCACAAATTTATGTTATTGCCATGTCTAATCAAATGAAAAAATTTGACTGGTTGTGAAATATTTTGGTTAATTTAGAAAGATGAGTTACCCAATAATCCAAATCACGCTAGCCCTTAGCCGTCATATAAAATTACCTTTTCAACAAAAGCTCGGCTGATTTGGCAAGTGTTTGGTGACAACTTGACTTTTGTTTTCACAATGGTCCGAAGTGCAGAAACATGGCGATCGCATTTTTGTGCAATTGAATAGGGAATGGATTACATTGTAAGTACGGAAAATCAAATATTTGGGTTACGAAATACCCGAAAGATTGGGGGCTGGGAATAAAAAAAACAGTAAAATGCTTTTATATTAGAACCGACTAGCCGACATTTCCAAACTCTTTTATCTCATACCAAACATTTGCTTTGTAATATAATATATATTTTTAAACAATACATTTCACACTAATTCGCCTTTTAATAAAAAGGGAAGTGCTGCTGCTGATAAGGCAGACAATCTTGTATGTTGGTGGTAACTAAATATTCTTGATTTTACTCAGTACAGAAAATAATTGTTCACTGTGCAGCCACTCAAAGACATTTTATTCTAACTTCATCACATAGGCTAATGCATTTGGGCGCGTCAGTTTACCAGAAAAGATATCGATAATATAATATGTACATATTACCCGTATACATTCGATTTAAGATCACAAAAATTAGTTGGCTTATTGAACTTTATTGAAATTCAACGCTCGAGGGTGTTTAAAAATTGAGTTTTGTTACAATGATAGCAATACAATCAAAAGGACAGAAAAATATGATAATAATACACAATTTTTGGATTCTGATTAGTTTTGTTGTAAATAGTACCTTTTCATATATTTATCCGTATAGTATATATTCGTTCATTACTTCATCTTGATGTTGAATACACTTATTGATTCATTTCGATGAAATTAAATAAAAATAGGTGCGGTTTTATCGCTCCACTTACACTGTATCGATTTCTATTATAGGCCGACACAGTACAGCCGTGTCGTCATTGGACAAGCAGGGAATCCAGAGGCCGCCTTCAACTGCATCACCAAAGTCACTGCCAAAAAATATGACAAGGAGTTCAAATGTTAAAAACGAAGAACAACGTACAAACAGAAGAACTCTATCAGACAGTAGAGAAAAGCGCGACGCACTTAGACGTAAAGAACTGCAATCCATACAGGGTCAAAGACCCAGATCATCTTCGGATCGCAGCGACTCAAGTGTCGATAAACGTATGAAAGGTCCTGCACTTCCACCAAAACCAGCACCGAAAGTACTACCTATCCCTGTCAATGTAAAAGAAGAAGATCTTTTCAAAGATGACGTAAATTTGTATGAAGAGATCCAACCACGTGATGAGGAAGAGAGAAATCACGTGCTACAAACCGACGCAATGGAAAAAGCGTGGGACGACATTCAAGAAATTTTAGAATCAATGGAAATTCCAGATTTTGGCGACGCACAACCGAAGTCAAAAACCCTTTCTACGAAAAGGTTCCCGGTCTCACAGCAATACAAACAATACGAACCTCCTCAATATGACAATTTTGCAGATTTAATGAGCAATCAGAATCTGCAAACTACTCCAGTTACAGCGAGAAAAATGGAGTCACCACTTTTACCAAAACAAAACCCACCATCTCCAAAACGAAAAAATAGTTTTGGTAGTTTGAGCAGTTCTAGCTACAGGTCAGAGCTTTCACACAAATATGATCAACAAAATACCACAAACATCACAGCTTTTAACTCACCCAATACTCAGAATCTACATGGAATGAAGCCACACGAAAATGCACAGGATAATTTATATGTAAATGACAAACAGTTCAGACAAGATGACTTAGATGAGATAATACCAAGCGATATAGACACCAGGTATTACGAAGGACCGCGAGAAAATAGAAATCAGGCACCGCCTCCTTTGCCTGCACCCAGAAAAAGCTTTGCGAAATCACAAAGTTCAGGCCAACTTGTTGGAAATCCAAAGAGTAAACTGCATGTTATGAGCAGAACAAATTCCGGACCTTCAATATTAATAGACGAGCGATACGAATTGCCTGCAAATAATATTCCGGAAAATAAACAGATGTATAGAAAGTCAAAATCTCTTGATGAAAAAGAAAAATCCGCATCCTCTCCAGACGGTTCGCTTCCACGTAGAATGAAGAGTAGAGAGAGTGACGGTGACAGTGGTATGTTTTCACAAAATGTCACAGATGAAGGTTTAGCAATGAAATCTGGTTCCCAATATAGTGATGAATCAATGCTCGACACAAGTGAATCTTTAAAAGGAAGCACCAAGTCCTTAGGTCGAATCGCTTCGCGTGAACGCAAAAAATCTCCTCTCAGATCAAAATTCAAATTTCGCGTGCGATCAAAATCCCAAGAACGATTTCAGAGTGATTCTGGATCAGTTGCACAACAATCTGGCAACAGTGATGTTGACGATGACGCGAAAGGTCGTCGACGCAAAGGGTCAAGACTATCACGCAGAATATCGAGAAAAACTGCGGAGAGAAGAGGGCGTTCTGCTGATCGCAGTAAGTCTGGAGATGAGGACGAATCTCGTGGTAGAAATCCTGTGAATTTTATCAGAAAACTGCTACGAAAATCGAGAGAACCAGCAGAAGAGATTTCAGCGCCAATGCAAGATTTTGACGTGGAAGCTCATGGTGAGATTTTGGTTTTAAAAGCATTCGATCACTCGACATTAACTCTTTTGCGATATAGTCAACCACTATTCCACTTTTTGATTCCTACTTTTAATTTCAATTAATAAAATTGTATACATTAGGTTGAATGTATTATTTAATGTACGTTTTAGACTATGTTAAAATAAGAATCATCCACAAAAAAACAGCAATTTACAGTTTCACACTTTTGCATCTAAGTCTTAGTTTTCTGGGAATACGTTATTTGCTTGTCTTTCAGTATTGATTTGTGCAAAACACTTTAGTTTAAACGCTCAGTATGGGGAGCTAAGGTTTTTCAGCAAATTTGGTGATCATTATTTAAACTTGGAAGGGCAGATTCAACTTTTGATCTACAAAATCTGAGCTCGATCTGTCCTGGCGCATGGTCGAATAATTGAAATATAAAATCAAGCACTCTGCCAGATATAGTCCAAATAAGAAATTGATGTCATTCTGTAATACGTTATGTCATTTAAATATCGTCAGCGCAATATAATCCACACATGCCACTGAAATTGCATGTACTCGTCAAAAGTGTCTCTGAGGTGAGCTTAGCCAGACAAAAACCAAGGAGAATGTTTTAGCATTGCATGACGGCCTTGTTTACTATATGGGTGGCATCGTGAAAGCCGACAGCACGATTATATAAGTAGCAATATTATTTATTTTGTGTTGCTGTTCTTAATATTGTAGATTTAGAAATTTTATCATTTGTGCCAAGTTCAGACTAAACATAAAACAAATAATGCATATATATACAAAAATATTTCTCCTTATTTCGATTTTTAAGTTTTAAAGAAATTGAACTAAAAAATTATTATCTAATGACACAGCGTAAAATCACGTTTCTCCCAGAAATTCAATTGTTTGAAGTCATATATATTCTAGGTTAAAGGTAGAAAATATCTTCAACAACGAGTTTATTTTGTTCACTTTAGTTGCCAATCAGAACTTGTACGTCCAGTCACCCGTAGCGAAGGCCCCTTCGGTGACATCACAACCAGAAAGACATCAGAAACCATTGGACCCACCTCGGTTAGTATATGTTATGTTGCGATACATATGTGTCTCCCAAAGTTATGTAATGCGGTAGATATATAAGCCATCGTTTCCAAGTAATTTGGTAGAAAAGTAATAAAAAAAACAATCGATAAAATTCCAGTGAGAAACAGTTGATATCGCCGCCTTCTCGTCGAGCAAGAAAAATGCTACATTCAAGAAGAGCACGCGAATACGCAAGTTCATCTGACGAGGACGATAGTGACGTCATTACCAATAGAAGAGATGGTTATGATCAAAGAAATGCAAAACTTGGTAAATATTAGTATTATGACACCATAATTGAGTGGGCAAAATAATGATTCTAAGCATAATAAAGTTTAATAGAAGCAAAAATAAACTTTTAAATTTAAGGTGGACAACGTCCGGATCATCACAACTCGTTTCGAAACCAACGAAGAAATTCGCCTTCGACTTCAGATTCAGAAGAAGACTACAGACCATCATATGAGGTTTGAAACGTATATGATTGAGTATTTAGCCGACTACTTGATATCAGTTTATTCAAATGCATCAAACTCCGGTTATACATCATTTTTAATTGATCTAAAATGTAGATATTCTGTGATCATGTCTGAAAAAACAAAATATAAATAATATTAACAGAACAACAGAGGAGGGAATGGATTTGACGATTATTCCGGTAGAAGAAAAAGTGGAACAAGATATGATTATGAAAAAGATGACAAAGCGATGAGGTAGGGAGGGGCTTTCTTATTAGTACTCCTTTATCTTTCGTTGTTCGGCCTTCAGCAAGCCCCGATTTCTGGACATTTTTATTCCTATTCCATGTTTTATAACCGTGCCTGTGTAGGGCATGTTTTATACATCTTAGAAAAAATGTAATTTATTTGTCATAACTCGCTATCTGTGCAAGTTATAAAAAGTCAATCAATATTAGCATTTTTAAAAATTAACAATAGTATTTAAATATTTACGTTAAAATTTCAATAAAAAATAATTCCGATAAATTCGAAGCATTCATTCTATCAATCCATTAAAAAACCACCCATTTTAGTACAGTACAACCTGTAAATAGACTTAGCATATAACATGGTATGTTTTTCAATCTGATGAAATATTTTTCTCTCCATTTTCCAGAGATAGGAACCAAAGAACTCGCATACAACATCCAAGAAGACGACATTCAGACAAAAGAAGAAATTACAATGACGGAACACAACAACCATCAAACAATGCATCACAACAACATGAAAAATACAGAACTCTCGTTTCTCTTAACGCACAAACCTTGAAAAAGGTATTAAATATTTTGCTTGCACACCATATTGGTATTGTCACAGTCAGCGATTTCTCATTTTATCAGGAAGTTTGCAATATCTATTGGTTTGTCATCTAGTAAACGAATCTGTATGCTAAAATGATCCTAAAATTGTAGAGAAAACGATAGAGAAAATTTCAATTGAAAACAAATGAACTGAATGTTTTTTAACATTCGTGTTCATCCTCAATATTTTCATTATAATGATAATTTTAATTAAACTATGTTGTATATTTACTGTTGTTGCTTATTAATATTATTTATGAATGTCCTAATTATAAAAAGTATGGCATTTTGAACCTGCAAATTATCTTATCGAAATTGACAAATACGGTCCCAAATATTATTATTTTTGGCTTTGCGTTATACGCCACGGTAGAGCTAACTTTGAACTAAAAATAGCAAGAATGTGATGACACCGAATATAATAAAAACAGCTGCGCTTCACTTTTGTATCAACTTTTGCAAATTCAAAATAACTGTAAACTTACACTTTGGTGAATAGAAACAAGCAATTTTGAGATAAAATGACATCCGCCAATAATGAAATTTGAGCCGGCCAAGCCTTAAAAAATTTACCATAATTTTAATGGAATCCAAAGATTTTGTTACCTCTGCAGTATTCAAATGTATGCTATCTACACAAATAGAGGCCGAAACTAACTTTGGCCCAAACTGCGCATTTCATGAGCATTCACTCACACATAGACTTCGTGTTTTCGTTGTGAAATGTTCATGAAATTTTCTGACAGACAAGGTTTGCAATAGTATTGCCATTCTGCTATAGGATTGGCAAAAATACAAATCATATTATCTAAAACGTAAAATAGAGCTTACTTCGTCTTTTTAACATACATCACTATTATTTTAAACTGAATTCTATATTTCGCCCATGTTTGGTTAAGCAAAACCATGGGATTTGATTTCCGGTTGAATGGTGTACCTCGTATTCCCTACCAGACAGTGTTACATTCCACCGTAAGTTTCGGCTCAAAAATATCAAGCGTTAAAAGGGGCACTGGGTTCCGAATACGTCACAATCCACGTCAAAATACGTCGCTATATGACATTACTATACACTTTTTCTCACGCTCGCGAGTAAATAACTCCGAGACTATTTCACTATACACCAACAAAGAACGAAAAACACAATTGACTATTTATCAAAAAATACTTTTATGTTGTGTTTAATTAGACACAGTTAGACTTTAATAAGAAGCATTAAAATAGACATAATTTATGAACACTCATCTTATTGTTACAGTTTTGAATGTATGTAGTAGTTTATATCAACTTCTGCTCAACATACTTCGTTCTGTTATTTCTAACAAGTGATGAGTGATGAACAAGTTACTGAGATACCCATTGAGCTATTACCACTTGTATACTACAATTTTGGCAAACACTAACGGCCTAGCAAATATGTCTGTATTTTCCGTATAGTTTATTGTGACAAAAGAATATGGTATTTTGTTTTTCTTGAAGAAATTCAATTTCATATACAGAGGCTAACTCCTTCAAATTTGCTAATTGTTCCGAAGCGAATGATAGGCTGGTAAATTAGATGAAATGTATGGATTATGAAATTTTTTTAGTGTAACCTCAATAATTCACCCAGAATACCAACAGGTATTTCTTCTGTCATATTATATTTAACTTGCAAATACAAATTATCATTTAATTGCATAAACCACAGTGTCCAAAATATTATTAGTTTGCTTTACTATTATAACGTCATTAAAGATTACAGAAAAATGGTTGACGGAGTGGAGAAATCAGCTACCCGTTGGTGGATTCTTGATTACGTCATGGTCTGACGTAGTTTTGGCCAGCAAAAGACCTCAATGCATTTTGGGAAAAACTGTATTATATGTTGCTCATTTTTCTACCAATCCAGATCATAAGCTAGCTTGCCAGGTATATAAAGATTTTCTTGCATTCTATTTTATATCTCATTTGTCTCATTACATGCGCAGTAAATATAGACAAACCACATTGAGGAGTTAGAATTCGTTAAGCGATTATTACATATGGACTATTGACGAAAACATATTTCTTCTGTACGTGATGTCAAAGTTCGGTTTTCTCTTCATTTTCGTTTTAAATATTTCAACATTACTATTTTAATCTACCCATAGAAAACACATAATACGTAATAACCCATTCTACATGATGGTAGCAAAAGAAAATTACAATAACGAAAAGATGGCTATGTTTTGAAGATTTAGATGAAGGTTGTTTGAGGATGCATATTTGCTCTTACTTGCATTTACAACAACACGACGACGATTTCCCCATCTGTATTTGTCTAAAGAATTCATGTATATTAATCTTTGTCCTCGTTTGGCATATTTAAGCATCTCAATTACAGCTATCGTGCAAAAATTTATATATTTCAATCAAACCCGTTACACACCTCAAAAGAAAGGTTTTCATAAGGTTGAGTTGGTGACTTATTATGTTTGTCAAGTCAAAAGTAACTTCTCTGACCCATGATTTTTTAAGTGCAACCAAACTAATAACATTTCTTTAGAAACAAAGATATGCATTTATAATCCATTGTTACAATTGTTACAATGTGTTGAGCAAAATTCAATCCTATTTCTAAAATAATTGTAGTTTTTTTTTCTATCCATGCCCTCTGCTGACGGGACAAAATTATTGTCAATATTTAGACGTGCACATAAAACTAGTGATATGAAGTTATATCTGCACATGGTCCTTTCTTCATATGAAGATTTTAATGAAAGGTCATTCACAGAATAATGAGAATTTGTTCCCTAATTTTAGATGTTTGATCAAAAAGATATCAACTCTCGCCTCATACGTCAACTCGAAAACTGCTCTACTTTGACGGCGCACCCGAATCTATGCAGCGTTTGCAGCCATTTCCCTTGTCAAGTGCCTGGTTCGCTGATCAACCCTGCTTATGGAGATAGACCCGTGAAAGCCTTGTGCGTTGTATTGGCAAACGTACCAGCTATGTCACTAGCTGAATATCTTCAGAGATTGGGAGAAGAAAAAGAACCCAAACAAGTTCACAAGTGAGTTAATGTGTCACTCTCACGTTTTTTCAACAACATTTTAACGTATGCATTTCTGTGTTTATAAGTGACTAATTGATTCCAAAATAGAAACAATGGCGTCATCAAAGTGAAGTGAGGGCACGCACTTCTCAAATGTGAGAAAATAGTTATCTTGAGTGCCAAATACCAAATTAATGGAAATAGGGAATTTATTGTAGAGTCCCAAGTCACAAAGAATTCAAATCAACCATGCAGTTTAAAAACAGCATTTATCCTAACATACTGCGAAATAAGGTTTACTCGGCGGTAGGCAAGCTAGTAATCCTACTTCCAACCATTTCAAAACTAAGTAAGAACCTCGGGTAACGCATATTTAGTCTGCGGTGTACACTTGATAAGATTTTTTAGTTTATAGTTAACAGTTTATAGTTATAGTGATTAGGCGTCGCCTCGAATGGAATCGAACTTTTTGATGTCAATATTTCGCAACCATTGAAAAAGACAATTCCACCATAACAATGGTGCCGTCAAAATTAACATTGTTTTATATACTAACAATTAGGAATTGTATTTCAATTTATTGTTAAGATGATGGCCTTCTTTTTTAATCTTGAAAGCGAATCCCTTTTGGTAGCATACGCGATTCAAACACAATGTTGAACATCATTTCAGTAAAATATTTTGCAATAATACCAAACATGAGACGCCAAAATTAGATAATATATAATAAATATTAAATTACGCTTTGTGAAAACCAAAATATTATATTTCACAGGCAAATCCTGCTGATGTTACTTCAGCTGCTTCAGGCGATGGACAATCTATCTTCTTCCGGATTCAGTATTTCATGCATAAAACCAGACCATCTTGTGGTAACCCAGGAAAGAGGACTATTACAGATTCTTCCTCATATGGATTGCGCGGACGAAAACTCTACGGAGAACGATGAGGGCTTTCGAAGGTTACCAATCATGCAACAAATAGCAAAGTTAGTATCGTGGATGCTCCAAATCGGTACAGACATACATAATTCCAGATCACAAAAACCTGCGGCCGCATCTCCGCACCTTTTTGCTCTTAAAAAGATTGTATATATACTCACTGAACAACCACAAAATCTGGACAGTCGTGCAATACAAAGCATCGCCCAATGTGCTTTATGGGGTCCTATGACGTCAGAAGAATTGGATCTGGGTATGAAAAATACGTACGAGGCACTTGAAATGTGGGTCGACATGAAACAAGCAAAACTTGTTAACAGTATTGCTGTTTTATTTTCTGGGAAAAGCAACTCGGTGCCGATATATATGTTTTACAAACATCAATATTTTTCACAAATCAATCCCGAAAGTTTGTTTCAGAATTTGAGAACATTGCAGCGAATTTAGTTAAAAAATAAGACTGAAAATGGCACACTAACATTTGCAATAATGTATTGTGAAATCTTGAACAGAGCTAACATAATTTACAAAATTTGATAAAAGTGTTACCATTTGAATTATGACAAGGTGGATAAGAAAAAATAACAAAATTAGACATTTTCATTGAATATGCAAAAACTCTTAATACCAGACTATATATTTGTTTGTTTTATATTGCTTATGTTAAATTGAGTTTATATGATAAAAGGAGCAGTTGCAGTTCTACGAGGTGATAGTTACAATCATACCTCTGTCAATTTATAAAAATATTATTACTTTTTTACGGTTTCAGGGAATTGTAACATATACTCATTTTCCACAAATCGTTTTGAAAATGACTACAAGCAAGTAATGTCAACTATACCTTTTTATTATTTGCTTGACAATCATACATTCATGCATGTTTGTCCTAACGAGCCATATTACATATTTTTGCCTTTCTATGTATTTTGCTCTGGGAAGGTCTAGTTTCAACAATATGGCTGTGTAATGTGATATCACAGTATTTTATATTCCGCCCACAAAATGAGCCGTTTGGGACCTTGTTTCGAGTGTACTCTTGTTATCTGTATTATTACATAATTTCCGTTGTCAACATTATTGCTTTATTTTATCAGTTTCATATATATTATAATGCAAATGTGTGAAGATGTATCTTCGTGAATGGCAATATATTGCATCTATTGGCCAATTTTCAAGACTTTTTCAATAAGAGGTAATATAATTGATGGGATTGGCAGTAATGACTTGTTAGATTATTCATATAATTCCCCGCAATTGAATAAAAGAATATACAGTCATTTCAAACCGACCTTTTTGGAATCTTAAGTTATGAAATTCAAGCTTGATTAATTGTTAGGTCAGCGATACTCAGTCGAAATATATAGAGAAAAATCACGTCAGCAGTGGAAATGACTTAACTTAAAAATTGGCGTTCTGTTTGGAAATATGCATGACCTCAACATAATAGGAAAATGCAAAACAAAATAAAAAGTTCTCAATAAAACTGCAGGATGTATTAAATGATATACTTGTTGCAAAACCTAAATAGAGCTAAACTGTGAATACTAATTGAGTTATCACAATTTTTCGCGCCACGTTTGTACGACTTTAAACTGCCGTAGAGAGTTGAACTTATGCCATATTCGCACAATAAAGGTTGTTCTTATGGATCATTTCAATAAAATAATCTTTTACGCTTGTGCGAATCGCTGCCAACATTTGTTATCACTTTGCCATATGTCGTCGAGGGCAGATGTGTCTGGCGTACTTTAGCACCTACTAAAAATAAACGTCGATCATAATGAGCTAATCAAATCATTATACCAGAGTCTTTAGTGGAGGAAAGTTATTGACCGATTGTCATTCCGTTGGGAGTTGTTGGAACCGCAGATATCTATTAGTCGCAGTTCAAATAGTTCAAGCCGGCATATTTGGTGTGCGAGTGGAAATTTATTTAAGCTGAATAGTTGGAACGACTGAAGGAATCATAATGGTAAATAATATTTTGTTATGATATTTTTTCAATTGTGGCTAGCGGTATTTTTCCTATGTTGGTCTCTCCTATACAGAACTCGGAAAAAATTGCTTTTAGTTAGTGGAAATTGGGTTTGTGTGGGTGTGTAGATATGATTAGGCAAGAGACTTATTTGTTTGCGCATATTTCCGCAGAATATAGGTGTAAGACTAATTAATTTAACATTTCAACATATCTTTTAGCTTATGGATTTAGTACAATTCATTCTGAATTCTCGCGCAGAAGTTATTAAAACGACATATGGTTCAAAAGCCTAATTTGCTCGAGCAAAATTTCAAAGATTGCCTTTCACATACCGGTTTCTGTTGAAGCTGATAAATTTAAAGCAATGGCGTTTTTACTCTACCTAAATGTTCGTTTTAATAGGATTTTATTATTGCATCAATTACTATTTTATTTGGTGTTTCAACTCAATTGACTTTTATTCATCTATAAAAATATATCTTTAGTCGATGACAGTAGAAGAAGCTAGAACTTCTCTCACGAAGGAACAAATCAATGGTAAGTTGACAAAATTCTTTTACGGTGAAATCCTTCCCCATAGAAACTCATTTGCGCATGACAAGGAAAAAATGAAATTTGAATGTTGAACATATTTTGTCTTTGAATAATTGTCTTTGACAATTTTGTATATTAGTTAATAATAAATCATGAAAAAATGATTCACATAAATTTTTCTTTCAACTTCTGCTATTTCTAACCCTTCAATTGCATTCATATTTTCTGAATAAGATAATGGAAGCGACAACGATGGATCAATTATCATACAACTCTATCGAAGATTACCAATCTTTTGATAACATCAAATATTTTACTTTGTGTATTACAGAATTCAAGCAAGCTTTTGACATCTTTGATCAAGACGGTGGCGGCGACATCAGCACAAAAGAATTAGGAAGAGTCATGAAACTGTTAGGACAAACTCCATCTAAAGATGAACTAGACAAAATTATCGAAGAAGTTGACGTCGATGGTGAGCTCTCTTTCGTGTTTTCAAACAATTTCTGTCAACCATGGTCAATAATTTTACACATTTGAGAATAACTATTGAATAGTTGATGATAATTATCAAATAGATTCCAATATTTTTACTCGTATATATTCAGGATTAAACAATATCATTCTAATATTATTTCAGGAAGTGGTACCATTGATTTTGATGAATTTTTGATTATGATGGTTATGCAAATTGCCGAAGAAGGAAAGAATTTGGGCGAGGAAGAATTAAAAGATATTTTTAGACTCTTTGATGTGTAAGTTGAAAATCTGCATGTAATAAATTTTACATCCTGAATGTCCACTGTTTAAATTTGATTGGTCAATCATACATTTCTAACCATCATAATTTATTTAGCTGAAAATTGGAAAATAACATAATATCTTTCGAAACCAAAAATATGAATATTTTTTTTTCCTAATGAATACATACAAATATATTGAATATAGGCATTCTTATAATTATTTGCAAATAGAAATTCTTCATTTGTATTGTATTTATCACCTAAACTTTTTTCATTCTGCTACGGCTTTCAATTCACTTTCAACGTAGGAAATTTTATTCACTTGAATTCATTTTATTGCTTTTGCAATTTAGTAACGGTGACAACTTTATTGATTGGTCCGAGTTGAAAAATGCTTTGATGTCATTAAATGTTGATCCTAAAGTTGAAACATGGGAAGTGGATGAATTGTTCAGAGATGCTGACAAAAACGGCGATGGAAGCATCGATGTCGAAGGTAAGAATATAGTAAAGACGAAACTATCTGATACATCTTCATCTAGAAACTAAGAAAAGCCAATAAATAAGTATTTGCTTTCGTAAATTATAGTTAGTAACGTGCCAAAGGTAAGTTAGATGGCGCTGGTTCAGTTTTAAACAAATCAGAAAATAACATTTGTCTCCGTTGGGATATTTGGTGTTTTTCACCTTGTTTGTTCGCCAATGACATTTCTCATTATATTTTTTCCCTTCAACAGAATGGAGCATATGGATGGACGGAGTACGATAAATTGTAATAGTAAATACTTAGATTTACTAAATGGAAATTGCTAAATTATACTTGTTTATCTACCAAAATGTTCGAAATGTGGCACGCATGTGTTATTTGCAACCGCATTGGGTATCAAATTTTCCTTAGATTCTGATGATTTGTTTTATATTTGTGACTGGCCCCAGCGTGTTAAAATGATGATTGCTCTATAAAAATAATATCTTTGAATTTTCTACATTATCTTCCGTACGACTTTGAAATTATAATTATATTGTGGTACATATCGGAGTTATACTGCTTTGGTTGATGAAAAAATTGGGGAATATATACCCGATGAAATTTTATTTAGTGTCCTTTGTTTGTCACTTGTCCGAAAATCCTATGTAATAAATTTGAAAACAGAAAATTGAATCAAACATTTTTCGTAAAGTGGGATTGTTGGGAGACTGCAAGCGAAGTGAACGAAGGGCTTTTGTGTGTGTTTACAACGTAAAAAATCTTTTGGCCACATACTGTAAATTGCAGGAATCATATACATACACAATACATACAAATCAAATCAGTGAGAAAGTACAAAGTGGCTCCAAAACGGAACCCAAGTCATTTTAGACATATTTTAGAGACAACATAATCTTTGTGCTAAGCTTGATGAAACTTAGACTGAGAGTTTTGGGTACAATAATATACCCAAACAGAAGTTCGGGTGTTGAGTAAATTCTCTTCATTTTCTTGGGAAGTGGGCATATTGGGAAATTTATAGGTTCTGTGTTTTGTGTAAACCTATTGTAAATACAGAAAGTTGGAAATATGGCTGGAACTATAATGAACATCAAGATCCCTCAAGCAGATTTGAGAGATTTATTTTTTCAATCCTTTAAGACTAGCTTGGTTTTCTATTTTGCTAAAAGATAGTCACAAGATACGCGTAATTATGTAAAACTCGGTTTTAGGTAACTGCCTAACAATTCTCACTGAAAAAATAAAATTTTCAATGGCATTTGTTTATCTAGACCAGGAGTGGCCAACCAGCCAGAGACCAAGAGTCGCGTTTCCCACTTTATTAACGCGAAGAGCCACATTATAAACAAGAACACACATGAACATCAGATATACTTTCAGCTCTGTTAGAATGCTAGTTTATTGTAAATGTAACTAACCAACATCATTATGGCAGAATTTACAAGCCATTTATTGTTTAGATTGCTATTTGGTGGGATTGATTTCATGTGTTTACTGTAGAAAACACAGATTCGCAGACGTATGTTGACCTAAACATTGACAATATCTTAAGCGCAGCTCGTTTGACATTGGGGTATTTGTTCATTGGCATGCTTTTTCATAACCTAATGGCCCCTTCTCTTAAAGCTTATTTCAGTTGGTCTTCCTCATAAAGGTCGACCATCTTCAACTCAGTTGCAGCCTCCTCTGAGACTAGAGAGACTTTCAAACCATTCGTTTGAGTAGTCGATGACTTAATCTGTGACGTTTTGTGTGCACTTATATTACTTTACTCAGTGTTAAACTGCACTTTTGTCGCCGAACTTCGTTTTCGATACGATTACGACATCCGTTGTAGTGCAGTAAACGCGTCTCACAACAATGAATTTAATTGTGACGCAATAATGGAAGATTGTAAGTAAATTGAATGAAGATGTTCACGTATCTGCTTCGACGTCAATCAATCAATCAATTTCATTTTGGTCCCTTTGGTATAAAATAAAATAACAACAAACGAACAAACAAAACGCAGAGGACCTGGAGGACGAGCATAACTTAAAGACAAAGTTAAAAACGCGTCCATCCACCAAAGACAGTCAAATAACACAATAAAATAAAAATACACGATACTAGGGTTGGATTATCGGTTAACCGAGAGTTATTTTGCAATCTGATATCCGGATATTCTTGTGACGGTTAACCGGATAATAGAGCAGTATATATAATATAGCATATAATACCAACTTTTATTCACCTCCTTAGGCGCATTGCTACTTTTGTTAGTTACATTGTTACATAATTTTGTTTGCTACGTTGCTGTATGTTGTTTATTTTGCAGTATAGATGCAGTTACTGGTTTGTGACTGATCAATACTGATTACTAGGGATGTCCATGCATTTCGTTTAGAGTTGTATTCAAATTTCGGTTGATCTTGTAAAGTGTTCAAAACTTGAGACAGCAGCCGCTCGAATTTTTTTGTTACGTCGGTAGTTCAAAATAAATATGTAAAATATACTTATATAATAAATACTTCGCGACTATTTGTGAAGCAGTCACTGCGATCATGACACTCGCTGATAATACCGCCTACTTTTTCAGTTTATAATTATTTTTTCATTGCGCAAAATATTCAATTTGTAGCCGATTCGAGCATTTTAAAATGTCTTTCCATGATAACTGTGTTCAACGTATCTCACGATTGCATCGACTTACGTTAAAATAAAAGCATTTCTACTCTAGATATGAAAATACGTGGTAAGCTGCACTGATAAATCCAGTCTTAATTCGTATTTTTGCGATATTGCGAATTTATCAAATTTGAGCTATTATTGCAGTTCCAATGAGTATAATTTATTTAGTACAATAAATGCAGATATTAATATATCAACATATTCGGGAGAAAATTCGAGTGCGGTCTCGTCGGTATATAATGCCGATAATTGTTTTATTTCGCCCGAAACTGAAATCGCCGTACTATGTTATCTATGGTGACCGTACATTTGAACCCATGTACATTTGAACCCATGCGTATATCCACGGGTTCAATCTATATGCGGGTGCTAAAACCCATGGGTTAGGGTTAGTATGGGTTTAACTATCCGTGAAACAAAAAAAAATTCCATAGGTGCAATAGCATACAGGTGCAATTGTCATGGGTTCAAATGTAATGGAACCGTTATCTATATCGTCGTATTTATTTATCGTTAAAAAAGTAAATCTGAAACACACATTTTTGACTGAAGATAAGCCGTAAATCAGTGGTTCTAAACCTGTGGTACAATCAGAAAACATTGCCTCATTTTGTAGTTTTGCGTGTTATTTGTCAGTTTTCAGTTGCGTTTCAATAAAATAGTGAATTAAATATCTTAATTGTCATTATGTCTTCAAAGGAGCATTAATTTAGTTGCTGCAATCAAAATGAGTCTCGCAAATGCTGCGATAGACTAATCTAAACTAAGCTATCAGTGCCTGTAAGCGGCACATGGTTGATTAATTTTAATAAAAATGATGGCTTTCAAACACGTAAACCAGCTTATAAGCGCCAACACATCAAAACACCCTCAAAATAAGTAATTTTTTTTTACAATAGTAAAGTATAGGAAGAATTTTTCTGGGGTCAAGGGCAGGAGAAACGTCTTATGAGTCAGTCCAGTCTTTATAAATAGCCCTCGCCTGCTATTGTCCACGAACGAATTGAGATGGGCATGTATTCGTCCGTCTTGCGAATTAGGTCACTGAGCCACATTATAAAATACTCCCATAGCGCGTGTCTTGTGCCATTGTTCGCCGCGCAAAAAAATGGCTATTCCAATGGTACGCGGCCAGAGTAAAAAACAGTAAAGTGTTACGCGGTCAGTAAAAGGTTGAGAACCACTGCGGTAAATGCTAACGAAAATACCACGACTCTTGATTTATGAGCCAGTGATAAATTGAACAAAAACGCTATTATAGGCGTTGTTGAATCGCCAAAATTTCGTAATAATCGTATTTACTGAATTTGCAACAAGGGTTACTTTTCACGGGATGTAACTTTTCACGGGATGTAACTTCTCATCAAATTAAAACTGGCATAATGCCGATGTTAATTCCCAAAATAATCACGCGACGCGGATGAAAACAGTCGGCGATGCTAACAAAATTAGTGACTTATTAGTGAGTATCTTTGTCATTAAAAATTCACGGTCTTTGTCCCTCCTGTATTATTCTGGTTCCTTCTCACCAAAATAAAATGTGTCCTCCGGTGGGTTATCTGGGATGTTTGTTTGTGGTTTTGTGACTGCGGGATGGGGATTTGTTGGATGTTTTGGAAGATATTCTGAATTTGGATAATTATTTCATAGACTATCGGTACGCTACACACACAATGTAAAAGAATAATGCACGACGAATAATAATATATTTAATCGAAACAAGATGAATCGTACTTTGCAAGCATGCACTTTATGTTTAGGTAAGCTATTGCTGTGGAGTTGACCAAAGTGTAGATAGTGTGATATGATCAAAGTTGAATGTTTTTGCATGGTGTGACAATTGTGTCCCTATCAGAAATTGCTTTTGAATCCTCCAAACACCAATATAAGGTGATAAGAATTTAATGCTCAATACCTAAATACCTAAAATCAATTTAACAATTTCATTTATCTCCTAATAATTAATAGGTCAACATATATCCATATATGCAATCTTTTAAACACCTACTTGCAGATTGTTTTTTTTTGTTTTTCAGTCTACGTCACAATCATCGAATGACGTGAAATATGTGAACGAGTTTCCAAAGACTGACTCTGATGAATTTTCCTTATTAATCTCAAAGGGTCCTATGAAAAACGTCCTCAATTCCTTTATCCTTGCTCCCACCCTTTATAACCAATAAATGACAATACCTTTATAACCAATAAATCACAATACCTACCTCAGTATCAATCTCCAAATCTAACTATATTATACTTAAACTGTTACCAGTAGTAGCTATCTATTAATTGATGTAATCTGGACTACAATTTAGCAATATTTTGGCATGTCTTTGGTGAATGAAAAGGTCTAGTCCACCTCTTCATGCAATCAACTTTGATTGGGCAATTTGGCACTTAACTCCAATTGTAATAAGCTTGGCGAAATCATTTTTTTCCTTATATTAAATACTGTTCACTCTTGTTCGGGATTTTTTACAAAATTATTAAAACGGTGTGGCAAACAATTCTTGTTATTTATCACACTTCTTATCTTTTATTCTAATTTTTTTTTATGTGATTATTTTTTTTTACCATATAATTTATCTAACGCTTCTCTCTTTTTTCTAATTTTATTAATGCCTTTTGGTTGTGTGTGTGTGTGTGCGAGTGTGATTGATTTGATTCAGTAGTTTAAGGTGAGTGAACACGTACCACTTCTTTTTGGCTATACCTTCCATCTTATATTCTGTACGTTTTAAATCTTATTCAAGGTTTTGTTTACTCTCCTGATTTCATGATCAATTTTTATTTATTTGTTTTTATCAACCGTTTTATCTCGTTTCTGGTGATTATGGAGTAGAAATAAACTTATCTTATCTTGTGTCCCCCCCCCCCCTAAAATAACCATGGCGAAAAGAGCCGCATAAAACCGGCGCAAGGGCCACATGCTGAGTATCCTCATTTGTGGCGTGAGAGGCTCGATGCAATCAAACTACACAACAGAAAAACATTAATTAATAAATAAATTAATTATTTCATGTTAATCGCGGTCTCGGTCGTAACAAATGGTTAAATGCGTATTACCTAAACTGGAATCTATTTAGTTGAGACTCAAATATTCTGGCTCAGTTGTTCATGATTTTAAAGAATACATATCCGCAGGTGTATATACTGTATTGCTGAATATCAAAAATGTATAAGTCGAATCCCTTTGACGAATACTGTGAAATAGCTCTCGTTCGATAAGCTCCCCATGCCAAACCGTTTGATCTATTCGTTCGTTAAATTTATACAAAGTTATACATTTTGTTATCAGTTACCCATATTTGGGAGAATAAATGTTCAAAGTTCCCCAAATTATATAATTTTTGCTAGTTTATACGGACGACTGAGCCTAGGCTGTCGGATAAATGTATTCAAACGCATCTCCAATAGCAACAATGAACTAAATTTGCTCTGTTAACAATAGTTTGTGTACGTGATAATTCATCAAAATCTATTTTATAAAAAATTAAATGCATCAATTTTTAATATTGCAACTATATATCACAAAATCACCTCTCTAAAACGTGTGAAATATTACGCGGATGAATACACGTTGCTATCCGTTCGTAGCAACGACGAAAGGCGGAAAAGTCCATAACAACTGGCCGTGGAAACCGAGTGGCATCATCCGTGGCGGTCGCTAGTGGTTTCGTGGTATTTTTTCATCTGTTTTTGCTGCTGAAGTCGATAGCTTTATAGATCAGTCGTATGAGATCGTACTTAGTTAGAGTTCGTATATTAAACACATTTCGCCGTTAGTCATGTTTAAAAATACATTTCAAAGTGGATTTTTGTCAATTTTGTACAGTATTGGAAGTAAACCATTACAAATTTGGGACAAAAAGGTAAGTTTAATACTTTCCAGTGACTGTGCATAATATATATATATACTACTTGTTTGACTGAAAAGCAGAATATTCATCTGATATTAAGGCATCATAGCGATTGAGCCATTGTCATTATCTGTCTCTCTGTTTCGTTGTCTGGTTGTAGGGGTAGATATCTCTATATTCTTTTAGGGCACTGTCATGTCAGCATGTGTTATTACGGTATGTTTTATGGGAGGTTACAATTCAGTCAGAAAGTGCATGTGACTTTGTACGTTTGCAAGTTTTCTGCAAGCAGTACAGTATTTTCTATCTTTTAAATCTGTAAACTCACAAAAACAATTAGCATTGTTCCTGTAGTTTCTATTTATTCCTATATTGTCTTAGTTTTTCACTACATTGCTCAAATAACATTCTGAAATAGTGAAATTTTCTTGTAACGCACTGCAATCACTCGCTACAGGACTGACAGGATATCTGCTTCAATAATTGTCTTATACCTGAATACTATATTAATCAACTTTATGAATATCATAATACAGTACTGTAATACCAATGTTTATCTGGAATCCACAGTTAATACATTCAGACATTACATATATAAAGTCTGGGGGCTAGCAAAGTACACCTTAAATGCTTATATAACGCCACACAAAAATGTGATGTGAAAATACTGCCCAAATTATGATTTTTCCCAAAAATAAGTCTGTCTCGCGTGGAACGTTATCGGTACCTTATGTGACATGACCCAGTTAGTTGAAAATTGGGTGGGTTTAGTTTAAGTTAACATGTCTTTCAGTAATTTCATTCTGTGCCAGAGAGACTTTTTTTCAAAAAACCACGAAAATTTCACATCTTATTTTTGTTTTGCATTATTCAAGCAGTTTCGGCACTCATTTCACATCACAGCTTCAGATGTTGTTTGATGGTATTTTGAGGAGTTTACTTCTTCACCCCAAGTCTTGAGGGTTGTAAATTCGTAAAACCCATTTATTTGGGTCATTGTTATCTTCTGTATTCATTATTAAGCAGCTATGCAGTGCTTCTTTTGAAACGTTGCATGGCGACTTGTATCTGCACGGGGCTCAACTTTGATGAAATTGACAATAATGAGAAACAACATTTGTGTTAGTTTGCAGCAAAGTTCTTGAACCACTTAAAATTATAAACAAAGTTGTTATTTATGTCAGGATTGCCACAGCTTAGGTGAAATATTGCATCTGGCTAAATATACAATAATCAGGAATCAGGATAAACCATTTCTTAGCAGGGATTCTCAATTTTTTTAACTTTCAAATTTTACATTTTTTTACATCAACTTCAAATTGTTTCTGGTATTTATATTATGATGTCATAATGTTAAGTCTAACCAATTGCTAATTAAATTACTATTTGTAGCTCAATTGTACAGGATAAATTCATAGTACATATTGTAAGGTATTATTATAGTTTTTAAACACATATGCATATTTCACATGTTTAGTCATTGAAAAAAAAACTCAATAGTTCAAAGTAAGGCAATGTTCACAAAGGTTGGCAAACCAATTTTCATTCATATATGGGAAATCACAAAATAATTATTTTTGATTAGCACTATGGTAAGACTTTGATTGTCAGTCCGTTACCCTAATCCTAATCTTCAGATCTTTCATACTGACAGAATATTTCAACCGACCCGTGATTATTATCATTATACAATACTGATCTTCCTTTTCAATCTACATTCAGGTTCGAAATGGCCACATTAAGAGAATCACAGACAATGATATTCAGTCATTGGTTTTAGAAATTGAAGGAACAAATGTCAGCACCACATTTATCACATGTCCTGCAGATTGTAACAAAACACTCGGAATTAAGTTACCGTTTCTTGTTATGATTATTAAGAATCTGAAAAAATATTTCACATTTGAGGTTCAGGTAGGTAACCAATAGTTTTTTATAATTGTTAGGAAATAAAATCTTTTAGGTTGTTTATTTTGGTAAAATTCAATAAAGTGTTACTAAAGTGGCAAAAGTGTTTCTGTCTGTTGTTATGTTAATAGTTTGCTAAAATTCTCTCTTTGTAGAGTTAATAGTAGCAATCAAATGTTTTTCTTTAAACAAAGTTCAAAAAAATTATAATATATGTTAATATGTGTATTCATTTTAAATATATCCCAAAATGATGTTTAATTAATAAATGAGATTTTCCTCATTCATAAATGATTGTTTTAAATTTAATATCACAGTTGATAGAGATATGTGCACAAATACCTCTCCATCGCTTTTATGCAAAACAGCCTTGGTTAACCAAAAGTGGATTTTATCCTAATGGGCAAACATTAATTTTAACATCAGGTCTTAGATGACAAAAATGTACGACGGAGGTTCAGAGCTTCTAATTACCAAAGTACAACACGAGTGAAGCCATTCATTTGCACAATGCCTATGAGACTAGATGATGGTTGGAATCAGATTCAATTTAATTTATCTGATTTCACACGGAGAGCATATGGAACAAACTACATCGAAACACTACGAGTACAGGTCGGTAATGTTATACAAGTCTTTTGAATCAGTGGTTCTCAAACTGTGAGAGATGCTCAGATGTGTTACAGAGCCTTTTGAATTAATAGGAAAGCAATTGTTATTAGTTTATTTAATTTTTCTTTATTCATCTAAAGTATGGACTTATTTACTTTCAAAAACAACTACATCGATTGCACAATAATTTACAGAATGAATAATCTAACAAATTTGTTTGTAATGAGCATGCCCTGAATTTTTTTGTGGTCGCAGACTGAAAAGTTTGTTCTTGTGGTGAACGTAAACTGTATCACCTTTATTTAGTTTGCTTCACAGCTCTGTGGATTTGGATTAGTTAGTATGTCTAGTCCCTGTTATGAAATGAAGGCCTTATTTATGCGTAATCATACATTCAGGCAGGATGTTTTTAATTTAATTTCAAAAATTACAATTGAGTAGTATCATCTATATTTTTGTTCATCCATGCTACATTCAGATCTGATTTGTTACTACACCCTTTCGTTGTTTGCAAACACTTAGAACAAGAGTTAGCTTGTAAAATTGTTTGAATATTGTGAGACTTACAATTACTTGTTTTGTTCAGATTCATGCAAACTGCAGGATAAGAAGAGTATATTTTTCAGACAGATTATATTCAGAAGATGAATTACCAGCAGAATTTAAACTCTATCTGCCTGTGCAAAACAAGGCAAAGGTAGATATTTTTAAATATTTGTAATATGTTTATCATGATATCATTTTTTTTACTTTGTTTGCTGGTGCAGCAAATAATTTATCTCTCCATAGTTCCTGAAATTATGAGATTATTAAAGATGCATGTAAAGATGCACAAGTAAAATTTATCAATGTAATATATCCTGATGTCGTATAGCCCTAATTATGACCAGGATGAATCTGAGTGTACTGCATCTTTTCTTATCATTAAAATATATTAATTACCATATGTTACTTTTTCAGGTCTGAAAGATTCCTCAACTTGATGATTTTTTATTATTATTCGTTATTTTCAAACTATTTTTTGCATCTTCTAAATATACTGAAGATATTATTGGAAACTAATTTTTATTATTATTGGTTTTGCTACACACCCATCATTTGGGAATATTAAATTCAACAAGAAACAACATGGTTACAGGTCAAATCACATTTTCTGTGTATTGAAATATAATATTGATGATTTATATTTGAACAATAATCAGAAGTACGCTTTGTACGCTATAAATGTTTTATGGACAAAATGAATCCATAAGACATCCCTGAGCATTTCGGATTAACTATTAATAATGATATGTATGCACGCCTGGGGCGGATATTCTGTGTAGCACATTTAGTATATTACTATACCTTACTGTATGTATATCGTTGTCTGTAAAATGCACATGTTACTTTGTTGTATGCCTGTTTCCTTGTTTTTCATAAAAAAGTCGTTGGCTGCATACATGCACACGCAAGAAATAAATTCCAATACATGTATCTCAATGTTCAGTTATCCAGGTATGGGTTATGTCCAGAGGTGGGATTCAAATTTTTTGTCAGCAGGTTCCCTCACAAAAGTTATATTTTTTTTAGCCGGTTCTGTTACAAACAGAACACTGACAGTAACCAGTAATGCCAACCGGTTCGCTGATCTCATGAAATTCCGCGAGATGGTTCTACAGAACCAGTGCAAACCGGCTGAATCCCGCTACTGGTTATGTCCCAAGAAGTTATAAACTGTTAAATTAAACTACAAAACACTGTCAACTGAGCCTTTATGCAAACAACTCATATATGCAGTTCACCCAACAAAACGGGCTTCTTCAAATTTTGATGGAAGCTTGGGATTCACTCTTTATCAAGTTTGAATGAATGAAAGCATTGTCCAAAAAGTGCCCAGATGCGTTATCAAGTCAATAAATTGACTAAGAACAAATCGACCAATCAATCATTTATATTTATAAAAGGTGTATACATCAACAAAACTTGGAGACTGATGAATCATCCGTGATGAAATCGAACTGACCGCAGTGATCAACAACCTCAATTAAATTTGCTTGTTTTAATCCATGACTTTAGAAACCTTACTTGAACCTTTAATATCCTATATATTCACGTAACCAATTTTCCTACCTCTGTATCATACCGTCCTAATTAATTTTAATTATAATTACCGGTACCTCATTGATTAATAATATTTAAAATAATTTGGACGTTAATTTGGTTTGATTAGTTTTGGCTTCTATCTGGTGAGGGAAGCAGGTCTAGCCCACCTCTTCATGCATCCAACTTGGCAATTCTGATTGGGTAATTTGGCATTAGGTGACTCCAAATATAATCAGCTTGACGATATCTTTTGAGGAATATTTTTTCTATCTACAGTACATAACTCCTTTTGACTAATTCGGTATCCAATTCGGCAATCCTCATACTATTATTAATTTGGTGTGGCAAAAGAATTTATTCATTTTTTTTTATTTGTTTGTATATTTTTCTTCTTACTGAGTAATTAATTTTATGTCTCGCTTTTTTTACTCTCGAGCTTATCATGTCTCGATGATTGTATGTTTGTGTGTGTGCGTGCGTGCGTTAATTAGTTTTAATAGACTTGGGTGAGCGAACACGTACTACTTCAAATATGTAGCCTACGCTTTAAACTTTGCTTGAGGTTTCGTTTGCTTTCCCGACCCTATAATCAGTTTTATTTATTTTGTTTTTATCAATTGCTTTATCGTCCATTGCAGATTATGGAGTCGAAATAAACTTATACTTATTTGCTCCTTTGCCCCACAGCGTGACATGTGACAATTGAGTATACCGTAAGTTTATTTCGACTCCACAATCAGCATAATAGACGATAAAATAATTGATAAAACAAAATAATTAAAACTGATTATACAATCGGGAGAGAAAACAAAACCCCAAGTAACGTTTAAATCCTACAGATTTTAGATGAAAAGGTATTGTTGAAAGAAGTAGTACCTGTTCTCTCACTTAAAAGTAATAAAACTAAATGATATACGCACGGACACAGGATAAGATCAGGAGAAAAAAAGGAAAAAATAAGGTTGCCACTAATATGGAGGTAATTAATTTTGTTCGCCTACTTTATACATCAAGTTGTGTGAAGGGACTGAAGCCAATGCGCATGGGGTATATCCACTTGGCTAACACAGACAGTTCCCGACTCGTAATGGACCTTTACCCGAGCATCGACTTCCTTGTTCACTGCGTGACATTGGCCAATCAGCAGGATGCAAAATGTGACGTAACAATGCTCCCTTTTTGCATCCGCTCAGACACTTTTCTCACTCAGACAGATTTTTAAGCGTGGTCGTGAACATTACCTCGTTTTCGCGTTTTTGAACTCTATTCGTTAGTTTTCAGTTGTGTTTCGGAAACTTAAATATAAATCAGATAATTCAATGATCACTCTGTCTTCCTAGGAGTTTTAATTCAACTACAGTAATAAAAAATTAGTGTAGAAATAGCTATGATAGACTAGGCTAAAATTCTTTACCTGTAGTTTTAAAAAACAGATTGTTGTATGCGATTAATCCTAATGATGATTTGAAACATATACGCCATTTTACAGGCGCCAACTCGCATAAGCTCTCTTAAAATAGTCCCGAAAATTTTGCAATGGTAAAGTATAGGAAGAATTTTTCGGGGGTCAAAGGTCCATAGAACTAAATAAGCAGTGGTTCTTAACCTTTCTACCCTGGCGTACCGGTAAAATTAAATTAAATGTACTCACGGACCGGCAAAAAAATGAAATGACCGGAACAGTAAAGAATAACATATATTTGAGTAATTTAATGCAATGTCGGACACTCAAAATGCTTCTATACCAAAATGAACACTTAAAAACATTTCACACAAAGATAAACTATCAAATAATGTGCAGGCCAAAAATTGAAATGGGTGAAACATAAAAAATACCATATATTTGCGTAATGAAATGCAGTGTTGAGCCCCCATTATGCGTGAGAAAGGCACACATAAAACACCTCACATAAAAAACATGTACTTGCCAAATCATGTACAAACACAATTAACTCTGATGAGAATTTTGCTGGTGTTTCGTTTCTAATATAGGATTGCAAACGAGGCCTCAGAGAAGTTTCTGCAACACGTAGCTCTGCAGCGGCGTGCAGCCGATTTCTTTGCTTCGTTTTAATTAAAGCTAGTGATGAGGATGATTTTTCGCAGAACGCATAAGTAACTGGTTGAAAATACGGACAACAGTTTGATTGATAGGTTACTTAGCTATGGGTATTCGAGTAAAATTTCGACAGTGATTCTTTTTTAAATCTGGACTGTGAAGTAGAATCACAATTTCAATCAAGCTTTTCTTTTTCATCGGGTTTATCATATTCATCCCTCTGCAGTTGATCGACGCCTCAAACGAAATGAATTTACATTACAATAACACAGGCACCAGGCTCAAAATCCTACTGTGTCTGTGTCACGGATTTTATTATCCGTATGTTTTAGTTTAGTTTGTCTTTTTAGATTGGCCTATATGCTTTTCGAGGACCCTTAATTTGGATATACCTCTTCCGGATCCGGTTACTGTAAGACTCCGATCACTCTCAAGTCGTAAGAAAATGGATCTTCGTCCTATTCTTCGCTCGGCTGGGTTGGATGCCGGACGTGTTTCCCTGTGTCCTCTGTTTTGACTGTGAAGCTGCCTCATAATAAACCACAAATCCGGAATCTGAGTCTTCTGATTCTTTCAACACACAGAACAAAAACCTATCTGTGACACCTGCTCAAAATACTGGAAAAGATCTCTGCGGTCCATGCTTTTTTGCGCGTCTCGTTACCACATGCAGGGTCGCAATAAGTTCATATATCACTGGGATATTATACTGTTTTCCGGTTTAAACAAAAAAAAATGTGCATAACGTTTTATATTGATGGTCATTTTAATCAGGAAAAGCACAGAGAACAGAAAAAGCCTATCTTGCGAGATTTGATGGTGCGCAGTCGCGATGAATCGGGGCCGAAAAAGTGAAGATGTCGCGAAGGACGTCGCAATATGACGGCGGAAGAGAAATTGAGTAATAAACCAACGCAACCTCGTTTTCGATAAAGCGCCGGCCAGAATCGGAGGGATGTTCGCGGGCCGATGAGTGTAGCGCCCGAAAGTGCGAGACGGTTTAGCTGTGGTTTTCAAAAAAATGTCTGTTTACGGAGTCTAGGTTATGTTTGTGTTTTGATATCTCTAAGCTTTCTTATGTGGTTGATAACTAAATTACTGCCTTATGTAATCACAATACCGGTGCGTATGATTAATTGAATTGTTACAAAAAACACATGCTTCAACTGTGATAATCATGTAACACACTAGAATGCAAACAAAAAAATGTTGAACACTATTTCATCTGAGCTCGGCGGGCCCTTTTAAATCGTTACTCGGCCCGCTGTTTGGGAACCCCTGCACTAGAGCTACCGGTTACAGTTTGTAATATCACCAGTACGGTACATTGGTATGACATGCCTGTCCAGCAATATCGGTACCGTGCTGTGGTTTCGCGCATACCGGTACCGCACAGTGCGGAGAGTTGCGATACTGCGAGTTACCGTATACTGCTTTCGTGTATACCGGCCTTAACCCTAATCTGGTACACATACTACGAGAGTCCCAAAAACACTTAAATAAAATAAGTTGAACGTATAACACGAATGCTGATTAATAAATAATCAACATTCGAGGTCCTTGTAAATAGGTGCAATGCAAAGCGTATCGTACTGGTACCGGTAAGTGCCGAGCACTACTATCAAAATAAACAAAATGCACATGAATAACCTAAGGTAAATTCACTTCACCTTGTGTGAATATTAAATTATTACTTCATGCAATATATTGTAGTAAGCTTTTTGTGTTGGCGTCAAAGCGCCAGATTAGCCATCACCAAATTGAGACGTACAGTTCCTTGCATTCCGATATAAACTGCAGACGCTCTATAATAGATGGATAACTCCATTCCATATGATGGTGATATTCCATATCATGAACAAAATTCTCTAGGAATCACTGGTTTCGTTTAGGCGGGCATATCGGTATTTCTGTACCGTACTTTTCGATCCTGAAAAAAAAAGGTACTGTGTTTCCTGTGCCTTGATTGAACCTGGCAATTCATAGTTCACAGATGTCAGATGATCAGCGTTTCGTTCCTGTTGTATACAATTTGTATCTGCATTATGATCCACGTCTTTCTTAAATGACATCTCAAGTAGCACATCACTTCAAATTAAGACCTGCGTTGTGATTTTGATAAGAGTACCGGTACCGGACCCAACCCAGCATTTTCTAACCTAAAGGGATAAGATTTACATATGTATCCCGGAGGAGAGGAAAGCCGATAAAACAGCTTAAACATACGGCAAACCAAGGCCTCTCGTCCGGTTTACTAGTTCATGTCGAGTATAGGATTAGTTAGCCAGTTATTTGTTTTTAGATGCATGAACTTTGAATCCATGGAAGAATCCACACAAACTTGGGTTGGTTAGTTTAGCGATGCTCTCTCAGATTTGCTGACTTCAAACTTGAATTCGGCATATCTTGGCCTCACAAAACACCCTGGCCTTTCAGTGCCATCCCGTTCAGGAATAAAAGTGAAATCATGGTCAGTTTAATATTCTCTTTTTCTACACAGAGCGTATGTTCGTTACTTGTGTCACCATACTATCGAGCCCATTGCGTGGTTTTGCAACATACAGAATCTTCTTTGTACAGTATACCTAAATCGTAAAACCGCACCGCTGCATATGCTATACCAATTCAGGGTTGCCGTACGTCAGGTTTTTCCTGGACATGTCCGGGATTTTAGTCGTCAAATTTGCGTCAGGGGGAAATGTTAAATGGGCTTAAATGTCAGGGATACAAATCCTCGAGTTTTCAGATATTGCGCACCCACGAAATCGAATCTTCCAGAGATATGTCACATACAGGCTTTTTTGTTCAATACGGATTGTGTTGCATTCAGATAATTGCGATGTCACCTATGACCAGAATTTTATAATCGGTATTTTGGTTGCACTACCGGTATCTGTTTTGTACTCCAGACTATAGGGTTTAGTGCTAAAGATTAAGCTGCAATTTTGTACTGTTGAAAATTGCAAACCGAAAATGTAAATTTACTGACGATATGAAGGCAAAACACCCGTGCTTCCGGAAAGGCAGGAAGGAATGGGGAGCAGAATGCTTAGTTTGCAAACCAGGAACATACATCTCGGTTTCGCGGACTCAAAATCACATATAAGTTCTGAAAGCAGTAAGGGAAGCTTCCTCATCTATTAAAGTGACAAATTATTTTGTCACAACAGAATGTAAAATAGAAGAAAATATACCATATACACCATAATATAAGTCTTTTGGTTACAAAATTGGTTAAACTTGCTCATTAAAATTTTGACAGGGATTTTGTATTTTCAGATGTGGAAACGCTATAGACTAGGGGTCGGCAACCTTTTGAACTCAGCGTGCCATTTTATGAATAATGAGCACCTTCGCGTGCCAAACCTTTTTCTGTTTTGGTTTGCATAGTCAACTACCTGATTTGAATAGCAAACGTATGAAAAACAAATTTATTTTATAAGATAACGTGCATGGAAATTAGCTTACTACTATCTCTACCTTCGACCTGTCTTTGCACGACTTAGGACATAGGTATGAAGGTCAGTCACGATTAGTTGTGTAGCCAGAAACAATGTGAACGCGACAAAACTGAATAAGATAAAATTTATTCCATCATCTTGGTTAGGGCTACATGTAGCTCACGCAGAAATGATGAAAATTTTGACTTCCGTGAGGTACCCAGCCAGCCAAGCGCGCAGCCAGGATTTTCAAGGGAGGGGGAGGGGGGGGTTCAAAATCGGAAATTTATATTTAATTCTGAAACAGACGCCGCGATTACGCGCTCATAAAGCCCACTTTTCATGGTATACCATAAAATATTCAATTCATGACAGCTACGAGAATCTATAAAATTTTCTTCTATATTGATATAATTGTGTCCAACGTAACTCGCGGTTCCGTCTTCTTGTGTCAAAATATATATAAACATTACTTGTCTAAAATACCGCTCAATTCTGTTAGCGTATAAAAATATGAGATAGACATGCGTGGTTGTATTTAGTGTGGATACTTTTTTGTGACCATATTCAAAATGTCTTGCTTTATTATAATTTAATTGTCTTCAATTTAACCCGCGTTTGCGTCGACAATATGGATCCGTATTTTTGCCTTTTTGTTTTAGTACAATAAAAATTGATTGATTATACTAATTACTTATCTTATATATCACCACGACTCGGGAAAAAGTCGCGTTTCTAACCTTATAATATGAATCGTATGATATTTACAAGAACATTTCCGACGGCAAGTAAAATAGAAAAATCCGCGCACAATTAACTGTGTTTCGATTCTAGTGACGTTATGATTCTTAACGCCGCTTAAACTTACTGTATGTGTGCCATGACCCATAGGCATACGAGATTTTGTAATTTACATTTTTACAATGCCTAAAGAAGCGTTTTTGAGCTGTCGCGGGCAAACTACAACAAATTGGTTACGGTTTTATTTTTGATATTTTTTGTCGCCGCTCTTCGATGAAAAAATTTGCGTCGCCGTTTCACTCCTTTGTTTGACTTAAGCAACTCGACGCCGAATATTGTATAATAGCTCTCAACAAATTCACAATTCTGGGCGAGTAGAAAAAGAAAGTATCGTTGTCGTTAAATAATTTTTTTGAATCAGGGAGAATAAACAACAACTTAAAAGTGTTTACAGCCTAACACGCCACGCTGACAAAAACAATCGCGATTTGAGCAAAAAGCTGTACGAAAAGTTGCCCAAAAGTATGATTTGATAAAATAATATTCAATATTTCACGATTTTTGAAGGGCAAAAAGTAACCCAACAGTAGTATGAAAAGTAGTACAACGACAAGTTTCCTGTACAAGGCGCCTGTAAAATGGGGTATGTGTTTCAAACCATCATTATGATTCATCGCATACAACAATATGTTTTTTAAAAGTACTGGTATAGAATTTTAGCCTAGTCTATCACAGCTATTTCTACACTAATTTTTTATTACTGCAATTAAATTGAAACTTCCAGGAAGACAAAGTTATCATTGAATTATCTGATTTATATTTAAGTTTCCGAAACACAACAGAAAACTAACGAATAGAGTTCAGAAAAGCGAAAACGAGGTAATGTTTACGACCACGCTTGAAAATCTGTCTGAGTGAGAAAAGTGTCTGAGCGGATGCAAAAAGGGAGCATTGTTGCGTTACTTTTTGCATCTTGCTGATTGGCCAATGTCACGAAATGAACAAGGAAGTTGATGCTCTGGGAAAGTTTCATAAAACAATGAACACACATATACACAAAAATAAATGATGAATTATCATTGTTACCGACACAGTCAATATGAGAAATATGCAATAGTTGCGACTATGTACGATATTTCCCACGTCATTATTACGTCACAGTCATCAAGATTTCTGATTTGTTCGCGATCATAGTATCCGAGTATGTCAAAGGAAGGCACCAGTCCGTAGTCTATATATACCGCTGCACAACACTTATTCAATGACATTGAAAAATTAAAACTAAACAATGTACACTAATTGCGTTGCATTTGAAGTATAGAAATGGTATTGCAATTTCAATCGGTGTCATTATTATACTAGTCAGATGCACCAGGCTAGAAAACAGCGGGAAGTGGTGCGATTATCCGTCAGTTTATTTATTTTTTTCTTCACAAGCAATAAATATGATAACATATGTTAGACCAGCGGTTCCCAAAGGGTGCGCCGCGGCGAGTTGATGTTTTTTTTGTTTCTTATTTTAAATTCTGTGTATATAAATAAATAAATTTATTCTCCTTTTCTATGTCGTTTACTTCCTGTTACGTAGTGTCTGCCTTTATTAAACTACTTGGTGCAATTTCGCGAACTGCAGTTCAAATATCTACTGAACCGAGTTTAGCGAATATGGGGGATTTTTCCAGCATTTCGAAGGAAAATCGAGCAGAGATGAGGAAGAAGAGTTGATATTTTGCTTTTATTCCGTATGCCTACGTGTTTAAAAACTTTATAATGCATAAAGTACACATTAGCGATAACAAAATTGAGTTTTATTTGAAAAGCTGCATATTTTCGTGTAAGTGCGTCGTGAGTTTTTTTCCGTGAAAATTTGGTGCCGCTTGAACAAAAAGTTTGGCAACCGCTGTGTTAGACTATTAGGCAAAATGCCAACCGCGACGCTTGCGAAAAGCGGGAGAATTTAGCTTATAATACAAATCGAACTGGCGTTGCTATTCAGAAAGTCTTTACAAACAAGATGTTAAAAAATGTGGTGGAAAGATTTTTAATCACGTGAGTCACTACCAAACCATTTACTGTATACCACAAACAGCGTCAACAAACAGCGATAACATTACTGAATTTAAATAATTGATTAAAGTAGTTATTGGGCCTGGAATCGTGGTATGCCGTACAACATTTCTGGACGAAGAAATGTTTTTCCCCTGCCCACGCTTCTTGACTCGAAAATCACCTTCATTACATTTAGTGATTAGAATAACGTTAATTTCTTTACTATTGATGGAAAGTGCGTGCGTAAAGACGTAATTCGCTTTCACGGCCATATTGGACACTCTTTTCGTGATTATGAAATTGTTTCGCAACTTCGTATTTAGCGATAGATTATCTTCTCATTTATGTAAATGGAAGACAATTCAAATCAATGAATTTGTCCCTTGCGACCTAACTAACGTTCCGCTGTGATTTACAAATTCATGAATGAAGGGTTTTCATACTTCAAAAAATTCTCGCAAATTCTACTATGATTTACCATCAACTTTTATTATTCATTGAAATGATTTTGCTGAGTATTGTATTTAGTCAGGCATTGAGCGCAAATAATTAGAGTTGAATCTTACTTGTCAATGTAGAAGTTATCAGCTATTACATCACCCATTCCAATACCATAAAATCATACTTAAACTTACCACTTATTATTAATGTGTGTTAGAAAAAATAATTTCCAAGCAATTACGTAAAAGGAAATCGATTCAACTCGTTTATAAATATTTCTAAACATCGAGAGTACTAATCATAAAATGGATGTGCAATGCATTGGATTGAATATCGATGTAGTTTATAAAGCTAAGCATGGAATCTATAACCAGAAACTGTGTGATTATCAAACTTTAGTTACAGCACTGTTCATTATCAAGGTATATTTTCACATTTCGATCTCTTTCTCAACTGTAAATATCCATTGGTGAGCATGTATTTCATATGTGATATCAGGAAAATGTAAATACATTTCTATGAAGATAATCAGGGTGTGTTTATATATGCGAGTGAGGCTCACAGGCGATAGCCAGGCCAACCGATAGGTGAGTCAGAATAGATAACGTATAGTTGCTTAAAAAAATGGTATAATTATTGGCCTCTCTTTGATTTGATGGAATATTTCCATCAGTAAACTTTTTCTTATAAAATACATTCAATTTTCAAATTAAGGTTTCGAATTTTAAGATTTTAATTTCGTTTCATTGTAGAATTTGTTTGAACTTATTCAATTTTCCTCTTTATGCTGATGCATATGAGAATGTTTTTTTATATTAGATATTGAAATTACGCTGGAAAATGTTTTCGTATGCTAATCTGGGCGCGCAGGCACGCAAAACAAGGCAAATACCGGATTCGAGTTCAGTTTTTGACTGAGAAAGTCCTGTTGTAGCGACCCGTGTACCTTGTGGCGAGACAAGTTTAACGAAAAGTTTACGGTCGCATATGTTCACTAAAACATAGGGCGACCTCGTCAACACTCTATTTACGCGATAATTCTGTATGAATAATTTATTGTAGAGTCTTTTAGTTGTGTTGCCCTCGCTTAAAAGAAACTTGCTCTCATCTGATAGAAAATTGATTGATTTTACCATGCGTGGTATATGTCTGAAGTCGCTTTGGAGATATTCTACATGTACTGATCATGCTTCGTCGGTATTTAGTAGGAATTTAAATTTTGAATATATCTGAATTCCATCTGGCCCTGACCGGAATAATAGCAATAAATTTCATTTCCCTCTTTCGTGGAATTCTTCCAGCAGCTAAAAGGGGCTCTCTCGTGCGACATTCTCCAGTTTATGCGTCGCGATCGTAGATGGCGGTCAAATATAGGATGCAATCTGCAACTATAGCCAAGAAAATTTATTGTAAATATTCTGAATATGTCTATTTGAGGAAAAGAAAAATTTAATAATCATTTGTGTTGAAACTTAGTCAGTTGGAATGGTTGTAAGTTCTTAGTAGCTTGACTGCTAAAAAGAGAATGGTTTAACTCGGATAAACCTGACCTGGATTGGTACGCGTAGTGAAGCCTCTCACAGCCTTTCCTCTATCTGTGGTAAAATGAACAATAATAAATCATACGTTCATCACGCTAAAACTAACTATTAAAAAAATTCATTTTATATATATGTTGTTAGTTGTTTTCTTTCTGCCAGCAATTTATTCACAAATATACTAATAATGTCACCGGACGGAAAATATCGTCGGTTTTCAGTTGATGACAACAACGAAATAAAAGAATGGAATCCTTACAATATGAGGCCAAGTAACTCGTCAAATTTTAATGAAAGCAGGAAATCAGGATTCATTTATGAAGTCCAGCGACTTATAAGAAAAATTTATGCATTACAGTAAGAGTATATTTCAATTAAGTAATAAAATATAACACTAGAACTTTATTTTGACTTTATTTTGTGTCAATTATGCGGCAAAGATAAATACAATAAATTGAAAATTCAATCAAGTGTAAAATAAGAGCAAATCAAATTATGTAAACTAGTTTCCTTTATGACGCAAGAATGCATAATTGAAAAAAATATTCAATGACGAATTGACTTACTTTATTCTTTGAGAAAAATCTTCAATTCAAAATTTTCCTGTCAAAAACCAAATTAAATTACGTTACCCTGTTCACAAGGTTTAGTTTGTCTGAATTGTCTTTTGCCATTTGGTTGAATTTCTACTGCAACTGCGTGTCTTTGATGACACTATCGGAAAAATTTCGACATTGTGGAAATTGCAACATCTATATATATCTTTACAAATGTAACAAAATTGCTTCTAATTTCAGCGTTTCCATGCTTCAGTATATATCGTGTTGTCCATGGTTCCCAAAGCGATATTTTCTTGCTTTCCTGAGTGGAATAGGATTCTGCATAACATTTGGAATGCGATGCAATCTTGGTGTGGCGATGGTTAGGATGTCCAATAACTATACAAAATATAGCGAAAACGGGACTAAAGTTATAATGGTACGTAAAATATTTTACTTCTGGTGCGGTGTATTTGTGAAACTTAAATTCAAGACGCCATTGACTAATATTTAAAATGAAAACCGCGTGTTTCGGCTATTTGAAAAAGTCCTCGTTTGCAAACTCAAAGACCACCTCGCCTGCTCCGAATGGTAGCTTTGGTTCCTATTTCACCGATGCATCTTGCTTCTTCAGTTTTAAACTTCAGTTTGGGTTACGAAAACGACTATTATGGTAAATTTGGGGCAGTTTTCATAAAATTGGCATTAAATATGACTATAAGATAGTCATTCAAATTTGTTAATTCATAATATGATTTATTAACAAATGTGAACTTCTAGGGTCAAGTAAATGTTTTTATGACAGGATATTGCACAAATATTAAAAGAAGCAAAATTGTATGTATCGATGTATTTTAGAAGTACCTATTTATTTAGTAGACTTGATCAAAAATTCTTCCACTAAAACCGTCTCTATCCATTTTTCAATTGTCAATTATTTATAAGGTGATCAATCATACGTTTATCTCTCAGTTTTTCAACTGCAAAATTCGAGTAATTTAAATTATTATTAGTCTTGTAAGAATAACTCGAAACACGTCTTGCAAAGTGTGCTTCAAAGATGTTATAGCAATAAAACGGGAAATTATTATCAACATCCTGCTATAGTGATTCTTTGTAGTGAGATAACTAAGGTCGAATTACTTTAAAATTACATTTGAATTTCGATCATTCATTCAATCACAATGTAGAAATTCTACAAAGAGAATTTTCGAATAAAAAGTATGAATGAGGATATAAAGCACTTCCTACGTGTGATGTAATGTGACCTCCTGTATCATATTCCATTTCAAATTTATGAATTCGTCTATGCTTTCTTCCCTTCCTTAGAATTTCTAACAAATTCTTACCGATTATTTGACCTAGGAATCCAGAATAACTTTAAGCTAAATAATGAACGATGAGGCAACATAAGGAAGAAATTTTAAATCATGAATGAATTTAAAACACAGAAGTTAGATTTTTATTTCATTTTTCAAACTGTTTGAAAGCAACGTAATAACTTACCATATACATACAATTGGTGACACAATTTGTCAATTTTGTAGAAAATTATACCGAAAATGGGATTCTGTCAGGTCTAAATAAAACTGATACTTAAACTCCACACCCACCAAAGAATTTCTTTATTCTTATTTCTGGTTCATATTTGCGTAAACGTCGTTTGCGACATAAATTTTTAATTCGTAAATATTTATGATTTCGGTAGTTTGATGCACTATTTTAGGAATCTATTAAGACCAATTTAATTAATATTTGAAATGTTTATTAGACGACGTTCATCCACGTTTTTCTGCCCTCTCAATATGAAAGAAGAATCGGTCCGTAATCACACATTATTAAATATAGATTGTATAGGAAATTTATTTCAATTTGTCCAAAGTTAGTTCAAAGTTTAATTGCTGGTGAAAAAAAAAATTCCCATCAGCATAATTTTTGTTTCTACGAAATTATCATTCGGAATACACAAAAAAATATTGTTTTTAACATCTGATTTGGCTGATGTAATATCGATGAAAAAAATTATCCAAAAAAATGAATAATACTCGTTTAAGAAGATGTGGTAACATCATGAAAAAGTACGATGTTATAAAACAAAGTTGAAATTTGTAATCACGCAAAAAAGTAGTTGTAATAGTTAGTTAATGTGTCCCGAAGGACATGTTCTGACTATATCCTCTAAAATGGAATGGCATTTTCGAAAATGAGGTAATCTGGATCGCCAGCTGTGAAAAAAATTCAAATATTACGCAATACCACCCTATAGATAAAATATTAGAGGTTTGAAATCTGTAAATTAATATCGATTAATAAAATATAAATGTTATTGTAGCTTCCAGAATTAAATTGGAGTCCTGCAACTCAAGGAGTGGTACATGGTGCATTTTTCTGGGGATACATTGTTACTCAGATACCTGCCGGATATCTCGCATCTAGGCTTTCTCCTACCAGGTAAATGTTTATATAAACAGTATATTCACTATCTTGGGAGGCGAGCTGCGCTTTGAATAAGATGTTGCAATAGTTTTACTATCGAAGCTTTAACATTTCAAATTTCTCTTGTTTTTTTTTTGGTAAACATATATTAAGCAAACTTTGTGTGTAAAATATTCGGTTAAAATTCCATGCTCATATATGTCAAAAACGAAAATGGAAATAACATGGCGAACAAATTTATACAAACCAATCTACGTATTTCATGTTGGGTTTGGGAATATAAATCTATGCCGGAGGCATGAGATTACTTTAAGTCTACAAGCTTCTAGAACACGTCAGATTGTGATCAATGGTGTCTACCATTAACGCCAAGAGGTCAATTATTGTGAAATCTGGAAAGCTGTACACCTATTTTAAACCATTTTGTCGTCGAAAGAAAAATAAACTAAAATTATAATGTTCTATTCAGAATGTTCGGGTGTGCAATATTTTCAACATGTGTTCTCAACTTCCTACTTCCAATCGCAGCAAGAACTCATTGGTCATTATTTATATTCATCCGGATAATGCAAGGATTAGCTGAGGTAATGGATACTGAAGGAAAATACCCTATTTTCATGTAATCTTACGGTCATTAGTCTGCACCAACACGCCAGCTGGCCATGCGACATTGGACGATAAACTTAAAAACTAAAACTTGTACTATACATATTCTGTTTTCGAAGTATATTTAGAAATACTTGTTTTAAACTTGAACTTCCAGTATTTTTTTTGCGATCAAAGTAACAGTTGGTTCAAAGGTACTAGACTTAACCGTGTATAAAAATTGTTACCACAGCTAAAGTAATGAAGATTTCCATTGTGCAAAATTATAAATCATCAATTTTAGAATTCTCACTGTGTATCACTGTGTATATTCGAGATTAAAAAATATAATCATACAGTTTTACTGGGGAAGGGAAACCACGGGGAACCAATGCTTGTTATCGAGCAGCGACACCCAAGATGATAGAAAACTAATTTTTCATTGTTCATTCCTTATTCATTCTTTTATATTCCTTAATTTTGCAGTTGAGTGTGACCGAGACGACATGCATGCATTGTATTGATGCTATCGTTAAGTTTTTGCATCTTTTTCTCAAGATTGACTATGTGTATTATTTCGCTAAAATATTCAGTTTGTGGTTTTACTTTAACATTTACGTCCTTCTTAATAATTGATAATATACTGAAATATTTGATCTTTTGGGAAATGGCCCCGCGGACCTCTAGAATTTTAAATTATGCGAGGGGCATTTTACTATTCACCTTTTTCAGAATTAAGGGTTATTTTTTACAGGGCGTTCTATATCCCTCGTGTCACGGAATATGGAGCAAATGGGCGCCACCTTTAGAAAGATCTAGGCTTGCAACAATATCCTTCTCTGGTAGGCAATTTTATGTTTAAGTATTTTATAGTTCGTTACATTTCGTATATAAATTTGAACGAACCAGTATTTAAAAAAATAAGTTAGATGTGGACTTATTGTATATCCAATCATACATCACATGTGATACCCCCTAAACGGTTTCATCCACAAACGGTCAGTACTAAACTAATACTTTCCTATAGGTGAACATTACATATAATGATCCTGAATTTGATAACCGGTACAGCACATCTGTCTGTTACGTAAAGTTACGAAAAAAGATGTAAATATATTTTGGTGCAATCAAATTATATTGCCTTATTATTATTATTATCGTCGGATATTAAAAGTCATACTGTCCATTAAAATAATTCATGCCAGATGTCTTTTTTTGAAGTACATGCCTTAGGAGACAGATGCGTAGGCGTTACGGTTGTAAAACATATTTGTTACACAACACAACAAACCACAAAATGCATGAAATAAATGCAGAAAAAAGCGGGTTTTCAGCAGTGACGTGTCTGACATTTCGTAGAATGTCTTGTCGATGAGACACGATGCGTCATAGCGGCGTTTTATCAAAGGCGACCCCATCAATCAGCTATTATGCAAACGACCTTCCCAGTGTGAAATTGATTTTACGATTTTGGAGCCATAATTGAATAAATTTAATGAACCATTTTTCAATTACTGATTCAATGATTTTTGAGAGAGTTCTACGGATATTTACATTTTTTTTCATAGTTGAATCACTTTAGAAAATTTTCTATTAATATCAAAACATATGCCTTTCTTTCCCTCTGAGTATAAACTTTTTAAAGCAACTGGTAAAAGGATGATGCGAATCCCAATTAGCCCCAATGGGCGATAAGCGATTCGCTACTACCAAGCGACAGAAAGCTGCGGGGAATTATATTCTGCCTGATAGAAAAAGCTGGACTTAATCCGAATAATAACTTTCTCTAGTTCGTGTCAGTCTCCGGCTTGTTAATAAGTCATTTATTTTGCGGGCACATCCGCATGTTGTAGATATTAGTATACTGGTTTTTTACGAGCGCTACAATGAATAATTTAGTTTTGTCGTCGCCAGACTCAGTTTTTGTCAGTTTCGAAACATTCACATAAATTTTTAATAAACTTCTTTTTTAATCTACTTTTGTTCTTGATAAAGTGGGTTGGAATACAAATCGCACGTAATCGCCCAAGCAAGTATGTCACAGTCATAATCAGTGGTTTCCCGAGTGAAATTTCATTGCCTATTTCATTCATATAACGATAAAGAAAATATTATGTTCATTTTTGCTCAATCCTTATTAATACTATTTCGCTATTGCGATGTTGATTTCTTACTTGCCGCCTGTAGATATAAATAAAAGCACCAATTCAAGCATATGAAATAAGCGGCTGAAATTACCTAATCTAGTCCTAAGAAATGTTTATCGAAGTGGACAAAACGATTTATATATATATACAGGTAGCTATGCTGGCGCAGTTGTGGGAATGCCTATCGGTGGATTACTTGTCGATTATGCGGATTGGCCTTCTGTTTTCTACGTATTCGGTAAGATTACGTAGGTGGAGATTATTTTTAACAAAATGGTGCTAAGAGTGTGACCGTCACGGCACACTCATTTAGATGAACCTGTTGATTATCGAACCCGGTCAAAATTTGTAAAAATGAAGTCTTTTTGTAACCATTTCCAACAAGAATACATATTTTCATACTTGAAATTCATTCAAAACGAGAAACCATTGATGGATCTAGTGTTATTGATGCACCAAATGTTAACGTGGTTTGGATTTAATTCATTTAACGCTTCGATCAATACAATATCATGTGTTTGCATACAGATGGTGGAAGTTTTGGATGGTAGTGTCCCAATAAATATTATTTTGTTAATATTAAGGTGCTGCTGGCATCATTTGGTTTGTTGTTTGGGTATTAACCGCCTTTGACAACCCAGGAGTGCATCCAACAATTTCAACTGACGAAGCAAATTATATAAAAGAGTCAATCGGCCAGCTTGACTCAGTTGCAATACAAAAGGTATTTTGTAAGTTCCTGGCCACTTTATGGCCATGGAACTCCCTTTAGTAAACTGCATTTTGAGCTTCAATTTTACATGGATTTGCTAATATTTGGTACGAAACTATTGACAATGTATGAGATATGTTTCACCTACCGTTCCTGGTAAACTGTGTAACAGGGGAGTTGGGAATCTTTACCCTTTCAATTACAAGCAGATCTCGCTAAATCAACTTTGCCGACCATAGCTTCTTCCAAACTACATGTCAATGACTGATATAAGAAATCTCATTACGAATTGTTTGTAGCTTTTTGGCTCGACAACTACAGTATAAAGATACAATCTATATGCACTAAATATTTAATTCTTTTAATTTAGTGGAATGGAACTCCATGGAAGAAGTTTTTTACATCCATGCCGGTTTGGGCTATCATTGTTGCTAATTTTTGCAGAAGTTGGACATTTTATTTGTTGATTATAAGTCAACCAACCTACTTTGAACAAGTCTTCGGCTTTGACATTTCACAGGTAAGATTTTCAATGCAAAAATCATTGACCTTTGACTTCATTCTGCATTGCTCCATTAATTCACCATTCTTGTTCGCTGCTTTAAATGAGCCTCCAAGCAGCATTAATTACCGTATTTCCCGGCGAATAAGTCGCTTTAGGCGTCTTATTAGGCGAGTATGGTAATTTTCATTTTTTTTTCGGAGTCGCTTTATTATGTATTACGTAATGTTCTTTTATGGTGGACACAATCGGTAGTTGAATACAATTAGGTTAAAATTTAAAGACAGTTTGAATTCCCGTAGTTATTATGGATTGAATATTACCCCATAAGAAAACGTCATTATAGGCTATTTTACCCAATGCGCAAACGCGTCGACCGCTTAAAAGGCATTGCATGGTAGTTTGAGATTCCGATGATGACGCTATTTTACTACATCGACTTATTGGCAGGTTATTTGCAAAAACCCATTTTTTCAGGCTTGGAAACGGGCCTCGTCTTATTTACCCGGTAGACTTATTCGCCGGGAAATACGGTATCTGTTTTCTATATATTTCTCATTAACAGCAATTGCGTAATATATTACCTTATTCTGTGATAATTAGATAGTCGATAACAATTGTAAGACAAAATTGCGATTGTTGAGATAACATCTGTTATGAATCGTCCAAATTTTAGTAGGCCTAATTAAAGTATATTGTTACGATTTTTATGTTGATTCAAGACTAATAGTTTGCCGGTGGTCAAAGCAGACTATCTGTGTAGTATATATTTCACTAATCATCAATTCTTTCCATGAGCAAAATTACTCACCAAATTTATTATTCAACTTTTGAATTATTATTTTATTCATATCAACGCTTTAATCAGTTGAACCACGATTATGTTTTTTAATTATATTTCTGGGGTTTTAAAAAATTTTCGTTTGACAAAATTGGTAAAAAAAACATAATCACCGAAATATAATCTTAGAAAACGGCTTAAATTTTTATGTAATCTAGTATGAGAGGGAAGCAGTCTATTAAGCGTCTTACTACCAACCAGATAATGCGGTTTTAGTTTTTCAACGACATTAAACTCTGGTATTCAACTTACCAATCAATGTGTGGCCCTGAAAACTTAGGGTGCTATGAACCGAAATTGATTGGGTCATCCATTTGAAACTCTTCGTAAAATATATCGATTTTCTATTACGACATCTTTATTCACGTATAAATATTAATACAAGCTCTTGTTAACAAAAAATCATTAAAATAAATTTCTAAGGTCTACCATGGGAAGATATATAGTTAGGTCTAGACTTACACGGACAAGACCTATTACACACGCCGAAGGCACCATTCATTTATCAACAGCTATCTCTAAGATCACCAGACATATTTAACGAATAAATACAAATTCGTTAAAAATTACATGTTCTTACCTACCTATGAATAAATTTCAGTTGGGGATATTGGCAGCTGTTCCACATCTTGTTATGACTATAGTTGTGCCGGTCGGAGGAGTTATCGCCGACTATTTGAGAAAAAATAATATTCTCACTACAACTACTGTTCGAAAAATTATGAATTGTGGTGGATTCGGACTGGAAGCCTTCTTCCTTCTCATTGTCGGATGCAGTCACGGACAGACCGTAGCAATCGTGTGTTTAGTGTTCGCTGTCGGGTTCAGTGGATTTGCAATATCAGGTAAGGGTTTATGAAATCAACTCAGAATATGTTAAATATTCAGTAACGATACGACATTTTGCCAAAATGCGTACATTGTACATCATATCATTCAAAAAGTAGCTAGAATTCGTTCTCTGGAATGCTCATTATACAACGGTATTTTTTATTTTCATTCTATTTGTCAAGAAACAAACAGCGGAGAAATTCAGACTGAATTGATTACTCTGTCCCCGTGGAATACGAAAGCCAAGTTCGAAGAAAAATAGGAAAGAATGATAATACCATTCTCCGCATTATGATTGAGCGACTTATTTTCAATGTGTCACTTAGATGGGGAAAAGATAAATTAAATAAAAGCTAACATTTTTCGATTTTGAGTCTGATGTGCAACAAAACAGATAGCACCCAATAAGAAAATTTTAACTAGACGAGTATTTCAGGTACAAATGCCCATTTCCACCCACTACCTACATATCATTGACCAATGCTTTGGATGTAGACAATTGACGTAGATAAAAAGATATCTCTGATACAAGATTTCCCCAAATTGGTCTGAGTTTTTCTTCTTTCTTACAGATCTGTGGTTGAAGTTTTAATGCAGTCTAGTTATTCTCAGTCAATACCAACATTCTTCGAGCCAAGTCATTTTTTTCCAAATTTTCCACATTATAACTGTAAGGCCTGAATTTACATTTAAGATTATTTCAAAATAATGAATGCAACACTTCGCATTGGGACAACTGTATGTGAAATTCTCTGTACCATTGCTATAAAATTTATCGACCCATATTTTAATCCCTTTAAGGCCCATTTTGAAATTAAATTTATGTAATAATCGCTTTCTAATCGTCAAAATTATTTCAAGGATTCAACGTCAATCATCTCGATATTGCACCGAGGTATGCTAGTATTCTCATGGGAATATCGAACGGAGCAGGTACTCTGTCAGGAATGATTTGTCCGCTTGTCGTCAGCGCCGTGACGAAAAATAAGGTATATTATTTGCTTTTATTTCTTCACAAAATCAGTAACGCCAAAGTTACACATAAAATTCTATATTTGGAGCACGGGAAATATAAGAATTTCAATTTCATTGATTTATCCCAAAATTTGCATATTAAGTTTCAGTTTCAAAAACACTTACCACATATAGCGTTACCATATTTAGTTAATAAATTTAATATTAAATTTAAAAACTCCAGATTGACGTATTGCGATTCATTACATTATATGCGCTGCTGTAAACATTCCTGTAAAAATTGTCCTGTTAAAAGCGTAGCATTGTTAATCTCGAACTTGTGACGATATCTGACTTTTAAGGTCAAGGTTATATATACATTGGAGACTTAGGATCTCTGTTGAATTCCCAGCACACTTGCATATTTGTTTCGGCAAACTTGTACTAATATATGAACACGGATGGAGAAGCATGCATTACAAAATAGATACATTAACTTTCATACGCCCGTAAGATGGGCTGTCCTTTCTGGAATCAGCAAATGAAAAAGTCACTGAAATTCGAGTTGCACTTTAGATTCATATTCTACACTTTACACCATTTATTCTCTAGAGAATTAAAGTCAGGTCAAGATTTCTAAGCATATGGTGCATTAAAATGTTACAACAACGTTACGTCTTAAACATAATTTTGCGGCTACAATATACTCTTCCAGATGTAGTATTTTGACAATAACATGGGGATACTGTAAACGAAAGCAAAAGCTATGCCATTAAATTGCCAACTTGATCTCTACAGATTAAATTGGTTGCATCAAAATTTCAAGTTTTATGCTTGAATATCTTACGTAATTATATTGTAAAGATCTTTGGTTCATAATATCTGCCGTTTCCATCTTTTTCATCACAAATCTCTTGACTCAGTCTGATTAATATGAACTTTATTCCGCTTCAAAGATTGAAATAAGCGGTAGTAATTCTATTTACAGAGTATAGACGAGTGGAAGATTATCTTTATAATCGCGTCGTGCATTCATTTTTCTGGAGTCATATTTTACGCCATATTTGCTTCCGGAGAACGACAGCCTTGGGCTGATCCTCCTTCAGAGGAGCGTGGTATTATTGAGGGTGATTACTTACAGCAAGCATATGGACTTCATAATGAAGAATCCAATGAAAGACAACAATACGGTTGTTCATCCTTTACTTCCGTCACAAAAAAGAAACTCAGAGTGAGTTCTTCCGAATCTTTGTACGGTGATGATTACTCTTCTAATGAGTCAAGAGATTCAAGTTCAAATCATCCTAGTTCTGGAAATGGATACACAATGACTAAACCTCCAATAACGCGTTTGTCATCAAATGAACAGGATATAGAACAAGACAATATCACAATAAATAAATCTAATTCTAGAAATATATCTGACACCGAACTTGAAAAAAATACGAGTGACAACTCTCCCGATCCAGAGAATCCATCCCAATTTCCAGATGAGAAATTTTCCACTAATCATTTTCAAAACTCATCTTGGAACTCGGATGATGCTGACGGTGAATAACATTTTCAATATTAATGTCGGGAATATCAAAAATATCTTAGAAACAGTGACGTATAATCTAAATTATATTTTAAACAAGTTTTCTTTGTAACCAAAAATGTGTTAGATGCAAAGATATAGATGTAGTTTATATTACTAAGTTCTTGATTTAACAAGAAATCTCGATATATTTCATAGATCATATATTTCATGAATTGCGTGGTATAATGCTCTCTAAGCCTTTTAATTTTAAAACATTTCAGTAATTCGTTCAGAGAAATTTCTAATTAGACAAAAAGTTAGAATTTAATTTCCTCTGGATACCTTACTTCTTCACCCGATAACGAATAATACACAATTATTATTCTGTAGAAAATTACTTAAAACTATTTTGTGTTGCGGTTACGATGTATTTATTACTATTTCAATGAATGTATCTTGCTCTGTTGTATGTTCAAATGCATTAATCAATGAATGATGAAAGAGAGAGTTGGTAGTAACGACACATAAGTTAGGAAGTGCTGCTAAAACGTCGACTGAATAAGTACCTCAGATGATGTACTAAATAAAAATAATTGAACTCACATTGAACCGACTAAAGTAATTTTATATATTTACAATACCGTTTTCTTATTTTGGTGTTGGTGCACATTTAGTTCATAAAACATTGACATATTTATATATTAAACACTTTATAATTATAACATGTTCTATTTTTGTTTTTGGTATATACCGTTTTTGTTTTAGAAATAAGATTAAGATATTTCGTCCAATATATTATTATCTATATATGTATATTAGTTGCCAATGGAATAATTTTGTTATTTACCATGAACAACAAATAAAAATCACTTAGCTCACTGAAATTGTTTTTTTTTATTGTGGAAAATGCATGTGTTTCTTCTGTAACACAGAATATTCAAACTCTGGCATAGAGATTAATATCGGAGTAACCTCACCAAATATGTCGTTAACGTGTCACGATATGAACTATTAACAAATATACGTTTGGCAAAACACGTATCTCGTATAAATATTGTTCAAGATCACAAACTAGTTTTTGGTTGAAGCTGCTCGCCCTAAAAGCCTTCAATGTTGAACACTAACTAAAAGTTGTTATACCGTCCAGATTCAGCATAATCCGCAATACTGTATGTATATTCATTCCGGTACAAAATCGCTAGACGAAGTGTCTACCTTACCCTAAATAATCTTTTAATGGAAATTCCATCAATTGTCAGTCAGTATATTTGTTCACCTCGCATAAGGCAACTGCGATGACACTTGTTTGCATTTCGCATATTTGAAATTTGAATTATTAGTCTCAGATAAGTGAAAACACTGGTATGCAGTGAATTGTCAAAACTGGCTCACCATTATACTTGTACGAACGGGAAATACCTCATCATGGTTGCATAACTGTACATTGAGAGATTCATAGATTATCCTCGCAGATTTGCCTCCGCACTTGAAGACATACTTTGTTGAATGACATGTTGTCTGTTCGCAAATAGTTAGTTCGCAAATATTAAGTTAGTAATGCTCAAATGTATGGACACGAAAGTCTAACCATCGCAGTACCGGTAGCCTGTTCAACACATACCACAACAATATACACTGACAATTTGAAAACAATCGGTCCTTTAGTTTCGCAGAAAACGAAGTGTCCCTAACAACAAATGTCATCCCACAAATAAAGCGAACAGTTCGTGTCCAATAAGGAATAATCTGTCGGATCGGAAGCGGCGGTTCCCGAGGAAGGCGCATTTCGAGTTTTAACTTGATGCAGAATTTTTAGAGTTTGAAAGTGAAATGAAAAACTTTTTGATCGATCTGTTTAGGTCCTGGTCTGTTCAGGGAAACATGGAACTGTTAGTGATATTATCTGGTGTTAAAATACTTCACTTTCGATCAGAATAAATAAATCAATGTATCAATCCTGGTTTAAGTGCAATTTTATTTCTAGAACTAAACGTGATGGAAAAAACTATCCACTAAAATAAGTACATACGTGTAATATTAAAATAAAATGGAGCATATCTGCAGCGATGATTTAAAACAGTGGAATTGGTGCAAAAATAAAAGATAATAAAATTATTTATGAAAATAGTATTTATTCATATTCCAGTCATAACTATCTTCCAGGTTGTAACTTATAGACATACGTGCCTCTGTGGTGCACTGCATCAAATGTTCATATTCATACTCAAGTTAATGACTGTGATCTTATAATATTAATAGAGGATACTGGCATAGCCAGTAGTTTCTGTACAACAAGTGCATATGGGTGATACAAAAATAAATTCTTCAGACAAAAATACTCCAATTTTACTCGATCAATAATGAACAAAGATATATTACGCCCAGAAAGGTGTATGTTATATATGGTGCAATTTTGATCGGGCTAAATTGAAGTGTATATTTTAGACATTACTGCGGCAATGCGAGTTCATTGGAAGCTTTCACATTAGAACACAAACTTTAGAGCTCTTTCCATTGTCAGCTCCTGCGTCGGCTTGTTTCTGTCCGCTCGGTGCCGACTGAAATTGAAAAAATATAAAGAAAACTGTTGACTGTAAAAAATTTAAATCATAAATGAATATTAGGTTTCTTTACAATATCAAATATGTTGATTGAATAATCATTATCACCTAATAATAATTTTAATTGTTCAGTTGCACTGAAACAAAGCTGAATTATATGTAACTTTAACTAGACATCTTAGAGTTGAACAAAAGCCACATAATAGCATTTAGGTCGATAAAATAATCGTGAAACCCATTTGTTAAAAAATTTACCTTCGGTTTACTTGTACCGTTTGTAGTTGCTGTTGTTTTCATCTGAAAAAACATATGGAAGTTAAATATTTAGTCGTTTCCTGTTTACAAAAGTGTGAATTAAGAATGATGTTTATATAGTGAAAATTAAAATGTGACAAGTATAGGAACATGCAAATGTGGAATAAGCTTTAAAATATGACTAAAACTATAAACGCGTGATATTGTCCATTATATTCTAGTCGAAGCTTGAGAAAAGCTTAACAAGCACTTAGCCTCACTTTTTTTTTATAAAATGTAAATCGAATACGCTATAATACATGTCCAGTGAAAAACGTTGGTGCAAATATTGGGCATGATGCAAATTGTTTACAAGGTGAAATGTGAAAGAATTTTGGTAAGTATTTGGAAGTGCCATGATTCAATAACTTTCATTTAGAGAAGGTAAAGCGTATTTTTTGTTGATCCATAAAACCAAAACAACACAGTAAAAAAGATTTGCGGCTGCAGCTTACGGTTAGTACGTGACAGAAGTCGGATATACCAGACTTTTTATCAATAAAAACAAATCAATTGGTCTCCACAAATAGTTATCAACTCGAAAAAAGTGCTAGTATTATATTCTTCAACCTAATGGAAGACTCGAGGAAGAGGACTTATTGATTGGGGGCGATAGAACAAAACAGTTTTTTTTTATTTCATGGTAAGGTATTCTATGCATATATAATCTCAGTTTTCAATCATTTCACTTTACAACTGCGAAATCCTAATACCATTTACGCGGCATCTTCAGTATACACACTGCACCACATTTTTGAACACCACGAACGTGAGTCTAGTCTTGTTATCAGTGAGAAATTAATATGACAATGAATATTGATGACGAATTAAAATAAAGGTTTATGTAATGAAAGGAATAATCGCGTTTGCATATTTAATGAATCAAACGTAGCAATACACGAGCGACAGACAAAGCACAATTTCGATGTGCGGATTCGTCACCTTGGTTTCTTGACGCAAATTCTAAATGACCGTTAATCTTATTTGGTAAAAATGATATGAATGTGATTTATCAATTCCCAAACGTGAACTTTTTACAAACTTACGACGGCAAACAAACTACCTTTTTGCCATTAGCGCTCGATTTTGGCGTGTCATGTTCATCTTCTTCTTTGATAGGTCCTTCTGTCGGTTCGGCAATTATCCTGGAGTCAGGCGGCATTTCAAAACTGTATATACTGTACGAGTCCCCGTCGATTGATGGCTATAGTATGCATATAGATAGCATGCATGTGAGGAAACAAATTATAACAAAGACTCAACATATAATTTTGGCTAATAATACTAAATTGTACTCAGATGTTTTGTGAGTTGCAACACTTTTACGGTACTGAGTTATATACTGTTGAATTGAATATACTGAGGTATATACTGTTGAGTTCAAATTTCTGTAATATATATTCTTCCATACCCATAACATTTTCTTAGATTCGAGTAGGGGTTAGGGTCACTCGGTAAGGAGAGTCACTCGGTTAGAATTAGGTGGCTGCAGATCACAGAGACTGTGCGCTGGCTATTGGATTGAGATAAGAACAAGACTCTAGTGTTAGAAACTTTTTTCGGAGACCCAGCTGCCATTATAATTTTTTCGAGATGCATCTCTCTTTACGTTCAACCAATTCGAATTATAATTCATACATCTTAGGGATCTTAACTATAACTATTTTTGTTAATTTCAGTATTATAACAAACATTTATATAATGCAACACGAAAATGAAAAAGCAGATGTTAAAAAAACTGAAAGTCGTTATATCCTCGGCTTACACTATGTACTGCCTGAGAACATATTTTCATATGTTAAAAGGTAGGAAGATGTGACACATTCAATAACACACTTGCTAAGAAAACAGCAACAACAAACATGAATATCGGCTTTTGAAGACCATTTTTTGAAATATATACAGTATATTGTATTACAACGTTATATTCTTCAATTTAATTACTTACATTTAAATTTGTTAGTGTGTTACATTCGATAATTTATAATTTCATATTTTAATGGCAAGAAGAATACAAAGCATACTAAAGCCTTGACAGATGAATTCTACCATGTAGTACATACAATAGAACGACTATTATTAATACATACTATACATTTTATATACTCGGAGAGCATTATAATCATTTAGGAATAATGTTTGCGACAAATTAGTTGGTTGAAAAATTGTTTGTTTTTGATGCTATTTCGATTGATTACCTAATTACTATGGACCCGAATTGCAACTTAAGAATTGTAGTACTTCTTAGGTATTCCCTCTTTATATGTCACTTTTATTATGTGTTACAATTACAATAATTTTATTGCTCTTACTGTCTAACAAATAAAATATACTGAACGATTACTGATTTAAAAAAGTAAATCACAACAAACACCAAATCTAGAGTCTAGAAGCAAATTGAAAATACTGCAAGCAAATCACAAGATGGGTGGTATGATTGTAATGCGTCATATTAAAAACTACATCGTAGATCAGTGACGTCACAAGCAAACCTATCACTGCAACATGCACAACCGGCATTTCGCATGTTCATACCAGGCAAATAAACCTACAATTACAAAAGCTTATCCGTATATCGCGCATTAGCTCAGATATGTCAATTTTCACTATTATTGTAAGTAACTATAGCGAGATAACGGATAAGTTTTTGTGGAAAAAGCAAGCACGCTCACTCTTTGTTTTTCTTGAACATATTTTTGAGCTTGAAGAACCTGTGCAAAAAATCAAGCGCACGAACAAATGAAATTGTGCAGTTGAAGTTTGATAGTGAACACTAACACTTTTTCATAAAAGAGAAACAGAGAGAGAGATAACGTTGATAAGAAGAGAGAGGTAAGTGAAGAAGTCAACAGCAGAACAACCACTCTTCATTCGAGCACATTTGACCATGTAGGCTTCAATAACGTTTCACAAATTATATAATCGATATAAACGAGTGACTTAAGTAAAAATATACTAACCAATGGGGAAAAATTGTCTGTTTGGACAACATCTTGGCATCTGGGAAATGCCTATGATGCATGCATCTGCTTTTTCATCTTCGGTTGCATAATAATTATTTAAATTCTACTGCGGGGCAACAAACACCAGTTTAGCGAAAGTAACAATTTCATCTCCTTCAGTGAACAATTTAAACAAAACCTTAAATAATTTCAAAACAGGACAACGAACAAATTCTGTTTATATTTAATCTCACATGTTTAAGGACTCACCCATACGGAAACACCAAAAGAATCAGGAATTTTGAAATCAAGTTGTATAAGTCTCCATGCTATCTCATAGGATTAAATTAACCTACCTGCGTCACAAGTCTAACCTTATTCCTCAGTTTATTTCCACTGCTGAAAGCGACCGCGTTAACGGCACGCATTAAGCCGTCGAAATCTTGTTCCTTTTTGGGTTTGGCTGACCATTCTTTGCATATTTCCTGTAATATATATTTCATTTTAATTTCAATTATTATTAATTAATTATTAATTAATTTCAAATTGCGCTTGTTTGATTATGACTGACAACCCGTCGTACAAGTTCGTCATTTTTTTTATTAAAAGCAATGTTTTTAAAAGCCAGGATTCCTACCTGAATTCGCCGTTCTTTCCTTTCCAAACGATTATATTTTCCTTGCAATGTGTGAAGCTCAGCTCTCTGCTGTGTGTCATGAATAGACATTGCTGTTGATCTTCTTGCTAACGGTTTCTTTGCTACAAGAATTTGGGTGTCCATCTCTTTCAGTTCCTGAAATAAAACGAAGTTATTACAAGTAGAACTTTTATAGCGGAATTACCTTCTACTTGGTTATTGCCCCGGTAGTGTTATGTTTTAATCAGGTGTCAATTGATATTTTCCGATTTTACTGTGGCAAGCTTGTCATTCGATGTTGAATCTCTTCACCTGTCCAGAGCTTAGAACTTTGATTTAAGCAAATTGTACTATGGAAAAGCAAAAAAATCAAAATTATGCCGAAAGTAACAGCATCCATCTACAAAAGTACTGGGCTACGAAAAAACAAGTAACACGACCTGAAGTTCTTATACCTTTGTGGTAAGTTTCTTTACGCTTGCATCTGGAGCCGAATCTATTTGCACGCCATAAACTTTAAATGAAATACTGCTGTTGTCGAAGAAGTCTAAGTGTTCTTGTGACATGGACGGGATAGAGATGATTCGTTGGTGATTGAAATCTGGTCGCAGTGTTCCCTAGTGTTGAAAAATCAAAAACATTTGGTTATGTATGTGCTCGTAGTTGACCTATGAATTTTAGAACAGTTATCCATTTCAGTCATCCATAGAGTATGTGAAAATGTAGAAATAAGTGATATTAGGGGTAGAAAATGCAGCGGTAGACCTCACGCTGTAGTACTATCTTGGGGTAGATTTCACAAATGAGAGTAGAGCTGAGCTATAGTAGCATACCGCCAGGCCAGTGCACCATTTATTCGGCATACTTGTTACATTTGGATGATCAGCTAACAGATTTTTGTGTATACTACAGGCTACCAATACTTGTTTAATGCAGTTTGTGTATGGACATTTGTGACCATATATGTAACCATTTTCTCCCCTTTTTTAAATGAATTTCTCGTTTTATAGTAAGCATCTTTTAAATTAATTTAATATTTTACCTTGATAACTGGTGTCGTTGTCAGTTCAGATTCGTTAAGGAACTTGTACTGTACGTAGAGTCCATTGGTAAATCTTGAATTGTCAATATCTGCTGATTTTACCGTGACCTAAAATGTAATACAAACACGGAAGTTAGACAATTAGTGTGCTTAGTATTTATCTCAATAAAGTAATGCTGTACCTAGTTAAGCGTCCGTCCTAGATTACTGAAATGTCAAGGTACAATTCGAGAGTTTTTGGGTCTCATTATGCGAATGTTTATTTTAATATTGACATTAGTAAACTCTTACCTTTACATGATAAGCCTGCCCAATCAGTTCTGAAGGATCCTCTACAAAATTTTCCTCTTCTGGCAAAGGTTTCCCTTTAGCATTGCATGGTGATACAACAACGTATAAGCCTCCTTCTTCTTGACCCTGTCAAGTTATTAAAATAGGCAAATTGTATAAGCATTCGATGTTCAAAATCAATGAAATTCAAAACAATTGTTTTGTAATGACATTGTTTTAGAGAATTATTTTTTGCTGATCCTTTCAGGTTTAGAATAAACATATATATTCATATTTCATATATATATATATGTCAGAAAATACCGAAATTATTATTGTTATTCGTTGCGGTTGATAAGAGAGGCTTTTCATCCAAAGTATTGGATGTGTAGTGTTATACGCTGTATTCATATACGCCTATAATATAGATAGCTAAAGATATACTGTACAAATTCTATTGCGCAGAAATGAATATAATTTTGAAGTATACTTTTCACAAAAAGCAGTCTAAAGCTTGCCTTGTGGTCAGTTATTGTAAGTTTGTCATCAAAATCAAGAGCATATGATAGAGATTGGAGGAATGCATTCGACGAACCAATCAAATAATCTTGCGGTGGATCGTAGAACGGATCCTTCTCCTTTTCAATAGTCAAGTACGAATCATCTCCATCGACAAATTGTTGATACAATTCCTAAAGTTTAAAATAAAGACAATGCAGGTTTACTTTCTTGAATTATTTTCTAGTTACTTAATTTTGATTATAATCTGAAAAATGTATACGCACTTGAATCATATATCGTCTGTTGATGAATTGTCCTCTTTCCCACATCCAAACATTTTTATTGAGAAGATTGGTTACACGAACCATAACTCTAAATACAAAATTAAATACGGGGGAATAAATAAATAAAAACTAAGGAGATTACATTCAATTTTTATGTCTGGTTTCACTGAAAAGCAACCAGATCAAACCTAAGCATTGAGCGTATTTGATGATTGATTTTGGTCCAAAATCGATAGATTAGTTGACTTTAATATGAAATTAAGAAAAATGAATATATAAAATAAACGCTTCGTGGGATTCTTGAGGCCAAACGACCTAATTGCCTAATAGGCAAATATGTTATGTGTAATTTGCAACTAAATCCCGAATTGATGATAGAATAATCCCTGACGGAAAAGTTCGTTATTGTTTTTGACTATTATATGTATTACCGTGTTCCTTTATCTTTATCGTCCTGTGTCGCACCAGATATCAGAATAAGTTCAAAATGTCTATATTTGTTCAATTCCTCAGATACCGCATTCACTTCACCAATCATTGGAAGAAGTTCAAGCACCTGTTCCTGAGCCTTTTGTTGATCTATTCAAGTAGATATGATTAAAAGATACTAGAAATTTATTTGAAACCTCAGCCTATTCTCATACCACCATACAGCAATATTTTACAAGTTATGGTAAACTAGAAGAATCATTTATGAAGAAGGTTTCAACTTAAGGTCAGTTTCTTCAATTTACTAAAAATATGTAAAGTTTCAAACAGTTGCTGATTCAGCCGTTTGTTTATTATAAAAGAATATTATAAAGTTAAATATAGTATAAAGTTATAAAATGAAATCTTCATATCTTTGTGGTTCATGCCTGAATAACCTTTGCTTTATTTTTTTGATACAAGCTAATGAATATATTACCTTTAGTCAAGCCACTCTGCAAAGTTGAAAACCCACTATTTTCTGCCAATTCCTTTTGTGCAAAATCCCAATCTATAGTTTCGGGTGTTCCTTCAGGAGAAGTCGGTTTGAGTGGGTTTTGGAAGATATACAAATGATTTGAACCTTTGAGGAAATAGATATAAAATTGCCGATAAAATTGTATCACATAATTAAAAAATTGTATCAATTTTAATTTAATTACCGAACAATATTCTATCATTGTGCTCAAGTTTTCTTTCTCCGGTCAATGGCGTCCCGTTGACCTTCGTTTTTGCGCCTTGACTTCCGGGTTTTATGACGACCTCTCCATCGCTCAAACTCAAACTAGCATGCTCTTTTTGTATGCTGTAAGATATGAATTTGAACAGCCGAAATTAATGAGTTGCAAAATAGGGGAAAGGCAAACTTGGAAATGGACCTTAATTTAAATATGGTTTTCTCATCCAGACCAGGGTATTTTGCCGTAAAATATTCAGAGGTATTTTCCATCAGAAAAATAAAAATATAGTAAATAGTCCGTAGACTAACCTTAATCCTGTCAGAATAATGTTAGGCTTCGGATCGGCATCTTTTCTTCCAATCAATGTAACTTTGTCCTTTGATAATCCATGCACAATAACTCCGGATAACATTGGATCCTCGTTGAGGTTAACCAAATGTGGAACATTCTTTTGCTTTTCTTTCAGCTTCGTTTCCTTCATTGAAGTCTTTTCTTCTTGTCTGGCCTATTGAAACATTACGGAATGTAAAAAATGATCTGCAGCTGATCGAATGATTTGTTATTGACTATAAATAGTGTGAAGTAATTTGTGAAGAATTGAATAACATTGTTATAGCTGCACCTCTTTCAATTTCTCGTCCCAATCCATTCCAGCTAAATCATTTTGGTTAGCAAGCAGCTGTGCACGAATTTCGTCTTCCATCTGTTTACGCATTTTGTCAACATCTGAATAACGAGATAAAAAGTTATGATACACATTAATAGAGGTGTAAAATATTAGATGTGAAAAATTTAAAGTAAATTTGTGGTGTTTAAATATCATTTTCCCAATAATACCTTCTTGACTCATTCCTTTTTCTTGAGTAAGAACGACCCCTCCAGTTAGCGAAGCCTTAAGTCGTTCATTTTCTTCCCTCAATTCACGGATGAGTTTGTCCATAGGATTTTCATTCACGACAGCTTTGTTCTTAATTTTCTTTGCTCTGTCAGCATACCTATAATTGTTTGATTAAAATTAGTTTGTATTGTCAAAGAAAATGGGATGTTATTTTATTAAGGTAAACTATTTCGATGACACTTCAGCAAGTGATGAGTGAAAAGTTGACAAACAAACTAAAGTTTAGTAAGTTACTGGACGTAGTTATCTTGGTTGAAACAATCGACCAATTCTGGTATCTGTATCTCTATAATGCAGTGTTGTTTTTGTATGAGCACAAAAATTAGAAAAAAACAGAAAATATATACCTCAGTGTACTCAAAGTTTCATCATAATTAATATCAGCAGGAGATAACGCAGCAATCATAATTGTTTTCGAATTTCCACCAAGAGCATTCATCAAAAGTTTAGTTAATATGGAACCACGATATGGTACAAGGACCTTTTTCTTGCCCATTGACAAATCAGCAAGAGCCTGTGACAAAAGCAAACACCAATGATTAGGTGTTGAATTGCGTTTTAAAACAACGATAAAATAAAACGCAGCTCGCATTCTTTAAAAAAATGGATGGGGTAAAGTTGTTGAAGTGATAGATTGATATATAATACTGCCACTCGGTCATTTTCATTATTTTAGACATAAGTTTGAGTCAGAGAAATCAAAAAGTCCATGGGGAGTGTTTTTCAAATACTATGAGAATATCCTTATCAAATAAATCATATGATGCACATAAGTAACTGAAGTTGCCTAACCTTTCTATGGGTTTGGTTTTTATTACCAAATTACTGTTGATTTTACATTTATCAGAAACAGGAACTGCAAATTGACATTGAAAAAAGAAATTTTAAATTCAGTTCTTACAAGACATATACCGCAGGTTATCATTACAGGTTGCCTAACAAATTCATTTAAGTATTAAAATATTAGCTGAACGTGACTTCACCGAAATGACATTTCCAAGAGCTGAAAGAGATTTATTGATATTAGCTCCTTCCTTCAAACGATCACCCGTTGCTCCTGTGCTGTCAGCTCTTTCAGATCCTGAGTACACACGGAAATAATAGAAATCTCGTGAAATTTTTACAAAAATTGATTTACTCTAGTAGTGCATATGTTGAATGACAATGCTCCCAGTCATATTAGGCCAAAACAAATTGAATGTATGATTATAGTGCTAGCATGCAAATAAGTCTCGTGGAAAGGGCGAACAAACCGGCTAAATCGACGAGATTAATGCTGGAACTCTTTTTCGTTTCGTTTCCATCTTTTTTCATGATTTGGTCGAATGTGATCGTGACGACAGTATGGGCCCGAGAACTTGTAGCATTCATCTGCGTTGATGCAACAGTTCTATTTGCCGTTCCTGTTAAACACAGCTGTTATAGTTATTAAAGTTACAGAAGATATACATCAAATGTCTCTTTGAGAAAAGAAGAAGTGTGGATAATTCTTAATCTGTGTATAATTCTATGTAAAAATATTAATATTTATTCGTACAAATTATCTCGTTCTAAATGTTTCAACTCTACCAAATTACTGCTGCAATAGAAAATAGTTTCATCAATCACAACATTGGACAATGTTGAACGTGAACAATAGAAACTTGCATTTCAAGAAGTATATTCCTCTCCTTTGTCACTACAAACTCTTAACCTATAAGTATCTATAAGATATCTAACCCTCTGTCATATAAACTTAGTTTTCAATGATCATATGTCATAGGTGTAACATTGTTAAATGTTTCCAATCGTCATTTGAATGGCCTCTCTCGTTTTAGGGCATATTGGACAGCTGTTTGCTTCTTATCGCATGGTTATAATGTAATGGGATAGTAATTTTCAAGTTTAAGGTATACCTCTGCTACATATTCAGAACTGGCTGCGTGTTATTATCCATTCCAGTTTTCATTCTACTATTGAAGGTAGTAGAGAGGTTAAATTAAAAGTTTGAATACCTTCATCCATTCTTCTTTCAATTTCTTTGTAACTACCAACGGCGACTTTTTTCTGATTTTCAACATAAAAGAGACCAAGTTTTGGGTTTTGTCGAACCGCCAGTCCTCCTTTTGGATTGTCCTTTGTAAGCAGATCTCGAACTTGTTCATTGTAAATTTCCAACATAGAAAACGTAATTTCGTATTTCTGTAAACATAAAAAGTTTTATCGAAGTATAAAGATATTAACAACGTCAGAAATGAATGAAATACACAGAAATTTAAAACAAATATTATTCTCATCCAGTGAAATTAAAATGTTAGTATAAGGAGTTTGGAAAGAAGCCTATTGTATTTGAACACAATAATACTGACATTTGCATACACAAGATGGGAATATTAGTTACCACGGGAATGACGAACTCGTCAAATTTTCAATTATGGGGGATTAATTAAGGAAAGTTAGATGGCAAAATCGAATTTCTCCATATGCCGAATTTTTATTTGTTTAAACCACCAACAATCTTTTCATCAAAGTGCTATATCTTTATAAAAACATCAGTATATATGAAATTTCATCAATTGATATTTCATAGCTGCGCTTACTACCTATTTCAACAAATAACAACTTTTATGGCAATTTCGTGGGAGTGGTATATTTTAAAACCTGAAACTTTTTCTTACGAGTCATAAAGTTATAAAAAAATTATTTGTTTTATTGTTCATTGACATTCAAGAAAATGTTTTCTGACACTTTATAAACTAAATATTTTCCGACGCCAATTCATACAATAAAATATCGTTTGGAGAATTGTCGATTTTTGTCTGAAAAATATGTACGTTTCAATTTGGCGAAACAGAATTGTACTTACGACATCTCCCGATGCCCTTTCAATTGCTTGAAACAATTCATCACAGGAAATAGGCACAATTCCCCTAAAATGTAAGTAACAAATATTTAGTCTACGACTACTATCTAAAACGTAATTTATATATTCCTTGGAATCGCGATATTCATTACATACTATACTAGATCAGAAGTTTTAGAAATTTGGAGTTGGAACATCAAAATTATGAATGATAGTAGCTGCAGACGAATTTAATAAAATTGCTAGAAGGTTACAAGAGTTTCATATTACCTTACCTTGTTTATTTCAAGGAATTTTTCAGTATTTCAATTTGAATTATTTGTGTTTATTGCGATTTATCGTTAGCTTGTGATATAAAAAATAATATTCATTTTCTGCGTTAAATACATTACCACCAGCACGATGAATCAAACTAATGTAATCGTTTACCTATTCTTTCCATAACCGACCATAGAATATGACTTCCCGGATCCAGTTTGACCATAAGCAAAAAGAGAACAGTTGTATCCTGAATAGTATATCAAAATGGAAGTTTTTTTTTAATACAGAAAACAATAGCATTTCAAATCGTTTTAGAAATTTGATGTTGTAAATAAGGAAGGAATTGCTTAGAAACTTTCCGCGCAAAAGGACGTATATATACTGTAGGCAAATACTCAGAAGATATAAAGACAGTGTGCCATGTCGTTGAATAGTATGTCAAAACACGTTGTTAAAATGGCGATGAGCAGTATTTAAATGATTGGGTTCAGGTTTTAGACTCACTTCTAGGCACTGATACAAGAATAAATTTTTGTTGCGCCAAACAGCGTTGAAAATTACTGCTTTCCGTTATCAGTCGCAACTATAAGTAATTTGTGACTAACCTTCAAAAGCATTGTCAAGTACACCTTGTCCCAAGTCTTCAAATACTCTTCTTTGTGTTGCATATTTGTCGTTATCGGCAACCAATACGCCATCATCATCATGAAATCCATCATGAGACCTGGATACATTTAAAAAGTTGTTCAAGATGCCCTTCTAGTATACCCCCTAAATTTATTTGTAGAACTATGTATATTTAAAAGTATATAATGTATCACAAAAATAGCTTGGAAGCATTGCCTATGCTTTCCTGGTAGATGGTTCTCGACGTAGATGTTATGGCTTGGAATGTGTTGTCTGGGCGAGGTAATAGATCTATTTGGTGTGTAAATATAGGCCTTTTCCGCGTTCACACTTGTCTGGGCAGGTTTTTTACTGGATAATGAACACGAAAAATTTCTTCCGCAATATTTGCGTTAAAGGTTTGGTTAAATGCCATGCTCAAAACCGAATGACTAATAATTTTGTATTACACGATTTCCAAAGAATGGTGGATGTACTTTCTCTATTTGTTCTACTTGTGCCAAACAAACGATGGAACCAAAGAATGTGACATACAATTCCGAATAGAATTCAAACGTTGTCAAAGCATTATTTCTATCATTTAGAATAGTAAGTTCTTATGAATCAAATTATTATAAAATACCAAAATGATGAACTTCGCATTCGCTTAATAGTACATAATTTCATAAAAAGAAGCGTTTCATAACTATTTGAACAAATTAATCAATATTTTTTTTATTTCCTGTTAAGAATACTGTCAGATCCATTGAATGACCTTTTACCCCTCGTGTGAAAAGTTACTCTAAAATGGGAAGTTTATATAAGCTGGTGTGACACAATGTTCTCATAACTAATCACGCAAGTATGACGTTTTAGTGTTAAAAGTTCCACTTAAATCTGGGAACACCCAATAAGCAAATACCGCTGAATAGATTTTGTTCTTTATCTAAACTTGTGAGATGTACTGAAACGATAGCGGTTAGACTCTTCTTGTAAGTTCATTTAAGAGAGGACGTAAAATTCTACTGCTCCGCAAAATGAGCAGAACAAATAGCCGAGCGTTGACGAACTAAGTAATCCAAATAAATATCAATTTGCGTAAGTCAAAACCACAGCAATATTATATTATGGGTCGATCAGGGGTATGACGTCATAACAATAAATTCGTTTGATTTAAATACGGCAGTTTAAAAATATATTAAACTTCGGTTATTGGAATTGAGAAATCAAAGTTCAACGAGTTCAATTTTATTTCCAGGTAATGATATATAATTACATGTGCATAGAAGCGCATGAAATACTCACCAGTAAGAGTAATCGAATGCAAACTGAAACGACAAAAAATAAAATCAACAATGAAAGAACGAAGCGTCTTGTTATATGTTTTCCTTTTTACTGTTAGAATAGTAATCCTGCATGGCCTTTGTCATAAGAATGCCTGACTTGAAATCAATTGTTTTAACTGATTCAAAAAAATAATTTGAAATCAAATGCTTGCGATTCTGACATGAAGTTTATTGAAAGTAATTGCCAGTTTATTAAGCTATCAATCTGACTGAAAAATAACTTTGATATTCTGTTCAGATCACGCACTTTATTTACGGATTCACATGTAAGGTATAAAATAGAAAAAAACAAAAACATCGAGATTAATGAAAATGATCTCAGAACTCTAATAAATATATATTAAACAAAGGTGCCTGATACCTTTATTTTTTCTTAAAATAATTTTTGAGTATTCCCTTATGTTCCGAAGTATTTATTCCCTCAACTACACATTTAGAATTTAACTCTTTTATGACTTTTAAAATTGATTTGTAGCATTAACCAAAGCAAGACTAAGGGAAACAATCATTGCAGTATTTAATTCCATAAGCATAATCAGCACTTATCTAGGGTAAAATATTATGGAAGTAACGTTGTCGAAAACTCACCGTTTTTGGATCTTCACCTAGAAAGATAAATAAAAGACCCCGTTAAATATAATATTCTGGAAGCCACTTACAGTATCAGAATATTCAACAACATAGCAGGCATGAAGCACATAACATATTGAACATTAATAATAAAGAGTGAAGTGTCTTATCATTGGGCCACAGCAGGGCCGTGCATCATTGGCCATCAGTCATAAACAAATATGAAATTTTCGAAGACATAATTCGAAAATTTCAGTATTTGCATTGTAACAAATTTATTGATATATTACGCCAATCCAAGTGTTTTTTATTTGTATACAGTCATAAATTGCTCAAAATGTTCACAAAAGTAGTATTGAACCCTTTCCATAATTCGGAACTAGCTGTTAAACGCAGTGACCAAACAAAATTGGAATCATGGTGTATTGCGCAATTCGCTATTTGGAAAGCGGTTCAGATTCGAATCCTGTAGTTGTCATCATAATTTCTATACCTTCCGATAGGTATTTCACTATATCAAAGAGACTGCTCATCTAGGGTGCTTCTCCGATACACCGTGTCAGTGAACGTCATACTATGAACAATAGAGGAGTTTTTTGTACCTAATTCCATAAACAAATTCAAAATTGTTCAGAATTTTTCAAGAGATTTGTAATGCAAAGGTGAACATTTAAGCTGTTTAAATACATTTGTTATGAAATCTTCGAAACTCAACATAAAAAGTCAACAAAGAAAGATAAAACGAAGGAATGATTTGCCACCGAAAATGATATCAATTTGTTTGTTGGTAAGGTGACAGGTTGTAAATCATGATAATGTTTATTTTGCGTGATGATACAGACAAGTTTGGACCATTGATAAAATGCGCTACTTTAATGCCACAAGATGTTACCTATTTTTCTTTGAATGAGCTATATTTTAGATCATTTTGAACAAAATTATTTCAACATGGTTGTACAAGGTTGTAATTTACAACGCATGGTACGGAGTAAGAACAAGACGAACATATATCGACGATAAATCAATCTTAAATAGAATATATATTCAGCTATCATAGATAGATTGGTGCGTATATAGCTGTTTCGTTAAGCCAAAAATAGCTTACAGAATTTTAGTATTAATGTTTTACCTATATTTTATTTCATGTTAATATACGTCTATTATGCCACGTTTTTGATATTGATTATTTGTATCAAGAGAACCCGAAACCTATATCTATAACATTTATAATAGTCGGGTATGTGGAAGAAATTGAGGATTCACGTGAGCCCAGTTGGTGCTTTCGAGTTAAGGATATTTTCAACTTATCGTTTTCAAATCGAAATTAACCATCTCTTATTGACCGGTAGAAGTTTTTTATTGCCGTTTCGGTGCTATTAGAACTATTTTAATATATCACAGTTCTAAATTCTGCTTTGAAAAGATTAAAACAATACAGAATGAAAAAAAAAACCAGACATTTGCTCACCAGATGCCAATCGATTTTTAAGTATTTATGTAAGCGGAAGGACAGATAAAATATTTGTTCTTGCACATTTTTTATTTCAAAAGGAAGAAATGTTATTAAAATTTATGGTATGATATTACTGTGCACAAATAAATTAAAATTAAATTTGAGATTTCCAATAACCCGTATATTATAAATTAGTTATTCTGAAATTACATTATGATTGAGCCGACTTATTGGCCTGTTTTCCGCGGAATAAATTTGAAGTTCGTGATTATTATTCACTGAACCAGCTAACTTGCTTGTAATAAATTGTTCGCAGTAAAACTTAATTAAAAAGTAGCTAAGTTGTGTTTACCCGGTTGTGGATCCGGATTTGTAATTTTTGTTTGTGTTCCGTCCATTTCAATAATACATACTGATCCTCGATCCCTTTCTCTAAAAATAACAAAAACATACATATCGGCATTTTGACGGCATACCGGATACTAAATTTATGTATGCGTTAAGATACCTATGCATTTAGAATTATTATTTATTTTATCAATCAAAGATGTACATTCCTTGCCTAAAAGCAAATCTTACCTCTGATTAAATGGCCGCACTCGCACAGCTACTTTTACCCTTTGAAGAAACAAAAAACACTTTCAGATTGGGTAATGGTATGTGTATATTTATAAGTTTAAGTCGACCGTAACTATAGTGCAATGTTCGAATAAAGAACTGGGTTTCCATCAAATACAAAGTTTTTAACGAAAAGGCATTTGGCATATTCTTTTTCTTAATTAGAATTTAATACAATCAATAGGATTTGATTTTGATAAACTTAACATTGGCAAATCTTATGTGCAACATTAATATTGTTTAAGTTTAAAACGTACACCCCACTGTGCAACATAAAAAGTTCTAGCTAGAGCCAATTGACTATCATTTCTTGAGTGCAAAATAAAATAACTCAAAAGTCTTTGTCGCTTCAAACTGGTAGAATATGAAAATGTTATTGCTTAATGAAATATGTAGCTAAACTCACCCTTCTCCTTCCGACGACATTATCGCTGATTAGTAGAAAGCGACTTCCGTTAAAAATTTTCAAATACAAAATATGAAAAATAAAATAACCTAAAATCTGGAATGAGAAAGAAATGAAAAATGCTTTAAAGACTAGTGAAATTCACTAACTAGAGAACCACAGACTATGCTTTACAAGGTAGTAGTTACAATAGATAGTTGCTCTAATCATTTGGGCTTCGGGCGCCACGTTTTGTTGTCGATAGGCGTTGATTTCGAGAAAAAATATATATATCTGTCCCTTCAGTGCACGTCCGTAGTGATTGAAAGAAACACGTTTAACATAGAAGGGCGATTAGTTTAGAGACTTTAACAATACTGATTTGAACAAAAGGGTGGGCTCGTAATTTGAGAGTTTCTGTTCGCGGGTTCCCTGTGTGCTATACAAGTGGAAATCATGATAAAGGAACTTTACCTAGCCAGACTGTGTTTATTTATCTATATATCGTCATATGTTGTTCATTGCTTGAGAATTGGGATGGTTACAATCTAACCTTTGTCCATGGTAGACAACAAATATATTATTTGCTTGAGAAAATAAATTTATTGAACTAAGAACCATTTTCATTCTGGAGTGAAGGGTTTCGATGTCTAAACTGTGTGTTTATATAAATATACTTTTAAATTTGAAGTGGGTTGAATCAAGATGCTTTGTCAAAACAATATGCTATGAATAATGGCGTGTAAATATGACGTTATAGAAATCGTTGTCTCTCCAGACTTGATAAACATAAACTTGTTATCTGTATTATTTTTGTTCTCAGTGAATAGTGCTTTGAATAGTTGTTTGTGTCGTTTTAGTACTATACTTTGAACATTTTAATTTCGCATAGATATAAGAAAATACAAGAAATAGCCAGGTTGACGAAAAACGAAATTGTGAAAAAAGACAAGATTGTAAACGCTTAGTTATATTGAAAAAACATGACCGAAAATTTGCTAGTTTGTACTAGGTATGTACTTGTTGCTATAGATTGTCACCTTATTCTGATTTTGGAGATTTTTTGGCGACCATACCAGGATCTATTGGCTCACTAGTAGGGAGACCTCGAACAAATTTGACAATTTCAAAATCAACGTTTGAGTTTAGCAAAAACACGATGTTTGTAATGTGCAGTGCGTTACTCGCAAATAATACAAATGCTAACACTCAAATTCTTTGAAATATTTATTTAAATGCGAAATTTGTTATAAATTGTTTGTGGCATTAAACAATTCGAGGAAAAATATTTCTTCGAAGCAATAATGAAAGTTTATGTCCGGGTTAGACAAGCCACAGATAGCTTACAAATTACTTCTTGTGTCGTCAAAATTACTTGGCTAGAAAGCAAATATTTGATCAGACCTATCCTTTATTGCTCGCTGCACCGTCATCCATAAATTATAGCTGGTTATTTTATCACCTCACCATTCTGAAAATCGTAATTACATAACGTATTAAGATAATCGTTCAAAAGAAATACTGTAATTTTGTACATTGAAAAATCCCATTGAGTTCGTTGTACTTACATTTACTGGATATAGCTACAAGAAAAGTTACCTTTGTTTTCAATAAATTTCACATGTGACACCTCAGTAAACCGCAACAAAATTATCAGAATTTTATGTCATTGACAGCGACTTTCACAGTCCAGCAGAAAAATTGTTTTCCCAGTACCCAATACAGTAACTTTCTTATCTGGGAGGCAGCCATAGTGGCCGACCCATGGTGCTAAATAAATCGATATTTCTAGTCGCGCTATCGAAGTTAAAAGAATGATTAAATGCAATAATTGTTGACCATTTAAAAATGTTATTCAATTTATGCTGAAAACATGAAACTCCGAATAGTAGACTGACTGATGAATCAGATTGTCAGGAATTTAAACTTAGGTGAAAAGCTCTAAATTAGCCTAATCTGGTTGTTTCACCTCCCCATATTTTTTATATTTCTACACCAATATAGAGTTTTTGATATGTATTCGATTCATTGGTCGACCGCTGCAACTGAAAAAAAAAAATTTGTAGCTGACTAATATTAAATATTAACCCACGCCATGGTTGGTCAACTAAATACCTATTGTAAAACATATCAAAAAATCGATATATTCGCAATAATATTTAATGCATCACGAATAAGTGAGAGAGCTACTTCATAGTGAAATTGCTAGACTTTCCTCGCTAACATTTTAAAGTTCCACTGCCCCTCCATATATCTACCTATCGGAAAGCCTACCTATTACGTTATATGATTGTGAGGTCTGTGCACCGTGATATATACACACAGAAACATTCAATATTCTATTGTTGTCTCTGCGCACTGAACCATCCCGTTGTTCGGGGCAAATCCAATAGAAGAATATATCTGATGTCACTGCGATATCTAGAAGTAAATGAGTTGTTGGCTAATTAACTAGCAACATTTTCAAGTTTATGTGGTCATTTTAAAAATGTCTTATATACGTTTGTCATCTCAAATATTGGCTATAACTCATTACAAAGATACTAAGCAGTACATAAAATTATGTAAGATAATTTAAAATTAGTTGGCTGTACCTAATAGAAATGATGAAAAACAATTATGTATGTTATTATCATATCTTTGTAAATAAACTTGAATTAGGTTATAAATACAAATATGATCATGAAATATTTAGAGACAAAATGAAATGAAACTTTTCCCTTTTCCCATTTCCCTTTCCACGTGCTGTATATAAACAACGTCATATACCGAACTCGAACAAAAGAAGAGCGCCTATGTAATTGCAACCATCCTTTTGTAAAACATCACGTTCATACAACATCATCTGCGACCACCTGGTAGATTTCGTAAACGATTTAGGATTAGGATATGGCCAGGTAATTTGTTCCATAAACCCCAATGAATTGAAAAGAGGTATGACAAAAAAACTTCTTTTATTAACAAAAGATTTATAAATTATCAAGTGATAGAGAAAAACCAATTTACTAAAATTGTTGGTATATATATAAGTTACAAATGTAGTATTTTACAAATACTGCGTATATATTTGAGTGTGCATATTCGCATACGTAGACAGACACAAATACCCCACGCAAGAGTTAAAAAGTGATTGCTAAATAGCAAATAGCCGATCAGAAATCAACATGGCGAATATTTAATTTTGGATAGCTAACCACATAATTAGTAAGTAACTCCATATTTTTGTACAGCGCTAAATTGTTAAAACCTCCTGTTTGCATTAAAAAAGCTTTTACTTATATTTTGCTGGTGTGCCATTTTTACGCCTATCAATAAATTTACCCTAACCTGACTTGAGTATACACAGTCTTACGGTAACATGCTAATATTTGTAATTTGAAAATGTCCAGCCAATGCATTCAAATAGCCCCAGCGTAGCCTTGAATATGAAACTAAGCCAATCCTGTCAAAATCAAACACAACACAGCCTAAAGACAAACAGATTCACACGTACTCCCATAAAACACCTTGATCTCCCAGATAACGGTAATAAATTGTGTCAGTACAGACACTAATTCCAAACTAGAATGTTAAATTATCGTGTATGATCTACTGTATTGACGACCCACGCCTAACTTCAATGTTTACCTATCTTTCTTGTGACGCAGAGACCTGGAAACGATTTGTAAAGGAAAGGATTAAAATGATATTTGACGACCATGGTTACCAAGTGGCAGACAACATCTTCCAATGTTTGCTCCGTTATTTATCTTATGCGGGTGAGGTTTGGACATTTTGGTCATAGGTAAAACTCTTCTCAGCTTTTTAAACATTAATCTTTGTAAATATGGAAACTAAATTTTCATAAAGACTGGAAATTATTTCCTAGGAGAACAATGAAGCCTATACACTTCACTTCTTCAGTTTTTACCTTATTGTTGTGTTGCCTAGATAATCCAGATTAATAACTGTTGTCTACTTTTCTAAAATAACAATTGGTCGGTCAGTCGGTCACGCAAATTCACGTGAGGTCTATTATTCAAAAGTGGTATACGATGTTCACGCACTGGTCGTGATTACAATGTGTAACTGAAACGTTAAACAAATTTATCTGGAAAAAGACTTGTGTTTTACTGAATACGTTAAGAATGAACCATTTTCGAACTAATCGTTTTTCATTTTATTACTGACATAACTGAGAGTTTCAGATTCTACTTTTACAATCCATCGATAATGAATAATCATTTGAAGTACGGTATGTCGTGCAGGAGCATTTCCAAATGTCAGCAAAGTAAAGCACTTTATCGTATGTGGAGTCCGCAATATGAGGCAAATTGATATGAAAAACAACCCTCTGTGACATGCTCTGTGACATTTTTTTTGCGCACAATTATAGTCCTACTTCTCTGGATAACCGAATTTTTTGTTTCCTTGATCTCAAAAATATATCACAGTGCCCGAGGCTGGAAGATTAATACAAAAATTTAAAAAAGGGGCCAAAACCATTTTTTTTCGCTTAGTACGCGTTTTTAAATATATGAATACAGTACCCATTTCTTTCGTCATTGGCAGTACCCTTTGTTATTCTCTCTAGTGGGAAACGTCCACCCCATTCACATCGTGTCTATCTTATCTGGTAACTCTACAAGTTGCGTTTGTTAATATATGTTTCGTTTTGTAACCATCCAAAAAAGTATGAACATTTGAGCTCCTCATATAGATACTCCTTATCATATTTTTTTTGCCGCGTGACAATTGTATCAGATAACGGTGCGAGGATCGATTAGCAGTGCTATTTACTAATAATGGATGATTAAAAACACAATCGCGCGTTCTTTATTTGTATTAGAAGCTTAGATTTGATACCAAAATGTTGAGTATCGGTTATTATTGTTTTATTTGCCACAAGTCCATAACAACAACAATTCAACTTTACAACAATTACATCACGTTACAGACAATTGTTCAAGCAACAATTCGTTTTCGTGCAAAGACGAAAATATATCACATGACAGAGATAATGACTCACACGAACAACTGAAACCTGACATGATTTAAAATTTATAATATTTCTTGCTTTATTTAATCAGCACTCGTTGAAATTTTACCAACTTATTTTCTGGGATTGATCATAATATATTTATTCTAACATTCTACAGTCGCGATATGTATGAAAGGTGGACGGAAGATACCGCTACATTGTGATTGAATTGAACGACAATTCGTCGGCAAAAATAAGATTCATTTTGTCTGAACCAATTGAAACACGAAACTTCATTGTTTTCCTGTCCAATACTTATAATTACGAACAAAAAATTTGTGGGGTCATCACATCTCACTCTGGTAAGAATGTAAGAAGTGTTTTCGATGCAACTAATATATATATATATATATATACGTATTGTCTATCTCATCCTGTATTTTTTTATTTAGTCGTTTGTTTTTACTTTGTTTAAGTTTATGAGATAGCGGTAAATCTGGCGAATAAAAATATTTCAAATACCCTAAAAGCTCAAACTCACCCATTTGGTAAAACAAGTTAAAAAAAACACAATTGCAGTTTTATTCACTGTGGTCATGTATTTACATATCGAATATTATTGACAAGAAATGCCATAATAAAATCAAATATCGTCAGGTTCTAATATTATTTTTGTTGAAGTAGGCGAACATCATCTTCAATAGATTTTCCCATTTCCAAGTTCTTTTCGCATTCGATCATGAATTCAACACCGTCTACAACCATTTGCACAAGTTCAACTTCAGAAAAGCCAAGACGATCAGCATTTGATATGTCAAAAATTCCTCCTTCCGCTGCTGTATCAACTCCACCTGTTCCACGTTTTTGTAAACGAAGTTTTCTGAGAACTTCGTAAAATTTTGGATGTTGGGAGAAGAGAGGTATCCTTAAGTGAACACCAACTCTAACACCGGTACCGAGATTACTTGGGCATGTAAGAATTTAACCGAGGTGTTCGTTCCACATGTACTCGCGACCAAGTTCCTTAATTTGAATTTCAATCTGAAAAGGAACGTTAAAATATTTTTACGGTACGACACATTAAAATTGCAATATAATAAATTTTACAAAATGAATGGATCAACTGTATTTTAATGCTATTGTTGTACGCAGTGAGCATCACTTTCCAAAGCAATTGTGTCGAATTCGTTAATTTTCAAAACGCACCTCTCTAAGTCCTTTGCACCAACGAGTGAAAACTTCTTTCATTTTCCCTCCATTCTGCATTGAGATTACTCTGAGGTGATCTTCTTCATTTATCCAAACAAGAAAATTCTTTTTGTCGTTATGCCTGAAATGTGTTTTGCATTTTATAGCTGTACTTGAATATTTTTTAATTTCACAATAAAATGATTATCACTCACCATATTCCTCTGGCATCTGGCCAATCACGAGCCATGCCGGCGGAAAGTAACAATGGCGAAACGAGTTTATCAAACAAGAAGTGGTCATTAATTAGTTGTTCCTGATCTTTGTCTGACATTATATTCAGTGGGTAATATATTCCTTTTAATTCTCCGTCCAACTTTTCTAAGGCTGAGAAAAAAGTTCTTTGGTTAAATGATGTTGAATGTTTGTAACTTCAGTAAAACAGTGAACAAAATCAGTACCTTTGTATGAAATTTCTTCAATTTTTCTTCTTTCAGCGCGGCTACAGTGTGGCGGAAGGCATAGTCCCCTGATACTCCTACCAGTTCGTACTCGAGATGAAAGAACATATTTTTCATCCAAGCAATCACCTCCCTGAAAACAATCAAAATGATTCATATATTGTTTTCCAGCATGATTTTTATTTATAATCACCTCGATAAAAAGAACGTTTATGTTGAAAAATATGTGCAGCAAGCTCTTATTATTGAAAAGTTACAAAATCACTGAGAGGGAAATTACTGATTTTATCAAGCCTGGAGCATCCACAGTTTAGGTTGTTTACCTTCAAATGTTCTGGATTCAAATCTGTCTTATGTTTGTCTGTTTTCTTGTATCCGTTATGCCTAGCTTCAATAACGGGATCGAATAATTCAGCAAAAGTTTCATACGATTCTTCGTCCCCAGCAACACATCCCACCGTCATAATGAAAGGATGTCCTAAACCAATATCATATTTTGGGTTCAAAATTGCTTCATGTCACAAGGATAACGATGTTACAAAGATCAACATTATACCTGGATTATCAACGCCGGTTTGAATAACGTTGTCGATGTTGAATCCATTTGGACTTTGTCGGAATCTCAAGGTTTTGTAAATATCTTTTGTCAAACATTTTGCCATGTGGTTATTGTGGTTGGATAGATCCGGAAACTCCTCTCGTGCTGTATACTTAATAGTGCTGGTATTTGGCATTTTTTGCTGGTTCGGTATTCTTTTCCAATATAAATTGAATGTTGCAAATATTCTTCTCCGGCTCGAGTGGGTATTCATGAGATCGATGATTAGTTTCTGTTCATGCTTAGTTTTGTACCATAAATTTCGCGCCTGATTAGTGCGAACAACTACCTTATCAAGCCAATGTTATCACTTTTTGTCGAATTGCGCGAACATATGATAATACCGCCAAATAAAATATGCGAGTCAACCCACGATTCCACGAACAAAGATTTACGTGCCAAAGTGTAAACTTAAATGAATTAATGTATTTCATGCATTAGTCAGCGGATACACGAGTGTTGAGTAATAAAAATTTACTAGTAGAATGCCTATATTGATGTTGCGACTTGCGAGCTGCCACATGAAGTATAAATATTCAATTTCAGAATATATGCTCTACAGCAGCGGTTCCCCAATTATGGGTCGCGACCCGCTGGTGGGTCGCAAAAGGAATCTTAGTGGATCGTGAAAAGATGTAGAAAGCTTTGATTATTTATACTGGTTATTAGAATCGGTGGCGACTACGTGAATCTTCGAAAAAAAAAATTGAATTTAAATTCTTATCTGTGAAAGTTTCCTTTTTACGATCTTCTCAAAGGAACAAAAATTTGCTACACAAAGAATGACCATGTGGCTTTTTTTAAGCATAGCAGTTTTGTACACCGTACAGCACTTTGTACCGTGTTTCCCTAGAATTTAGACAGGATTTAGATTTATTTTCTTTCGAAGAATAACACTATGTTGTTTTTAGGAGGTTTTTTTATTTTTTTTTTTGGTTTTTCTTTTGTGTTCATACATTAAAAATAAAATTACATTGTAGAAAAGCAAGAGATTTTTTAATAAACATTATATAAAAACCGGAATCCATTGTTTTTATTTGTATTTCCTATAAAAAAATCAAGTGACAATAGCATAATTGTGATATCACACAATCTTGAATAGTGGTGTAATCACCACCTTACATCAGGTTATTGAACCTATCCTCTCCCACACATTTTAAATTTATTTTAAGGGTAGGGTTTAATTAAAATCATTTTTAAAATTCAAATTAGGTCTTATTTTCAGGCCAGGTATTATTTTCGAGGAAACACGGTAGTTTTGCGATGATTAGCCATTGCTGTGTTCTGTGTTATGTCATAAAAATTAAATGAGTCGCCATAAGCTGTGGTAATAAATAGTGGGTCCCAACAGTAAAAAGTTTGGGAACCACTGCTCTACAGGTTACAAGTTAATTCGTTTTCTAGTTGAACGCAGCGATGTATGTACAATTGGATTCCTCAAGCAATACATTCTCATAAAACTCAGTAACACCCTATACCTTTTCTGCTAATAAATTTATGTCAAAATATGATGTTACCTTGTGTGGCGGGAATGTAGTAAGTCAACGAGTAAATCTCTTTATTCAATTTCAGCAAAATTATAGTTGAAAAATAGTAATAGAATATTAAGGTTGAATTGAAAAAATAATCATCTTCTTCTTCTCTTCAATTTTTGAACGTTCAACTGCAGATATTGTAAAAAATAGCAGATGTGCCCAAAGTACACATCATAAGTGATTTTTTACACAAGTTCGTATGCACCGTAGCACGTCCCTTTATTCGCTAAGAGCCGTGAGCGACGGGCCATTCTGTCTACTCTGAGTGAACTCCAACGGCATGCGACAATGATGAATACTAGATCAGCTAATAAAAATAAACTTGTCTTGATTTTATGACTGGTTTGGGAAGCGGATAGCAAGTTACTCTGTATGGCCAGATTCCCACAAATCCCTCAACATTTTTCCTAATTCAGGAATATTATGAGTTTGTAAACTAATGTTTGAAACGATGCAATATTTGTGTAATACCCCTTTTTGAAATTGATTATTTGTCACACTTTATAGAATCGTGCAAAAGTTAATCCGCTGTATAACCAACCAACCAACGTGTACAAGGCAGGGATGAGCTGAAAAAATCGTAACAACCGGAACGCACCTAATTTGCAAAAATGTAATATATTCACAACACGACGCGTACGTTTACAGAACTGCGAATAAATTATATGAAATATGTTTGTATAATATTATAAGAGTATTCATAGCAATTCAATACAAATCTAGTTATGAGAAAGGTATAGAATGAACTTTCACGGGGTCAAAAGTTGGGGAAACATCTATTACACGTTACTGCTGTACTACTAATTATTTGCGTGGTGTGACGTGAAAAGTCGTACGAATTATGATGTAACAAAACATAAATTAATAACTAAGTTTACCAGAGAAACTAGACTTTTTGTACCACAATTTTATTCAACAACAGGAACGAAAAATGAAGTAAAATGTCAAACAACCGGAACGCCGTTCCGGTGCGATCCGGCCACAGCTCACCACTGGTACAAGGTGAATTGGAGGTTTGGAATGTATAATCAGTATGGTATTGTTTGACGCAAATCAGCCCAATTATAATAACAGAGAACTGACATTCTGTATGGTTTTATTGATCGAACTCAACAAATGAAAAATGTGAAAGACTTTAGAAAATACAACCACGTTTAGAGTTAGTTGGCATTTAACGACCTGGCGCCATCCAGCACTAAACATTGCCCTGTCGTCCAACTAGAAGCATCAGATGCCAAAAACATTACTGCGCTGACGACATCCTCAACCGTCCCAAGTCTACCCATTGGATGAAACTGGGCAAAATTGTCCCATGCTGAATCTGCATCTTGATTATTCTCAAATTCATGTCGAAGTAGTGATGTCCGTATACCCGATGGATTCACAGCATTAACTCTAACTCCTTTAGGAGCATATTCGAGAGCAATTGTTTTCGTAAACTGATCCAGGGAAGATTTAGTCATTCCGTAAATAAGAGCTTGGGGATATTGTATTGTACTGGCCACGCTGGAGAGATTAACAATATTTCCCTTGGATTTTACTAAATGTGGGATCAATAACTGAGACAGATAAACTACAGATTTGATATTAATTTGAAACATCCAGTCAAAATCTGTGAACTTCACACTTTCCAGAACTCCAAATCTTGCCACTCCTGCATTATTAATGAGAACATCGAGTTTCCCATATTTCACAATGGTTTTCTCTGCTACTTTTTTAATATCTTCTAAATTTACAAAGTCAGCCAATATTGTTAGCACTTCTCTCGCTCCTTTATCTTTACAGTCTTTGGCAACATTTTCCAAATTGACTTCATTTCTTCCAGTCAGTGACAACAATGTACCATGCTCTGCAAATTTGCGAGCAATTGCGGCTCCTAATCCACTCGATGCACCCGTTATTAAAACTATTTTCCTTTGAAAAGAACTATCCATTTTATAGAACAAATTAGCGCAAAGATAATTAGACTTGATCAGCCCGTCGCTCTGTGGAAATTTACGCGAGGAAGTGAAAAGAACTGTCTATGAATGATTTTATACCAGTGCGAGAGAAATTAACCACTGACTTAGTAAATTGTTTCGGTTGAGCAAACATGCAACGTTGCGTTTGATTATTGGAGTGCGATCAAAGCACTGAACTGAAGATACATGGAACGATCTTCTCTCTCGTTTTGCATTGTCACAGCGCGGGATAAATTGATCGTCGCCATCTTTGCATTTATGTTCCCAAAGTTTCTTCGTGCTGCATCTGGTTTTGGCCTGTTTTTCATCTATTTTAGTACCCAGTGATCCGCATATGGATGTATATTCGACACTTACTGGATATTCAAATACAATGATATTCAAGATAAATATTTAGAGCCTGATGTGGATCTCGTTCTGGAAACAATTTGGTTGTTCACGAGATTACACAATAGAATAATAGATGATATAAATGGAAGCAATTGTTGTTGTATGATATCATAAAAACGCAATAACCTTCACGGCGAAGATTTCACGTCTTCGATTGAGGGCGAAGCGCACTTTAGTTGATACTCCCGTAGTGTGTGTATCAGGTTGGGGTTAGGCCATCATTTTATTACGTTTTTCCTTAATTTAGTTCTATTACGAGTTCGGGAACTGTTTGTGTTAGTCAAGTGAATATACCCTCTTCACATAGGTTTCAGTTCCTTGATATTTCATATACCCTCTTCACATAGGTTCAGGTCGGGTACTACGGAGCCAGGCCACGCAATGATATTGAGCTCGCCACGCAAAATACGGCGATATGATATGGCCAAATACAGATAAATAGGGGAGCGATTCCGATAAGCCATATTGGTTAATGTTCTGTGGTCGTTGTTGGACGCTTTTGACTGATACGTTGGCAATATTATTAATCCACGACTTAACGCAAATTGATAAAACAGTCAAAATTAGCACCATATGGCGGGCTGGGATATATTAGCGTTTGATACATAAAATGTGAAACGAATCAAGATCAGGAGAATATGCAAGTAAAATCGACGCAAATAATTGATTTCTGTCAAATCCCATAAGAAATGCATTACGCGCCTCGTAAAAGTTGGAAGTCTATCGCCAAAACAAGAGAGGCTTCAAATTGTCCCTCGGAAATAAGAGAGAAGCGCACTATATATATATATATATATCTCTGGGGATCACAGAAATATATTTCCAGTTCAGTGAGTGCGATGCTATATTGAATTTTCATGGATCAATTGGGATATCGTATGGCGGTATGTTCAGTTGCGTTGCACAGCATACATTCTTGCATATTCATACTTTTGAGTCTTGATCCATGATTGGGCCATATCTCAGGAATAATTAGCGGACTTGGGGTTGACATACCATAAATCGAATATTCTCGATTTTGAATATTAAGGCATTTCCATATAACAGTGACAGAGAATGCAGCAATGTGTTTTGAATTAAATACTTTTATTTATTTCAAAACTTCCCGTGGGCTCTGTGGCATTCGTTTTTCTATCTGAAGTTTTTTGAGGGACGTCGATATGAAATTAAAAATAATTTTAGCGGTTCCGCGACCGTCCGTCAGCGGATCTTGTACTTAGCGAAAATCAACGGATCGGTTCCATTACATTTGAACCCAAGTACAGCATTTGAACCCACGATAATTGCATCTGCATACTATTGCACCTACGGAATTTTTTTGCACGGATATTTGAACCCATATTAACCCTAACCCATGGATTTTAGCACCCTCATATAGATTGAACCCGCGGATATAGGGGTGCAAATGTATGGGTTCAAATGTACGGCCATCCAACGGATCTCGTGCTCTGCAAAAGTTGGACGTTTTTTTACGAAAAACAACAATTAGGTGTTTCAATTCACGTTGAAACTGAAAGCATTAACCATCGTCACAGGGTCTGGAAAAGCTGGGACAGTCATGGTACTGGTAAGTTACCGTAGCTGTTCCACAATTCCAGCTTCCACCGATGTCGTCACATCTTCGATATCCAATCAAAACCTGTTGTGTGATCTGGAGTTGAGGTGTATATATAAAATTCACAAATTGAATGAAGGAACTGAACATCATCAATAAAGTACTTGGCAACAGTCTGAAATTGTAACTTTTTAATTTTTTTGTTACTATTACCCTTTTCAACAAAGGAATACGTTTATAATACAGAGAGTTTCCTGTGAATGTCGAATAATTTATTTTTTGTTTCGTTTTGTTATTACTTCGTACCTCACAAATCTTCAAGTAGTGCAAACGAAAGATATTTCATTTAAAAATGGTAATGTCTGTCTGTTTACTGAAATGAAAATCCGGCGTTTGAAGGGGTACCCTTTTTACGACAACAACAATCTTTAAACACCATATATTTCAAAGCAATTGATGAAACATTCTGGATTAACAAAAATAACTCTATATTGCAAAACATTTTCAAAATGTTATCTATTAAAAATAGTTTTTCGGAATCAGAAATAACTTTTATCAACTTCTTGAAATTTGAGTTCTAGTATTTTTTCATTTCTCTATCGACAACCAGTTTGTTTCCGAACAGGTTGAAGCATGAAAGTTGGCTGATATTCCGACTTCATGAAGAACATTGATGAATGCTGCAACCTGTGACAAAGTTGGTGTCGGATTTGAAAAACAGCCCCAAACCAAACGATGCCCTGCAAACGAGAATAAGTACTACTATACTGAATGAAAGAAATATTATTCAGAAAAACTGTTCCATTATAAGCATTCCATATTTGAAATAACAATGAAAAGTGAATGTATTCAAAATTAGTGCTTTTGGTGCACTGGAGAGATGAAGTTATTCCATGCAATAATAATGATCTGACTCAACACAAAATATGTTTATATCTTTATCATTAAGCTAATGAAATCTTTGTGAGAAGTGAACTATTCTTGTGTTAAAAAATATTGTTATATTGCTTTCATTAGATATGAATGTGATGTGTTATACCTTTACCAGCGACTCCATTAGGTGGACATATAAAAATTGCGAAGTAATTTTCATAGTCAGTCAAGAACACATGATCTCCATTGTCGAAAAAGTTGTCTTAAAAAATAGAAGTGAATCGATAAGCTCCCAATGAAAAAACTCTGTAACATATTTAATAATTTGACATTTTCGTTGTTTAATGTATGCTTACCCATATCCAACACCGCTTTCCTATCCATTGCGTTCATTTCGCTTTCGTGCTTGGCGTGATTATGTTCTACAAAAATTTAATTTATCAAAGAATGAGAATGTGTTTTATGGTATTTAAAAATTAAATGTAAACAACATACTTCTGTCTGATTTGCTCAAAAGATATGTTCCATTTCCGTCATTATTGAAATGAACTCCAAATTGAACAAATCTATGAAAAAGTGGAAGTTGACATATTATCATTAGCATATAACTTTTCGATTGTGTCATTTTCTTTCGTACTGGTTAGCATGACGTTTCACACCGAATAAAACATTCGTATTCAATCTAAAATATATTAGAATTGGTAAATTCATTCGAAACTTTTCGATTTGCTATAACCCAGGGGAGGAAATGGGCATAAAACTAGTCAGGGAAAACCTGAAATAAATAACCTGATATGTGAATTTGTTTGAATGTGATCATCTGTCGTTATGAATTTTTTAACCAATTTATTTATTACAAATAGCTTTGATTTGCAAGATTGATCACATATTGCTTATCTTCGTACACAGATTTGAACTCTACCTTCTTTTATTCATTCATTTAATAAAATGGTGAAACTATAATTACCCAATGATGCATTTTGTCGAAATAAGTTCTTACTGGCAGATGGACAGTATATTTTTTGTTACGAGTAAAAGTTCCTCATAAACTCACCTAACACCGTGTTCCGTTAGCAGTATTCCGAAACTGGAGTTTGTAGAAGTGAAATTATTAAATCTGGCGCAGGAAATCATCGACGCTGCAATATCATTGGTCTGCAGTCCAGCATACCACGTAGTTCCAATCAACTACAAAATTGGGGAATTAAAATTCAACACAAGACACTGGGAAACTTTTTCAACATTTTTGTCATTTATAATATTGATCAAATATTAGGTTCAAAAGATTTTGCGAATGTGGTTTCATTTATCTAATATAGATTGAAAATCGCCTAATATTTGCAAGATTTTAACATAAAAAACTGACGAATGCGCACACTGGAATCTCTATTGAATTTATAGTCAGTGAAAAGGCAATTTGTCTTAGATTCACTTTCTCGGCGTCTAGTTCGTTTGTCACTTTAGGTAGATGGCATCTTTGTGATATGGATGCAGTCGATACTAATGCAAATGATAACGGCATCATGAGTAACGAAACGCACAGGATCATAGTTATTATAAGTTTCTGTTAATTCTCCTGTGTTACGTGTAGCAAAATTAAGAGAATTTTAGATATTTATGTATCAAACTAATTTTTCATATTCAAAACAGAGTTGAAGAAGTAGGCACAATACTAATAGGTATTTTCCACATATGCCATAGAACAGCTATAAAACAAAACGCTCATTTTCTCAACAAAAATAAAGTACGATATACTTCGTATAGCATAGCTACATTGCAAATGATACAGTATCCAATCTTAGCTTCTACTTACATGCTTTTTTGTAATGTTATTTTTCTTTGCACGTTCACGTTACACTGATCAATACGTTTGAGTGCTGCAATTCAAATATACTTGCACAATACCGAAAACAAAATTTAGTTTGCAATGTTCTGATTATCATAATATCTATAGATTTATATACCCGAGCCACGGTTGTATGTATTGCGTGATGCGTTAGAACGTGATGCAGCCAGACACGATATCAAGATGCGAATATTCTTTGTTTTGTCTCGCGACTCAATCAGTCACTCGAATTCGATATGTATCATAGTAATTTTATTTCAGTGGAAATCATTTATAAGTCCGCTGCCAATATATGTGCGTGTAAAATACCTGGCCTTATTGCAAGTATACATAGATGGGAATATCAATATACGTATGTTTTAAAGTAGGGGTGTGCAGCCTTTTTCACAGGCGGGCCAAATACAAGTAACTGGGTGAAGCCACGGGCCGCACCTAGAAACTCTACCTATACGAAAGTCGCTGGATACGAAAAATTTGTAGTTTTTATTCGGTATTTCTCTGTACTTTTATGTTACCATAGAATTTCTACTTGTAAAGGGGTTTCCGTAATTGAGACGAAATTGATTTGTTCTAAGCCTCGTCGTGAGTAAAAAAAGTCTGAGTACGGTCCGTTCAATCCCCCACAAAAGTAGGACATAAGATTTGACTGGCTAAGAAAAGACCACGGAGAGTAGGACGGTGGTCGGAGGAGGCGTTGAAAGTTGAAATTTAAGAGAGAACCTAATGTACGAAAACGAGCACACGCATATGAAATTCAAAATTAGAATTTACTCTTTTTATTTTGCATTTTCATTCAAGTTTTTTCTTGGGTTTTACCTGTTACGCGTAGCATCGTCTTCTCAGCTGAAACTGAGTTAGACTTATTGTACGTACTCGCGGAAAACGAACGGGCCAACGGTATGGCAGATAGTTGATTGGCTTGTGGCAGAGCAGGTGACTTTGTTTTAGTATTGCTTACGACACCATTCGTTGATTCAGAAAAACGCAAATGTAATTACGCGATCATCGTCATTATTAAATGCATGAACCTGATTTCCGAAACAACATCTGCCAATAAAAGTGAATTGAGACCGGAAATCTTAATTTATTTTGCGAGTCGGCGCTGATTTAAATATTTCATGTCGGCTGTTATGACTTTATTTTTGATTATAAATTAATACCATTAACTTAAACTGAACGATATTGTCATCAACGACGCCGCGATAGATACTAAATAATATATTTTATACGATCTAAAACGCAGGAAATAAAAAAAATTGCCCTTATATTCGGTCACTATCGAAATAAAAGGATGAAAATAATTTATTACAACACAATTTGCTTTCAGATTTATTGCCGAGGCCGCACAAACTACCTCGACAAAATTGGAATACACGATAAAAGTTGTAAAATATTTCTAATCCAAGTCAAGTCAGCGCTAATTGAAATCCTTTCATGCCGACTATAATTTACTGCCGTATCGCACACGCACACAGACTGCCTCCGATTGCGATAAATATATATGATATAATTGTAAAATGTTTTAAATCCAAACGTTGACGGCGGCGCTATAGGTAGGATATGTGCGCCATATTCGATATGCTTACAAACACGAAAAACGATAATCGAAGTTTGCGATATTCGAATTGAACATCTGTGATTCAAGCACTGCATTAAATTAACCTAAAATAAACAAATGTCACAAGACGCGTTTTTTTTCGGTTTTTGGCTCTCGTATGTAAAAAATCTTACGTTGGCCGAAGCAATATTTTTTACGAAATTCTCCTAAGTCAAATTTTTCGTATCCAGAGCCTTTCGTAAGTAGAGTTTTTACTGTAGAATAGATGCAAGCACAAAAAATATTTCTTTTTGTTATTGATTTCACGGCATTGTTTGGGGTACTGGCAGAAATGTTGAGTTAAAACACAAAAATTTTAAGGAAAACTGCTGACAAGTTGTCACTTCTCCGTGTGCAGTACAATTTTTCTCTGCGAGCCGCATTTGGCCCGCGGGTCGCAATTTGCCGGCCCTGTTTTAAAGTACTCATGCGCAAGTGTATGCGTTCAATTGTCTAGTTAGCGAATGCCCAAATGTAATCTAAAGCAGCGTCACGCCAATAGACCAACGTCCTGAAGTCGCACCCTGTCTGCTTCCAAGGAGTGGGCAAACTAGATTTCAACCGTTATCGAAAGGTTCATTCACAATTTCACTCAGTATTTAGTTTCATTTCAGTATTTTTCCAATGCATTTAATATTCCTACAATAATAAACGTAACAATTTCGTTATTTTTTTTAAAATTTTACTCAACGTTTCATGCTTCAAACTTCCAATACAAGACAACGTACCGGATACATTTAAATACCCAATCCCATCTGTGCCGTTGCATTTCAGTGTGATCAACCGTGCTAAGCTTTATTAAGTGATTGTTTAGATGAAATATTTAATATTCGCAATCTAGTGCAGTCCAGTCCAAATTGAGAAAAAGATCTGTTGCATGACATTTTTGATTTATTTATACTGAAATTGTGGTATGCGAAAATGGCTTAAGAGATCTAGGCATATCCAGATATGAGCAGAGAAAATAAAAATTATTTATGACTAAATGAGTTTTACTGTTACCTAGATATAAATTGAATGATTAAACATTCAGGTTGGCCATAAATGTTACTACAAATTCCCTTAATCAAAGCTATCAGTTTAACTATGCTTTAAATTAGTTCAAAGGCAATATTTCTTCGATTCATGCGCACAAGCTCGTACATATAAAGTATTTCACATAGTTATGAGATGTATGAGTGCTTTTATAAAAAATATATGAATGTTTAAAAATATTCCAGAATGACTTTTCAAGTTCGACTGCGTCAAGCAAGTGATTGAAGGGGCATTTGCTTTGTGTACATTTCTTATTGCTTTTTTTTTTATGACACCAGCAAATAAAATTCTCCAAATGTAATTAAAATTATCGATAATATGTATGTAAATTAAATTTATGCATGTGAGATACGTTTTTTTTAACATTACACCAACGCAGGGTTACCATATCGTGCTTATTTCCAAGATTCGTGCCTATTTTATGTTAGAAACATGAATGACTCGTTCATGTTTTGCTTACAAAGCTTCCATGGAAACGAGGGACGATATTTATTATTATACGCAACGCGTATTCGCGCTTTACTGTTACTATTGTGACGTAACAATTATCCGCGTTTCACCGTAACCTAATATCACTTTCAGTGCGAACTGTTACAGTTAAATGGTGGGTTATCACGCGAGCATTTTTATTTCACATTTGATTCTATATAACTTTTTTAAGATTTTTGGCGTTCATCGTTTGCACTAAGTTCGTTTTGCGAGACTTGAATTTCCAAGTCAGCCCTGCTGAAATCGAACGCAAAATTAGTATGTCCCGTTGATGACGTAGAAGTGAGAACTTGTCGTCGTAATTTTGCAAAAGCAATTATAGCATTCTGTGTACTCGTTTTGAACCGTGTTCCAGTTTTATTGGGCGGTGCATTTGGAAACGCTTCAGTGGTTTGAATATCTTCAAATAATATCATTGCATTATACGAAATTACAACAAACTCAACTAATCGAGGTCAAGATGTACTCGAGTTCTGTGCTGGACCTTTTGCAGTAACACATTTTCCAGTGGAATAGCGCAAACCAGGTTATTTTTGTCTCAAATCATCTATAGATTTTATAATTTATGGGTTTAATATGCTTTTCTGATCCTGTTACCAGTCTTTTTGTTACATGGTAATATATAGACCAGTGTTTTCCAATCTCACATGTGAGAATATTTCAATTTGATTCTGTTGCCAAAAATATGGAATACTGATACACTGAACATGGGTTTGAAAGTATAAACCCAATGTTATTTGTGCATTTTCGCTTCTGGAAAGTGAGGGTTATCTAGAAAATGTAAACAATTTTTTTAAAAATATTTCCGAAAAAATTATTTAGTTTTATTTGCACTTGAACTTTTGTTTGCGAATGATTATACTCCGAAGTTTCGCAAAATTGTCAATCATTCACTTGGTTTTCTGCTGTCAGGACATGGAAATGAAAGAGTTTAAACGGTGAATACGGAACATTACATGGTTGTGGCAAGAAAAATCTGCACATTACTTAAGGGATTGATAGAGGTTATTAGCAGTGGTTCCAGCATGACGAGGTGACGCCCCATACATTAAATCAGACGCTTGCTTTCCTGAGAGAAAAGTCAACAACGACATCCAGTGGGCACATTAATTATCGGACTGAAAACTCTCAGATTTTGATATGTAGGGTGTCCGAAGGACAATTTGTATCAGGACAATCCTCAAAATATTGGTGAACTCAAGGCTGCAATTGCAGATATAAAATAAAGAAATACCCAAAAAAGAGTGATTGACAATGTTGCAAAATAAATGCAATTCTTTCTTTAATGTCGAGGAGAGCATTTGGAATATATTCTAGGAACAACATAATTTTTTTACAAAACGTCCTAGATTTTCTGACACCGCTGGGTATAAACATACGCAAACAAAAATTCAAGTGTAGACAAAATTAAATGTCAGACACCACATGATAGAACAACAGGCTAGATCTTTGCCGTTTGCCAAATTATGTATTTTTCATGTAGCCTTATCATTAGGGTTATCATATTTTTTGACTTCAAAGCGGGACGCCTTCTGTAACTTTACAGTTTCCGATTTTACTACATAGGCCTACATTTAAGCCATCCCGGATGTCTTCATTGACCATATTGTCATCGAGAGTTCAAGCACATATTCTCTATCTAAATATCGAGTTCAGTTCGAAAAATAGAAAGGAATAGACGCTAACGATACAAATGGTCTGAATTTAGATTTTTTATGTACAGCAAAAGGAATGAAGAATATTCAAATAGTCTGCCGTTTTCAAGCATTGAGAATTTACTTATTCGCCCAAGCATACTTTCCTGTAGATAACACCTTTAAAAAAACGTTGTTCAATGTTACATTCACGTGAACGTCCGAACAGGACAGGACCGATTAAAATTGATTTCACATGTGATACGTT